TACGCAAGAATTCTGTTCTTGGACTTCAGCTCTACCTTTAACACGATCATCCCAGAACATATACAACAAACTACTCCAACTCAGCATGCAAACTGCCACCTGCCAGTGGATCACAAACTTCCTCACTGGCAGAGAGCAGCAGGTGAGGTTGGGAAAGTTCACCTCAAACACCCAGATCATCAGTACAGTCGCTCCACAGGGTTGTGTACTCTCACCATTGCTCTTCTCACTGTACACAAACGACTGTACCTCCTCGGCCCCTTCGGTCAAAATCTTGAAGTATGCAGACGACACTACAGTCATTGGTCTCATCCGAGATGGTGACGAGTATGCTTACAGACGGGTGGTTGATCAGGTGGTTCTTTGGAGCAGCTACAACAACCTGGTGCTGAACACGGCAAAAACAGTGGGGATGACAGTGGACTTCAGGAGGAGCCCTCCAACCCTGCCAGCACTCACCATCCTGGACAGAACTGTGGTGGCAGTAGAGTCCTGCAAGTTCCTGGGCACAACAATCACCAGGGACCTGAAGTGGGACAGCAACATCAGCTCCATCACCAAGAAAGCCCAGCAGAGGATGTACTTCCTGTGTCAGCTGAGGAAGTTCAACCTGCCCCAGGAGCTGATGGTGTGGTTCTACACAGCCATCATAGTCTGTCATCACCACGTCCATCACAGTGTGGGGCAGCTCATCCACCAAGCATGACCTCCACAGACTGCAGCGCATCATCAGGTCTGAAGAGAGGACAATTGGGGTTAAGTTGCCCACATTGCTGGAACTGCATGCCTCCAGAACCAGAAAACGTGTAGAGAAGATCTCCACTGACTCGTCCCACCCCGGACACCATCTGTTCCAGCTCCTTCCCTCAGGCCGGCGCTTCAGCCAGATGAGGATCAGGACATCCAGGCTACAAAGGAGCTTCTTCCCACAAGCCATTACTCTCTTGAACAGTTAAAATATTACACATTAAAATACTCCAGGTTCTAAACTGCACTTCTAAAATACTGGCATATAGTATCAAACTCAACTCCATCCTCTGAAATTACCGTCACAGATCAGTGTTTATTCAAGGATCTTACTTAACTGCCATATTACCCCACTTATCTGACTGTCACCTCATTGATCCCTTTCTTTGCTACTATACACCCCTTTAACTGCTGCTGCACTCAGCACTTTAACTTTTGACCCATACTTTGCACAATGTAAAGGTTACAGGTATGACTGTGTGTGTGTGTATGAGTGAGTGATGGTAGGAATGCATGTTTTATTTTATTTTTATCTATTGTATTTTATTTTATATTTATTTTATTCACTACATGTAAATGTCTGTCTGATACTGTGCACTGTGAGCTCCTGTAACTAACACCAAATACCTTGTATGTGTAAGCATACCTGGCCAATAAAGCTTGATTCTGATTCATTTATTTATTTTTTAAAACAAATGCTACCATACTTGTTACTGTAGTTAGTGTAGTAGAGTGGAGCACAGAGAATTCAGCATCGCTGTCAATGTTGCCAGCTCTGTGGTGAAAAAAGAGGATAGATGCACTTCTGTATAACTGATGTTCTGGGCACTGGGGTCTGAGATACACCGGTGCCCTGAAGTTTGAGGGGCTGGGGTACACCGGTGCCCTGAGGTTCTGGGGGCTGGGGTATGCTGTGCCCTGGGGTTCTGGGGGCTGGGGTACACTGATGCCCTGGGGTGCAAGGGGCTGGGGTACACTGGTGCCCAGGGGTTCTGGGTTTTGAGGGGGCTGGGGTACACTGGTGCCCTGAGGTTCTGGGTTTTGAAGGGCTGGAATACACTGGTGCCCTGGGGTTCTGGGGACTGAAGTATGCTGGTGCTCTGGGTTTCTGGGGGCTGGGATACGCCAGTGCCTTGGGGCTCCAAGAGCTTCTTGGGATGCGATTCAAGGCTACATCCTTTAAACTTTTAATAAAAGGTTCAGTTTCATCTCTTTTCTCATCATGCATATGCCATAGACTTATGATGGGGTGGTGTGCTATATGCATACTGGAAAGATAGGCTCAACCTCTAATGATCTCATTGTTGATTTTACTGAGTTCATCCCTCGTTCCTCAGATAGACTTCCATTTATTTTCACCCCCACCTAAGCCATATTCTTTTCTTTTGCCCAACAGCATGTGTTCCCTCAGGGCAAATTACCAAGCTTTAATCCACATATTGACCTGTACTCCATTATGTGCCATTTTTGGTGGTGTTGAAAATGAACTACCATTAATTTCCGACACCACCTAGCAACCACTTGCCAACCCCCAACACACCAAGGCAACCTCCTACCAACACCTGAGCAATCAATTCGTATACCATAGCAAGTGCTTAGCAACAACTTACCACCCTGTGTACCTTAGCAACCACCTGGTACACTGTTGTTAACGTTTTGCAAGGCAGTTGCCAATGTCTAGCCACACCTTAGCAACTGCTCTATCTACCTATCCAGTCATCTACCAATCCCTCCCAGAGAAGTATTATGTGAAATGGTTATGAATACACTGCCTCATACCTGAGACACTGTTTTACAACTTTGTGATCAAGTTTTGGTTTAAATGTATTGTAACCAATTAATTTTAATCCATTTATGGTAGAGGAATACATGAAGGGTGTTCTAAGGCAAAATAGTCCCCAAAGAATTTTCAGATGTACCACTATTTTACCACAATCAACGTTACATAAAAACTCCGCATTTGCATTGTAGACATAAGGAGTCCTGATTTCTATCACAATCATTGTACAGACATGAATCTGTAAGTTCTTTGCAAATGAACCATTTCACACCAAAACAATCTGAATGACTTTGCTTATATCACAACCACTGAACTGTACAGAAATTTTGAAAAATCTGTGGAATTCCCCTTTGCCTTGCACCGTGCCTGATTCTCGACACATCCAGTTCGCTATTTTTCATTAACAAGATTTGGGAGATGAATTCGGTGAAGGGTAGTTCTTCACATGCCATCACGTAGGCTGTGTTGAATTTAATTTTAAGCTCTTTTAATTCTTTCTAGCTGTTTTTTTGCTTGCACAAGACACTGCACAGGCAGAGGAGCACTCTCTGCGATGATAAATTCGCATGCATTTTTATATGTCTACGGAGCCCTGATGACATCCTGTACAAATGCCTTATTAACGCGTGGGAACGAGATCCTAATGCATGGCCATGACTTAGTAAGGCATGGGAATGAGATCCCACGCTTTACTACGCCGTGGCCACGACTTAATCATCTCATTCCCACGCCTTCCTAAGTCATGGCAACGCATTATTTTTATTTATACAGGATGTTACCAGCGGGGCTCCATAACATTCGACTCTCGCCACGGTTTTCACTGACTTTTTTTTTTTAAATGATTAATTCCTGTTAAAAAATCATTTTTTCCACTTTCATTTTTTGCTTTGCTCGCTTTATTCGTACAGAATTCACATTATAGGCTGCCTTACATTATTATACCCGTGTCACACCAATTCCCGAAGCCAATAAGTTCTTAAGTCTTTCTGTGGCTGTTCTTCTGCTTGAAGAGCTTGAGCTGGACGGTGGTTCAGGTACATCCTCATGTGGGTCTGTCACTAGCTCACCGGTCCTGAGTCAAGGAGTGGAGTTAAGCAGATGACTCTTAAGGTCTGAGAGAGGCGTAGATTGTGTGAAAAATCTGATAATTCTCGTTTCGCTGTTTTCTACACGCCGACGTTCACGGCAGAAAGCTCAGCTCCGCTCGCTGTGTTTGTCTCGTTTTGCCGCTCTGGTTGAAATCCCGCGAGCACGCAGGCGTTTTTTTTGATAGGCGAACCCATCCATGTGACGCTAAAGAATATCAGTTACGTATTAAGGTGAAAAACGATAAATGAAAATACATAAAAACAAAAGTAATGAATAGTTACCCATAAAAATAATTCTAACCCAAAGTTGCCATCTGTTGCCACTGGCGAGTTAATTACTCGCAAATTAATAATTGCGGCAGCAATTGCAACCATTTTAGTCGCAGTCTGGATCCCTGTATCCTTAAGTTCCCTTTTTCTCTTAAATGCTATGCATGCAGAAAAGGTTAAAAACAGCTCCCAATTCTGAAACTACAGACTGTAATCTTTCAGGCCACAATTTAACTATAGTCCCAGTCTAAACTATGCACTGTCTTTGATCTTAAAGATCTTAATCTAGTTAAAAAGCTTGTTTCTCCGGTCTCAGTTTGATTAGCTTAAACATTCTGCATCGCTGGTGTAAGTGTGAGTGCATTGATCATCTGTTGCATCTCTCAATTCTGCTGAGGTCATTCCTGTCTAGTTAGGACAGAATGCAAGCTTTTTCCATTAATGCTATTCAGCCAACACCATACTAATACAATGCTGGTGCTGATGTGCCAGGAGAGACAGGGAGACTGAGAATTTCTTTATGGGTGAAATCAATATGAAAGTATCACCTCCTCAACACCCCTCATTTTAACAAGAGGAGGTGCTGCCTTCCTTTTGCAAAGACTTTGGCCACAATACTGCAAACTTTTCCCGGTATTAATGCCACTTCAACGTCTTAATTCCTAATTCTACGACGTTTTTTCTCGAAACAGTACCTTTTTTTCTCGAAATATCATACCGTATGACTTTTTTCTCTAAATATTACGACTTTTCTCGAAATATACCGTACGACTTTTTTCCCCCGAAATATTACGCATTTTCTCTTTAAGTCTACTATTTTTACACTGGCCCTAAAATACCATCGTACAGAACTGAAACCTACTCCAAATATTAACTAGTGCAATACATTTCTTTTTAATTTTTAAACCTGCCTTTAAACATGGAACAGTCTCAGGTCACTAAAACAAAGGTGTTCCCAAATGTACTGTCCAGTTTCACAAACTTAACAGAATACTTTTAAGTTAGGCTTTATTTATGTTTAGAGTAAAAAAAGAGAAACAAACCAAAAAATACAGAACTACAGAACAGATGTTTAAAATATTTGTGGAAAAACTGCAGTCTTGTTAACTTTTAGGTAAAAGTGTTGTAATAAAGGTGCAGTTTAATAGGAATCTAAATGAAGGAGCATACAGAATATTGATTATGTAATACAAAGTAAGCACATTTTAGAAAACAAGTAAAAGATAAGCATCTCTATCAGCCTCGGGGTGATATCTATGGTTAAGTGAACCTGATCTAAGAACTGGCCTCTCTATTCATAAGGGCAGTCAGGTCCTGCTTGGTTTTCTCCAGAGCAGCAGCTTTCGCCCGTCGGGTCGGCCGCACTGACGGAGGAGCAGCTTCTGGAATGTTCTCTTCATCGCTATATGTACACAAACACACACACAGATAAATTTACAGTCCATCTGCTTTGTGATCTACACTCACTGTCCACTTCAGTAGGTTCACCTACATTGAATCTACACTCATTTTAGGTCCCCTTACTGTACAGAAGCCCTTTGCAGTTCTACAACTGCAAACTGCAGTCAAATCTGTTTCTCCGCATGTTTTGTAGCCCCCTGTTTACTCTACCCATCAGTGGTCAGGAGCCCAGCAGGACCACCACTTGCTCTGTGGTGGTCCTTACCACTGACGAACAAAGTAAAGGGGAGCTAACAAGTCATGCAGAGACACTGACAGATTACAGTCTGTAATTGTAGAACTACAAAGGACTCCTGCGCTATACGTGAAGCTGATAAAATGGTCAATTAGTGTATATACAAGGTAGCTGGATCTAATAAAATCCTGGCAAGATGATGCGGCATTTTACCAGCATGAGACTCAGTACAACTCCTGCAAAAGTACAGGGAGGGCTCATTCCCAAAAATTAGTGATCAGCCAAATACAAATGTTTCTGCAACACTTCTTTACAGTTAGAACACAAGTTTTACAGTTCAGTTCATGTGAAAAACATTACAGTAGAGTATTTTGAACATGATTATAGTAGGATACTGAGCAAAAGCAAAACAGCACTGCGGCAAAGCAGAACATTTCAATACTGCCGAGTTCTCAATTTTCAAGAAAATGCCCTAGGACTATATTATTATGCAGAAATAAACAGTGTTGGCTGTTCAGGTTGAGGACGTCACACTTTGTGAACGCATGCATCCCTTTAATATACCATTTAACTGCTACACGTCTGAATGATTTAAAGCTCAAATGTTACAGTTAAAGGTATTGTAGTAATGTTCCTGGTTGTCAATGTGATGAAGCTTTATCATACCTGGAAATTATAAACACAAAATAAACCCACCTTTCATCAGATTTCTCCTTATTTTCACAACTCTTCTTAGAGGTCTTTGCTGTAGAAACTTTCTTTTGGCCTGTATTGTGAAGTTTTAGAAAATCAATAAGAAAATTGGAAAGAATTCCTAAAAAAAAGAATTAAAAATGAGAAAGAATTGACGGCGTCACCGTTTTGTGCTGTACCTCTTCTAGGCCGTTTAGATTTGGTCTCATCCTCGTTCACAGCTCCTGTAAAGGAAAAAGAGGCAATTCTTTTATAAAAGAAGTGGAGAGAGGATATCCAAGAATTGTTAATGAAAAAAAAAAAGTTGAGTAGTTTTGACTCAAGGTACAATTCAAGTTGAGAAGGGGAATATTCACTTCTCAAAATTTACAACTACTTAATTAACTGATGAATGTGTTTATACCGCTGCTGCCGTTCTCATCCACAGCTGTGAGAACCGTGTCCTGAGGAGCTGAAGGTTTAGACTGCTGACTTCCTTTCAGTTGATTGAGGACTTTCTCAACAGCTCTCACACAGAACTTATCCTTCACCTCCTACACACATACAAACATACACAGTTCTGACTGACTGACAAAAATATTTTTGTTGAAGCGTCCTGCGAAGAGATCTGGATTCAGAGCCGCTTATACCGACATCAATCCTAACTAGAGGTGTCAAAGTTAACCTAAATTTTTAATGCCACTGATGTTAACAAATTTTCATATTTCGACCCTTCAAACAATCCGTAGTACCAGTATGAAGTTCAGCTACTCGTATGTTGTTAATGTGACTCCACCATTCCCCACCTCATTAATATACAGCTTTTAAATAGCAGCTTTTATTGATGCCTTTCTCAAGTTATTTCTAGCTCCTTCTCACAAAGTCTGACTAAACTTAAAATCTGTTGCATTTGTTTTATTGCAAGTGCCTGTTAGCTACTTTAGTTAACATACATGTCAACCCAAATGGTTTGCCCAAATTAAACTGCCATAAGACTGACACTGTAAATGTTGATTGAAACAGGTTCCCCATAAACTCTGCGCAATAAAAATCCTGTTGATTCGAATGGGCATTATGATTACCTGCAGTATCTGTGAGAGTAGCTGCTGAAGCTCCTGATTGGCTGGTCCAGGTTCAGTGCTGATCTCTAGACCGCTGAGGGTTTTACAGTACAGACGAACCTCCGGAGCCTCGATATCCCGCAAGATCTCATTACACACTCGCACTGCCAGAGAGTCGTGCACACACACACCCTAAACACAGAGCACAGGGTCACAAACCATTAACACACACTGAGGGTGTGCTGAACTGATCACGTCAGCGGACACTCCGATACAGAATTTGAGGGTTAATAATATAATCAGATTGTCACTAATACTTACACTCATTTTAAAACAAATTCATGGCTTAATTCACAGATGAAGTGCAGTGGACGCAAGACAGGTTAACACTCTGATAATGCAAGCAGCCTCTGCTAACTGCCTCATTATCTAATGATGCTAGAGGCTAATGCTAGCGGTCTTTTAAAAGAGTAATTAGTTTAATGATGGCTGTTGAACGTTTAGTTTGTTTCCCCTCTGCTGTTCTTTGACTGAATATTTGTTCCAAACTGCAATTTTATTATTCTGCTGAAACTGTGAAAAAACGTCCACACCGCTGACAGCATCGGAATGGGACTGTTCATCGAAAATGAACAGGTACAAAGTTATCAGCTACTAAAATGTAACTGGTAATAAACAGTTCCCCCTTTATCAATGAATATATCCCGTGCCAGCATTCCACTCACCCCTAAATCAAACCAATTCCTTATTAACTCAAAATACCTGGAATATTTATAAAAATTCCTGTAACTTGTAAAAAGTTTATACCTGTGAGGGCTGAACGAGGGCGCTGGGCCGTGTGAGCTCTATGAAGAGTTCGGCCACGTTGGAGGTGTCGATCTCAGACAGAGGAGATGTGGCTGGAGCATTGAAGAGAGTTCTCATGGTGGGCAGAAAACTCTCCTCCACACATTCCTGATGGGCCCTACGAGAACAAAAACAACACAAATTCACTAAATCTAAACTGACTGAAGCAGTTTAATTTATATTGCACAGAGACTTCACTGTATTGTTTCACATTTTACATTTTGTGTACCATTACACCTCTAGTGTACTGTGTATGTGTATGTACATGTACCTGCTCTCTCGAGCATAAAGCTGTAAAAACACTCCGAGACAATGTCGGAGTCTCTGGTCCTCCTCTGTTACAGGGTTGTACCACAGCAGAACCAGACGAGACAGTAGCTTTGCACTAACAATCCTCCCACAGTACATTAGCTTCGCCAAACCTTCTGCCGTCTCAGTGCGCAGCTCACAAATCTAATAAACACATTCAGTTCTAATTAAACTCATAAAAATCAGAACAGGAAGTGATAAGTGATATAAGATCAGATTACATTTATTTGACATTCCTGCTTTTCTCTTGAGTGGTTAACTTTCAGCAAAAAAACAAACAAACAAAAAAATCAATAATCAGAAAGCAAATTCAAAATACTCAAACAACACAGCTTTGCTTAAACACTACATAAAATCTGAACCTGATCAGCAGCTCAGACACTCAAAACTGTTAACAGTAAAATTACAAAGTAATTACAAAATTACAAAAGTACAAAGTTGTTTTCTTTCTGTGAACATTTCTCTGTACTGTAAATAACCTGTACACAGTAAATAGCCTAATACAAGTAGCTCAACTGAGTGATGCTAACTCTTCCTGTATAAATTACCAATATCTATGGACAGGGCGAATTTGATCACCAAATCATGATCTATTACCATTCTCAAGAAACATTATACCTCACTATCAAGGAACTCCGAGAGCATCTTCAGAATGTTCTGCACCGGACTCTCCTCCTCTTCTGACTGTCCATCCGAATCCAGCAGGTCAGAGGGCTTATCCTGGAGGATTTTGAGTCCATTCAAGAGAAGCTGGTCAATTAGAGCTTTGAGAGCACTGATCCTGATCTTTGGTTCATCCAGCTGAGTTATCTACACAAACACAATAAGATAAGAAATATAAATCCACTTCTGCTCTTCAAAGAACCCTTCAATTACAAAGACACTTGTATGTGTGTACCTGCAGAAGAAGAACCAGGTGTGTGTTTGCAAGATCATTGCTGTGGAGTGCTGCCGTTCCCAAACACACCACAGCCATGTTCCTCACAGCAGAGTTTGAGTTAGACACGCTTGGCAAGATCTACAGAGCAGACAATAATGAACAGCACCATTACCACCTCTATAAAGGAACAGTCCAGAATTCTCAAAGAAACACTCCAGAGTTCTTATAGGAACAATTCTCATTGCTTAAAGGAACGCCCCTGAGTTTTTAAAGAAACAATGCACAGTTCTCAAAGAAATGCTCCAGAGCTCTTAAAGAAACACTCGTCTCTGAAAAGCACTTCCAATGTTAATTTTTGTTTTGGTGCATTTTTTGCAGCACAGCGTGTTTTTCCTCCAAGAGGGTAAGAATCTGCTGGTTCAGGTTGCTAACCTGGGGCCGTATTACACAAAATTCTTAAGTTAAGACTGAAGTTAGGACAGAAGCTATTACAGAACAGTTCTTAAGTCTATAATCTTATTTCCAGATAAGAAAACGGTATTACAGAAACATCCTATGTTGCCAAAATATCCAAAATATTTTCTTAACTTTAAGATAAACCCTAGAGGCATCTTAACCTCTGTTTAACCGTCTGTTTCTATTGTTTTATGCAGTGACAGGCAGCACAGTTCACTATAACCAGCATAATGACGCTCCATTTATCTACACTGAAAACGCTGCTTTGACTTGAGTTTTTTTTCTAACAGCTTTTAAAAGCCCCAGACGCTGCAGACTCGATCTTCACCATCCCTCTTATTACCTTCAAGTGTTCATGTTGATAAACTCGTCAGATAGAATATTACAGTGATGGTGGTGAATAAAGAGGAGACAGAGCTGAACATGTGTCTGTTTATTAGGAGGAGTAACGTTAGCGTGCTCAGCTAAAGTGTTTGGGAAATGAAACTTAAATGGAGCGGCGACGCTCTGATAAACAGCACAAAGCGCTGACAATACTCTCAACTTTCAGTTTATCGTGCTTTAGTTCTATTTGACCTTTTTTACACTAGTAACAGTAGCTAACATTAGCTGTCTGACTAACTAACTTGATTACATTTCAGCTCTGCGTGTATGGTTGGTTGCTAGATAACAGACACGACAGTTGATTGTCAACTTCAATCGAGTAATTTAAGATTTCCTAAGATAAAAAAGATGCTGTAAGATAAGATTCCTAAATTAAGATAAGATTTTCTTCTGCAATACGAATTTGTGAAAAATCTTATCTTGACCTGTCAGATCTTAAGTTAAGACAAAAAGATAAGAATTTTCAGTAAGAGGGCCCCAGATTCTGTCGAGCAGACAGATGGAGGCGGAGTTGTGTGGTGTAGGGGAGGGTCATATAAAATGACTGACAGAAAGTCAGTGTAAACACAGACAAGTCCTTTGTTCCATGCTGCAGTTTTCCAAATAGGTTTCTCAGGCACGATACACTTGCGCTGATGACGTTACTTGAACGATATTTTTTACATTTGATTCTTTTGATTTTTTAAAATCATGTTCTACACATATCAGGTTATTTTATTAGTAATAAAAAACAGACTAATGCACCAAAAAAACCAAACAAAAAAAAAAACTATGGTATTGCTTTAATACTTGGACTTTGTGTATGTGTGTGTTGTACCAGAGACTCTATCAGAGCGGTGATAGTGGGGCAGATTCCTCTATTGATGTTCATCTGTTTCAGAACTTCAGCACACATTGTCAGACACTTCAGCAGCGTCTCTGGATCATTCTACAACACAGAGGGGGGGGGCAAAAAAAAAACAAACAAAAAAAAACACCATGACAGTTTAACAAGACTGAATTTGGTTTTTACATTTTTTTTGTTTTTACACAGATTTTTTAATCAAAGGTATTTTCCCCAATAACTTTTTTTGTAGTTGTTGTGTTTAGAGCACTTTTTGAAACTTCTGAAGCCTAATTTTAATAATAAAGACTGTTAAGTTTACCTTTGTAAAGTCTAGAGATGAAAAAGTGCAGGAAAACTCTGGACCTGAAACCCGAGACTGCACACACACACAAACATACGCATGTAGGAACACTTATGGCGGTCCAGTTGGTCAGAGCAGGAGACACAACATGAAGGTCATAAAGTGGAAAAACATATCAGAACATCTAACAGCAGTAGAACAGCAGAATGCTTTGGGATCTGCAGCACAGCCAGTATGAAAGCAAGAAACCATGTGCCACCTGCTAAAAACTTCAGAACAGCGCCTCACTATCAGCACCAGCGCACATACAGGAGAACCCAAGAGAATGCAGGGAACACAGCAATAGGAAGCATACAGAGAGGCAGAAGCAGTCAGGCCTTAAAGATAAAAATCGACCAACCAAAAAAAAAACAAACAAACAAACAAACAAACAAAAAAACAAAACATTCCCATCGCTACAATTGTGACACACTTGTGTTCCGCGGGGCTCTTCAAGTATTCGGTTCATCATTCCAGGTGCTAGTATTTGAAGACTGAAATCACTACTGTTCAGTCATGAGACCAATAACAGTCTTATTTTTGCATTTGTTCTGCTGTTAAATCAGGGCTTGGAAATATAGAAGGAAAACTACATACAACTGCAGCTCTGCACTGACTTGTGGGCTAACAGCTCCACATCAAAACAGGTTCCATTCAGTCTGTTATTCCACTTCATTCCCTCAAATCAGAGTCATCATCATGTAAACTTGTGTCAGCATAGTATCAGTTAGCCAGAATCTCCACTTTGGGTTGTAAAGATGTCAGCTTGCTAGCTAGGCTCGCACAACCCTACTAGCTGGCACTGGGCACTAGTGCTAGTCTAGCTCAGAACCATTCAGCCCTACAATTAAAAAACAGGATTGTTACCTTAACAAACTAACATGGAACATAATTCACAGAGGAGAAAAAAAACTTTGTATAGAAGTCTCATCTACCATTGCACCAGTTAGCTCTACTGTTAGCATTAGTGCATTTAAAGAGGCAGTCACCTTTACTCAGCCTTATCCGACATAAAAAAAACCCTACCACTGTAACCTGCACTGACCAAAAGATTTTCCTTTGCTCTTTTTTATATAAGATGTTTTCAAGTGTAATCTCCAGTTTGTTCGTAATTTCACCTTTCATGCTTACTTTTTTAGCCTGCTAACACGAATCTGCCATGTAAAATAGCAATGTTAATCTCAGCTGTTCTTTCTGTCTCTGTCACCAAACCTCCACTTAATAAATGACCAAAAAAAAAGAAAGAATCAAATCCATAACAAATCCATAGACCAAATCCATAACACCACAAAGCCTAGCGAGATGCAGAAGCACAGAAGCGGCTTGCTGCGACACGACACAGCAAAGTTGTGAAATTAAGGGTGTTCTATACATACCTGTGAGTGTGTGCCAACCCTCCCCCGCTTTGTGAACATATTAAGGTTTTAATTTCTGTGGTATTCATTTAATTTTCCCCAAATCATGTTTAAAATCAGAAGCTATAAGCATCCCTCTGAGTCATCTGTTACACCAGAGTAGCTGTTTGAAACCTGTGTGGAGAAGTAACTGCTGTGTTTTCTCCTCACTTACGTCTCGGAAACTGAGACATTAGAGTGAGTTAGCACAGTGGAGGTATTAGCATTAGCTCAGGTATTTGAGCAATGAGGGCAGCATGTCATGGTTTGATCTGCCACTACTTACTCATCATTACCGTACACAACTGGGAAAGCCAACTTTTCCAAAAAGGACATGAATGCGAGGGTGATTCTGGTTTTTCCCCACTCAGACTTGCTCTCTCTGATCGCCATTTCAAACAGCTTTGCTAATCAACTATGCAAGTTAGGCAAACCAAACAATTTTTTTTTTTTACTTTTGTGGTTATCACTTTTAGGAATATCATGCATTAAACAGAACTATAGAAACTATTACTGGTGTAAAGCATGTTATAAAAAAAGACAAGGAATATTAACATGTATTGTGACACCCCCTAAACAAGGATTATTTTCTTTGTGGTATCTAGTTAGACACAGCCAAGCAGGCTCTTCCATCGGTTAAGACTTCAAGAGCTGAATTAAAGTCCTTACACATTAGATTAACTACCAACATAATTAGGAAGTGAAAGAGAAATCAACCAATCACACTTTGGTTTACAAATTAGGCCAATTTAATGAGACCCACCTATAAACTGAGCTGTGTGAGCCTACCTTCTCAACGCGCTGCTCTTTGGTGTGGTCTTGTTCGGGTTCAAGCTCCAGTTGTCCCCGGCGCTCTTCCAGCTGGGCAATCGACTCCTTCAGCTCGGCCGCTCTCGCAAAATCCTCACGGCTAATGCAGTCCTCTAACTCCTGCTTACATTCCATTATACAGACCTTCAATTCTGCCAGCTAGAGAAAAAGCGACAGGACAAGAACACACACAGAGAGAGAGAGAGAGAAAAAATGAAGAGAATGTATGCACTCGTTCAAACAGCTAACATCTGCTCAGGGACATCATCTATATTAACTATGTGATCATCTGACAGTCAGTATCGATGTTGCCTGTGACAAAGCACAGAAACTGAATTTGATGCCGCACAGCTCTGGTTTAAAACTGCCTTTACAACAGCTGGAGAAGAGGAGAGAGGTTTTAAACAAATAAAGTTTTTATTGTCTATTTTTTGTCTACATCCACTACTGAGTAAGCAGTTCCTCAAGTTATATTTGTGTATTCAGTTTTTGTTGGTAATAATTCAGAATTTTGGACTAAAATAATCAAATCACTCTGAGATCAGAGATTTACAGCCCTGCACTAATGAGTCAAAACCAGCCTAATATCTATAAACGGTAAAATGGTGGAGTTAATGATCTACAGTTATAGAATTACATGGTTAAACAGTGGCAGACTTAGATTAATAGAGTCAGAGTTAATGAGTTTAATAAATTGTAACTCACTTTAACTTGTTTCTTCCGTTTCTCGTTCTCATCCACACACTCTGTGATCGGTACGATTGGCTCCCTCAAATCAGAGATAATCTCAGCCATCTGTTCATGACAACACCACACATGGACATCATTAAACAGAAACACAGGTGTGAACAGTAAGCAGTTCCTCCACTCTGACCGCAACAGTTCACAGCATCGTCTTGCTGTGACGGATCAATAAATCGCTGCAACACACGCACCACTGTAATACGCTGTTGGTCGTCATGGAGAATTCCCACCAGTTTCTGCACCAGCTGACCAATCAGAGACAGTGGAGTGTTGGGCAAGAGCAACATCTCCTTAAGCACCGCCAACACACGCCTCCTACAATACACACATACACACAATGAAAACTGCTGCTAATTTTATTATTATTATTATTATTATTATTATTACTACTATTACTACTACTACTACAACAATTACAATATTAGAAACACCAGTGAACATACCTAAACATATACATACACACTATGTATGTCACATGAGTTCCCATATACAGCGTCATATACAGTATTAGTCATATACGGTTCCATAGGTTTACAGTAATATAGTCCCAAATACAGCTCTGTATATATAGCATTATACAGAGTAATATACAGTCCTGTAAACAATGTCATACAGAGTAATATACAGTCCTGTATACAGCGCTATACAGAGTAATATACAGTCCTGTATACAGCGTTATACAGAGTAATATACAGTCTTGTATACAGCGTCACATACTTCCGCCTACAGTCCCACATACAGCATTATACAGTGTCACATACAGTCTTGTATACAGTGTCATACATAGAGCCATATACAATCCCGTGCACCCCTCTTCAGGAAAAGTTGTCCATTTTTCTCTGATAGAGAGTGGATCTCACTGATTCCATTTTTAACAAACCACAGACCACAGTGTTTGTACAACAAGAACGGGTAAAACAAAAAAAAATAAATAAATCATGCAGCACGTGAAGGACAATGAAAGAATGATAATTTGCTTAATATCAGCACTTACTTAAATTATCACAATATTCAATATTATCAATTATTTGTCCAACGCTATTTTTTAAAAAATGTGTATTTTTTGCTGTTTACTGTACCTGCCCCCTTCCTCAGTGGTGTCTAAGCAGCCCACCAGCAGAATGAGCTGCTGACCGATGAACTCCTTGGTCATCACAAGCTCCAGCTGAGTCATATCAGCCCTCTGTTCCTCTGAGAGTAGCGGGACACTCTTCAGATAACTAACACACAAAAACATCAATAACATTAATGTCTCAGATTAAACTGTGATTATCACAATAACAGTTTTAGAGGCTTTTCTATCAGTGATCAGCTTTACACCTCACCCTCATTTACCATCTTTACTGGAAACGGCAATCAATCATCCAAACTAGACGTCTGGGTGCTGTTTTGAAAAATCAGAAAGAAGTGGGCTTTTTCTGTAAAGCTTATGAATTCTAGAGGTTTATTTTGTTAGAGGGCAGCGCAGCAGGAGCTGAAAAGTTCTCAACCAAGAATATTACTTAAACGTAACCCTCAAAATCAAAAAGCAAACAGGAAAATGTTACACCACAAACACACACTCAGTGCCACCATGCACCAGTGGAGTGAGTGCGTGTGTGTGTGTTCAAGTGAACAGTAATCAGTTAAAGGTGAGTACTGACCTGTACAGATATTCAGCGAAGATGGCAGGCTCTGGCAGCAGTTTCTCCAGAAGCTCTTCCCCCTCGTCTCCTTTAGCCTTCACAAACTCACAGGCAGCCCTCCAGTACAGCACGTTCTCGCATGTTAGAGCATCCACAGGGATCAGCTTTCTGCACATGCACACACAATAAATAGGCTGAAAATCTGAACTAACACAATATTTTGTTCAGACACACTTCAAAATGTGAACGTCTGATGCATTTGCAATGGGTCATGTAACACAGTGAACATCCCTTTCAGGAAAAGAAATACATAATAAATAAACCCCACAACAATAAGCACTTTTAAAAAGCATTCTTAACAGATTTTAAGAGCCTCATAAAGTTTGTAGAATGCTGCACTTAAATAGATTCAAAGTTTTTTGCTATAGTAGAACTAAACAATAGCGCTGAACAAAAGCCAACAAAAGGTTCCTACAAGAAAATGAATTGTCCGCAAACTATTCAGTTTGCCGGACATATAGGGAAAATTGTAAACACGTATTGGTTGTTGCTCTTACATTGTTAACACACGATGTGATAAGCTCCACAGGGTGAAATAAGGGAAAAAATAAACTAAAAACGTCATTTTTACTACATGGCTGCTAAAATTTTATTTTCCTCTATATTACCACTATTTAACAGTTGATGGAAACCCTGTCAACAGTCATTGATAAAGTTCGTAATCCTCCTGACGTGTGTACTGTCAACGATTATGTGAAGATTGCTAACGCTTGCAGAAGACACTGTCAGGATTTAATTTACAGTTCATCCAAGTTCACTTAAGTTCATCCATGAAGTAAGATAATTCATACATGCTGTTAATGAAGTGGGAAGGAGGGATCAGGAGGACCGAGTATCAAGATAAATCTGCAGACCATCAGTGGAAGTAACGAATGAGATGCCAAATGATGTTACAGAAGAAGCATATACGGTCAACTCCAAAATAACTGGCACCCTTCAGCACAATAAGCTAAAATAAACATAATTAATTAACCAACATACCAGAAGTGATGCTTAAACAAAATAGTAACTTCCAAAGTTCTCTTTAGTAACATATTTTGAAAACACAGGTTTAAGAAATATTGGCACCCCACCTAAAAATATTTGGTGAAACCTTTCTTGGCAAGAATTATAGCACTGAGCTGCTTTCTGTAATGCTTAACAAGGTTAGAGAACACTTGAGGGATACTGGACCACTCCTCCTTACAGAACATTTCAGATCCTTGACATTCTTGGATCTTCGCATATTAATTGACCTTTTTCAATACACACCACAGGTTTTCAGTTGGGTTCAACTGTTCCTGCAACCATTTCTGTGTGGATCTTAATGTGTTTGGGGCCATGATCTTGGTTAAAGCTCCACCCACAGAGGCACCCACAGAGGCAGACAGATTCGGGGCTAAAATCACCTGCTATTTAGTGAAATTAATTATGCTATGGATTTGTGCCCCTGGAGCACTAGCAGTAAAAAAGTTCCACCATTGTATGTGACAGTGGCTATCAGATGCTTTTCACTGTATGCAGCGCCTTTTTTCACAAAATGTGATGATTGTGTGCATGTTTCATCTGACAACATGACATCACACAATTTATTTGTAGCTCCAATTCCACAGAGTTCAGGAGCTGCATGTTACAAAAGGCTTCATTCATGGATCTTCTGGTCATGGAGATGGCATCTGACAGTGGATTTTGAAATCTGAAAACCTCAAGATTCAGCTAAACTGGAGTTCTGAATCTGTGATCTTTGGGTTCTTCTCTTACTCTCCTCCCTACTGTATCTTGGAACAGCAGGAGGAATGCAGACAAAGTGGCAGGATGCTGTTCGATCAACAGCTGGTGCATACGTTTGTGTGATGATCAGCTCACCTTTCATCAAGCTTTGCTCCGTTCTGCAAGAGGTCGTCAAGAGTCGTTGCCGTGGAGAACAGAGCATGCAAGGCTAAAACAGCGGTCTCTGCGCAATTCTCAACATCCAGCCTGTGCAGTAGCTGCAGAACATCATTCTGTAGCAGGCGCAGCCAGGCAGGTAACAAACACACCTTCACCACCTCCTTCACAGACTCTGAAACACATACAGACACACAGTCAGAAGAACAGGAGAAGATCCTCAAATTCAGGAATCAAAACATGAGAAGACTGAAGGCTGTAATTGCTGCTGAGGAGCTTCAACAGAGCTCAGCTTAAAGCAGGGGCGTCCAAACTTTTCTCAAAGATAGCCAGATTGGACCATTTCAAAATATTTGGGGGCTTAAATATTACTTGTAAATGATAACAATGAAATATATAACAAGGTAGAGCAATCAATCGACCGAGCATCTTGCTGCCAATCTATCGTTAGAAATCAGCGATGACTCATTCATTTGCTATCAGAGCAGTTAAGGCATGCACATGTTCACGCTGGTCAGTAAACCCAGCAGCACGTATTAGCATCGGTAACTTTGTGAGCTACGATGTTTCCTACTACTGTATAAAGGATGCACTAGGCTTCTTTTATTGTTGGATTGCTCATTCAGAGTAATTTGGATCGTTAAGCACTTGTTTAAAAAAAAAATGTTTATTCAGAGAAACAACAAAATGTGACTAATGTATTAAGTATATTCATATTCATGTATTTACTTGTTCAAAAATCTAATTTGTGAGAATCTATATCAAAACCTATACGTTTTCGGTTTGGTCAAATCATGTTCTTCACATATCAAATAAACGCAATAAAAGCAATTGCATTCAGAAATCACGTCATTAAATGAAAAGAGCAAATTAAACATAAATAGTCATGTTTTTGTTCTTTAAAGGGTTAATATTTACTAAACTGCTGGATTTGCTCTGATTAGAAGTTGGTGCTGTGTGACCCGATTGGCTTCATTTTCTCTGCCCTCTCCTCCCCTGAATATTTACTTTAATATCCATGCTCTGTTTCATGTCTACTGATATTGTTTAAATACAGTATTTTGACATATGATGCATATGCATTTGCTGTGGCCCTTAATGAAAAGTTTTGTGAATTAAGCTGCAGGTCTTATCACAGAAGAAAGGCTCTTAATCTGATTCATAACACTAAATTTACAGTACTGCTGCCACCATCAGGTAAGAGGAAAAACTGCAATGTACTGGCTAGCAGGCCACGTATAACATGCTCAAACAGAATTAACATTGATATCTGTCTGGAGGCTGCATTTGGCCATGTGGCTGGACTTTGGACACATCTGGCTCAAAGGATCTGGATATTTGGTTAAATATGACATAGCTTAGCTTAATAAACAATCATTTGTTTCCCATCCGCTTGATAAAATCAGCGTACTTATATACTACACCGGAACAGCTTAACTCTGTCGGCAGTCGCATTTTGAAATGCAGTGTTGGAGGAGTTCTATTAGTGATGTACCAATAGGATTTCATTATCATACATCACTCATCTCTAAAGCCAAAGCCTTGCTTTGATTTGATCTGCTGGATGGTGTATTTCATCCTTCAACTTATCCTCATGCCGAAGAAAGAAAGCCAGGTTTTCACAAGGAAAGGAAAAACAGCACAAACGTGGCAGATTTTCAGAAAAGCCCCTCTTCTCTACTTTAAGGTGGAATTTAAGGTTTGAACGCATTACCATTTGTTTGCCATTAAAGTATTAAACTGTATAAATATGTTGTGGAACCAAAAGAAGACTCATCTTTTATCTCACACATGCAGTCATACCTGCAGAGTCATTGAGGCCATGCTGTAGCAAACTGACTCTCTGAGCGATAGTCAAAGCTCGAATGTGCACTTTTTCAGCAAGGACCTGTAACACACACAAACACACAGTCCAGCATATAACTACAGCAAAAAAACAGTTTTACTGCAGCTAACAGGTAATTTGAACTTAAAACAAACATTACACAGATAAAATAATTTCTTTCTTATTCAACATTGAGCAGCACTTCTAAATCAGGATCAGCACAATAAAATACACATCTAATTTAAATAGAACCAATTAGCCTCTCCGTTGTTGATGGAAACATTGATTAATTGACCTTTCACACACTTACAAAATAAGTATAATTTTAAATGAATAACTCACTCTAAATGTAAGTATTGTGATATAAACTGAGTAGTGTTCGACAGTTTCTCATTAGTCTGAATTGAATTTGTACCAGCGTTCTGTAAAGCTTGTCCTCACAACAGTAAACACAAAAGAACACATTTGTAGGTGGAGCCTGGAGAAGTTTATGGTCACAAGGCCCAGTCCTGACACAGTACGTACCTGATAGGCCAATTTCCGCACTTTCTCTTTAATATCACGGGTGCGTTTGAAGATTTTGGAAAGCGTGAAAGCGGAGGGGGCAATACAGGACAGAACAGCCCGCCGAACCTCAGCATTAGAGTCGTTCTCCAACAACAGCATGTACGCTACTCACACAAACAGACAGAAACAGGGGGAGTCATTAGATAAAGTTACAGCTTTAATGATGGGACACTGGGGGTCATCAGATAAAGTCAAACCTTTAATGGTGGGACACTCAGGGTCATTGGGGTCCTGCAGTCGGGCCATAGCGAGCGCTGCCTGAATCCGGACGTTGGGATATTTATCCGTCACTCTGATCAGCATGGCCTCATGGATCTGTTCACAGATTTCGTCATCGATCTGAGCATTCTCACTCAGACTGCCCAGCAGCTTATTGATCAGCTGACAAACACGGAACCGCACTGCATGACTGTTCGCTGTGTGAGACTGAGAGCGGGAAAGAGAGAGCAAGTTCAGCCAAAGGAATAATTTTTTCTTGTTCTTGACTATCAACATTAGCTCAATGTTTCAGCCAACTCTGCAGTGTTTTTAACGTCACAGAGCCCAATACATTTACATACATCTGCTTAATCAGCCAAAAGCACTTTAGCCCCGCCCATTCAGTCTACAGCAGTTTAGCTTCACTCTGTTATACAACAGGCTCAAAATTCGGGTCAAAGCCCCAGTGATCAAGCCAAAGGCAAGAATGGCAAGGAAAAACTCCTTAAGAGCGAGAGGAAGAAACTTTTAGAGGAACCAAGACTCAAAACCTGATGTCGCCTCTTATCGACATCAGATAGCAAAACGATAACAAGAGCAATATGAACAGATTACAAGATTTTACAATTAATATACAGTATTAAATACAGAGAAAAAGTAGAAACCAGCCTGTCATTGGACAGAGGTATTTAGATTAACCAATGATAGCTAATGACTGCTGTTAGAGGCCTATTAGAGTAATAATGAGAAATAGATCTATGAAAACCTTTCACTATTACCAGTGAAAACCAGTGACTACGATCAGGAGCATATCACAGTGAAAATGAGAGTTAAATCTATAAACAACAATGACTATTGTTCTGCTCAGTGTATTCTGAGGCAGGTGAATTGAGCCTAGAGCATATTAGCCCCATCCATTTGGCCTACAGGACTTTAGCCCCACCTATTCAGCCTACTGCAGTTTAGCGCCATCCAGCCTATAGCGGTTTAGTTCTGCCCATGATGATGAAGTTATAAGGAGTGTTTCAGACTTCTATTTGAACAAGGCACAATACGGGACAGCGAATAAGAACAGAGTTAATTTACATATATCAGACTTAAAGGCACAGTAACAAAAACAGCCTGCTTAATTTAGGAATAAAGAGAGGTTGGAAAAGTGTACATGTAGAAATGAAAGAGTTTTTCATACATAAAATCACACCAACATTGGGCTGTATTCATGAAGTGTCTCAGATTAGGGGTGCTGATCTAAGATTTGTTCCTGTCAGTACGGTCACTGTAAATAAGACACAAATCTGATTCTAAATCCACTCCTACTCTAAGAAGCTGTGTGAATGTGGGCCCTGATATGTCAAAAAATAAATACAGAAAATGTGGAATATAGGCTTCTAAAGATAAATAGTTGCTGAACAAGTGTTTCAATCTCAGTGATTAATAAAAACGCTTTAACTGTACATTTTATTGGAAATATTTTATAATTTGATCTCAGTTTTTCTGTATTAAGTGATGCACTACATTTAATCAGAACGTTCTGGAACAGAGAGGTTCTTCAGTATTACCTCCAACAGGAAGTTGAGCAGGAAGTGCAGAAATGAGCCATCATCTTCATCACTCTCCACCTCCTCCTCTTCACTCACAGGAGTTTCAAAACTAACAGCAAACTTCACCACAAAATCGATCACATTCTCCACGGCAGGTTCTCTGGTGTAGACGATCATGGCATACTTCAGACAGCGGAGAAACTCCTCATGGAACTCAGACTTGTCCTCCAACTACACAGGCATGCACACGCACACACACACACACACACACACAATACAGAGTGTGTTTCAGCTCTGCGGCATGTGATCACACACTGTTGTAATAAACACTTCAGGACAGTTTGTAAACTCAAAAGTCGAGCTTCAGCTTTGAAAACGGTGTGGAAGAAAAAAAAAGGTGTGAAACTTGTGTAATCATGAGAAACAGGTTCACAATGATGGTTTGGTTCCAACAGTGCTAGCTACGGCCCTTATAAACTCAATATAACATAATTAATCACAAGTTTCCAAATATAAAATAAGAACATAAACCACATCACACTGAAGGGTCACATCTGTCTTGAAAACCTATTATGAGTCAGCACTTCAGCAGGCACTGTACTTCACAAGACAAAAGAAATGAACGAAATATACTGTCAAAAACATTTATAAAGAATTCAGAGCATGTTTCAGTGCCGCTAGAGGACTGCATTGTGCAGCGGACCAACCACACCCATGACTATACATTTTGGTACATTCTGATCCATTTATCGGTACCGTATGTAGTAACACTATCCAGCCGCAAAACCTTTCAAATGCATTAACTGTTAGCTCATTTCACCATTAAATTCTCTTGGTCAGTTAACGTTATCAAAGACTAGATGACTAACCAGCTAAACTGTATAATTTCATGTACCCAAAAACAAGAATAAAAGTTTACTCTGAAATCCATTTACTGCTGTAGAATCTGTCAACACAGAAAAATAGACTATATAAAAATCTGTTTCAAATATCTTCTGAGAAAACTGTGATGTTACCTTAATTCTAATGATTTTTAATAACCAATTAGAACTAAGAAAATGTGCTACAAACGTCTTTTGGAAAAAAAAAACTGATGTATCAAAGTCCTGCTTGGCTATTACAAACAAAACACTGACCGTGTTGGCAGCGGTGCCAGATCAGAGAAACTGACTGGATTTAAATCTCTATGTTTTATTACCTTACCTTAATATATCTGTTCTTCAAAGTGGCAACCAGCTTGGCTTTGTTGTGGTGCGCTTTCTGAGCCCGCTGAAAAGCTTCTTGTATCTCCAGTTCGTTATCAGCAGTCATGGTGAAGATCCTGAAACAGTAGAACACACATCACTTCATCAGTGTGTTAAATTAGTGCTCATCATTTAACCTACATAATTTACATAGGTTATGTGTATCTTAACTGGGTTTAGCACATACAGAAAAGCTGATTTCAAAACAACTTCTATAACATTAATAAAGAGACCCAAATGAACAGTATCCAAACAGAAAAATACGCTGATTCAGCAGAAGAAAGCGTTCACGATTTGGGTTCACCTGGGTGAACCTTTGGGTTGGATTACCTGACTAGGACTAAATAGGACACTAGGGTTTATAATTAGGGTTAACCTTAACCCTGGCTAACAGCAGCAGCTAAATTAGGGTTTAAATTCTGGGCCAGGGTTTAGGGATCTGGTTTAAGGGTATATATTTAGGTTCTACACTCTTTAAAAATTGTTCTTCAAGGGTTCTTTAGTTGAGGAAATGATTCTACTTAGAACCATGTTCTATATAGAACAATTTCATGCTTAAACGGTTCTTTTCATGGTGGAAAGGTTCTGGAGAATGTGTTGTATATAGTTCTATATAGGACCCTTTTGAAAATGGTTCTATATAGCACCAAAAAGATGTTCTATCGCTAAAAGCTTGACATCGTAACAATAGCAGAACCCTTTTTGGTGCTATATAGAACCATATACATCACATCAATCTGTATAACCATTTCACCATTTAAGCATGAAATTGGTTCTTAACAGAATCATTTCCTTAACTAAAGAACTCTTAAAGAACGATCTTTTTAAGGGGTGTAGGTTTAGGGTTTAGGATTTAGGGCTAACACATGGTAATTTTAGCACTGCTTTCGGTCGGCTAGTTTCTTCTTTTAGGGGATTGTTAACTAGCTAACCTAGCTAGGTTATCTGATTCGGTTCTCTGGGTCCTTTAGTTCTTTATTGGTTCTGCTGATCCAGAAAAGGAACAAAAAAAACCCAGATAACCAGAATATAAAGCTGCGGCGCTGTCTGAACTGAAATGACTTAAATTATCGTTAACATTTTAATGTTAGTGAATTTCTCGTTCCACCTTAAATGGTGCAGCAGCTGTATTCAATTTTAAGGTGGAACGGGAAACTTGGAACAAGAAGTCGGCGAAGAAGTCGACTTTAGCGAGACGCTAACCTCGCTAAAAACAAACCGAACAAATCCGAGCGAACATTCCTTGGTTAAACACCAAAAATGATCAACACCAAACAACAAAAAGTCGTATAAAATGTAAGTAAGAATCGTTTTTTTCGTAACCAGCTAGCTAGATAGCTAACTAACGTTAGCTTAGTAACGGAACACCAAAACGATTCCAAACCGCCAAACAACCAAATATACGGCAATCAAACTAACTATACTGCACATATGTCTCTGTTATACTAATTAGAATTTCGTCTCTGATCCTTAAAATAATAAACAAATAATAATGTAATAATCAATAATAAACTTGTATTTTACTCCGTTTCGCTGCTTACAGTTTGTTTTCTTCTCCCTCGAATGGCGCGGCTTTTCAAAATCAAGTCTCGCGATATCTGCAGCTTGTCACTTTTCAAATTCCTGATCTCGTGGTATTTTCTCCTGAACAGGATTCTCGTGCGAGGCCAGGCTCGTCAATCCACACTCACTTTAAAGGGGAATTCCACCATTTTTTTCAACATTTTTTAATAATTCAGCCCTTATGAGGTAAACAAAGTGATTCAGAGTGGTTTGGTGCGAAATGGGTCAGATGTCTTTACAGTGGTGGTGATAGGAGCCAGGGGTCGCCATGACTACAACACAAATATAGACATTTTATTTACTATCCAGAACCACCAGTAAACCTGCACGAGTCTGAGTTTCTGAGTTGTATATAAAATGTTGAGGATGGTAAAATAGTGAAAAATCTGAAAAAATTAGCTTTCTTTGGGGACTACTTCCTCACAACGCCCTACATGCATCTCTCCTCCATGAATGGATTAAAATAAATGGATAAAAATACATTTTAAACCAAAATTTTATCACAACCCTGCTGAAAAAGGACCATTAGAAACCATTAAGATAAAACATAATGGTTTTGTTTGCTAATGGGAATTGGCTAACTGATTTCCAATAGAAACCACTAGTTTCCTGTAGAATACCTTTAGATCCCATTAGAAAACCGTATCTGATGTATTTGGAATCAGCCACAGGCCACCTGTTAAACCGTTAGGATCCTTTACATTGTGATAACAACCCATTAAAAAGCCAGCAACCAACAGAAACACTTCATGATTTCTGTGGGATAATTCAGCAGCAAGGAAAACCATCATAAAACAATGTGACTACCATGCACACACACTCTAAAAATGTTTTGTCAGTCAATATAAAAGAAATGTACTTAATGTAGTAGTGAGTAGCTTCTGTCCTGCTCCCATGTTTACAGTGTGTAGATGAAGAGCAAATGGCTGGCACAGGGGACATCTTATTTAGGCTGACCCTCAAGTTAAAGTAAAATCATACAAAAAGGGGCATCTACAGTTCGATTGTAATGGTATAGACAGCAACTGACCACACCACGCTTGAAGATTTAACACATTTGAGTTCTTTTGACTTTTGATCTATATTTCTTATAATAACTATTTCAAGCAAACACTTTTTTCTTTTGGTAAACATTGAAAACGGGTCCCACAGACCCCATCACCACACAAGAGTTCAAATGTTGTAAGAATGTTGAACTAAATTTTTACATGCAATACTAATTTAGCTTTGCTTCTTAGGCTACTGGGGACTTTTAAGGGGAAGTTGTTACCATATAATAGCTATTTTGGGGTGTATCTTTGTGTAAATGAGGCAGTTGTAAATGAACAACCTGGGGGATTGATCATCATTCATTGTGCACAGCTTTGTGTATGCATGTTTGATTAATGCCCATTTTCTTGTGCATGCTGCTGCTTATTATGCACAGACCCAGAACATGTGCAATACTCTTTAAAAAAAGTGACTGAGAGTCACGTTGAGACTCTGTCACCACCACTGTAGAGAAATCTAAGTCTCTACAATGAATGATTTCACAACAAAACCACTCTGAATGACTCTGTTTACATCTCAAACACGGAATTAGAAAGGAATTTTGAAAAATCAGTGTTATTCCCCTTTAATAATAATGTAGAGGTTGAGCTTATTTAGTAAATCTTGACAAAACATTAGCAAACCTGCCCCCTATATCCCTGAAGCAGTATGAAAACCTAACCTGGGGGAACTGGCCGCTTGTTGCCCCTCTGCCACAATTCTGACCTATCTATTCAGGCTGACAGTCAGATATAGCTAATCCTAATCTGCTTGTTAGTTGTTGTTTTGATTAACTGGTCACGGGGCTGTGAAAGACACTTATCACTGCCAGAAGGCTGAGGAGCGTAAGGGCCGCAGGCTTCACAGCAGGATGACTGAGGATTCAACAGAGGTCCCAACAGTGTGCAGCTTCAGCTTCAGTTTTATCAGACTGTGAGGAAAGGACCACTCTCTACTTCCACTTATGACCTGCAGGTCCACTTTTCCATTCTTGTGCAGCAGGACATCTCACGTCTTCAGAGGCAGCTGGGATTTCTGCTGACATGGTGGGATTTTGAGAAAGCGCGGCTTGGTGAGTATTAAGAGTGTCAGCTGTCAACTGTTTTCAGTCGAGTCCTTTAAACTGCTTTCACTCATTTGAACTCACTCATGTCCCACTACTCAATTTAGTATAGTGCAGAACTTCTGATTGGCCTAAAGCAATGACGATTTTATAGTTATATCTTAGATGAACTTCTAAAAGTACATACCTTTATTCAACATCAAGTGTGGATTTTTGATTAGATTTGTTAAAAATCAGTCCCTTGTGGCCAAAATATTAGTTTAATAACACATTGAGTGGCAAAATTTCATGCTTTAGACAGATGAATTGATCAATTCGAACATTTTCTTCGGATTTGTCCTCAGGCATGCTCTGAGGACTAAGGGCAATTCTCATATATGGACATCAGTGGGTTAATGAGTAGCCAGTTGTTACAACAGGACTTCTAGTTTTTCTCAGAAGAATGAATGAATCAATGCAAATAATATGAGTGAACTAACAAGGCTTCAAGCATTTCACAACTCATAATAATACTGGTCTCAATAAAAGTGTGTTAAAATAAATGTTTAAAGGTAGTACTTTAGTATTTAATACTTTTATATTGTGAATGTCGAGTGAAGACATGTTATAAACACTTGCGAGTCAGGGAATACCTGAGTTAAAGAGGAACTCCAGTTTTTAATTTTTTTTTTGTATATTTCAGTAACCTCCTATCTCCATTTTTTGTCATTTTTCAGTTTTTACATAATTTGAAAATGCCTGTTAGTCTTTACATTGTGTGTAAATTTCATGATGAATGGACCAAAAGAAACAGCACAAAATTACTTGGAAAAAAATTCTGGTTCCATTGACTTACATTAAAAGTAAAGTATGTTTTTTCCTTCGCCTTTAAAGTTACCATTTTGGAGATACAAGGTTTTGTTGAGACAGCAGTGGTGTAAACTGACTCTTATTGCTTTACAGTGGTGGTGATAGGAACCAGGGGTCACCATGTCTACAACACAAGTATAGACATTTTATTTACTATCCAAAACCACCTACACTTGCCTTCTGAGTAATACATTTTCTTTGGGGACTATTTTGCCTCACAATGCCATGAATGGATTATAAAGGAAGATGTTTTATGTCTAAATTTTCTTAAAACTATCATAAAACAATAGCTCAGACATCAGGCAGAATATTATAACCATTTCATAACTTTTCTCCATTTCTCATAGAAAGAGCCTTTAGAGGCATCAAATGCTTCAGACGTCTGGTTCCTATCACTACCACTGCAACCATTCTGACTTCAAATTATGCAGAACCTAAATACAAATCAGTGGAAAGCCCCTTTAAAGTAAACCAGTTCCTAAAATAGTATATACAATACATAATAAGGAGAAACACTTAAGCACAAGTGAAATTTTATGTAGCATTTCACTGCTAATCGAATAGTGTGTGTTGTCACACCATCCTTTGTTGAATTTTGTACACAGTTACTGCACAAAGCAGCAGGGTGCTGGTTCTAGAATGTCACTCATTCTAGAAAACAAGAGAATGAGGCCTAAGACCAATCAGGGAGCTCTGAAAAGTAGGTGGGGTATTGATAATCCCAGATTATTGGATACAAGGCTCTCATTGATGAACTCACGCTTAGTCGTGTTTGGCCAATGAGATTATGGACACACCTTTGGCTCTGAGTACGGCTGAGTTACGGTAGTAGAAGGTAAACAACAGGGTGCTTTTAATTGATGCTGTTTATTCCATTCACGTGCATGTAAGACTGAAAAAGAATGACTGAGTAAATACTGAGCTGTATTTACTGTTCAAGGTGAAGACTCAGAGGGAGATGGGATGTGGATCTGCTAAACCCACTCAGCACAACCACAACCACAACCAGCTACAGCTGAGAAAATGCGACAAAGGTACTCAATTTGAAGAACACATATTGTAAAGGTTTAGAGGTTTTGATATAAAACACATTAGTATTATTATTACTATTTGTTTATATCTAATTTTATCTTTTATTAATGCTATTTTAATCCATGTAATGTATTAATAATTTCTTAATCTACTGTAACAAAATAGCATAAAGTCCATAAATGCATCCAATACACTTTTGCTCCTTTCTAATCACTGATATTTCTTTTTTTCTCCTCCTTTTTAGCAAATGTCCCAGTTCCAGGTAATTCACATGCTTATTAAAAAATAAATCAATTGTTGAATTAAGTAACATTGAGATATTATGATTATATCGGTCTAATATTCATATAATTCATATTATGTTCTCTGAAGTGGCAACAGGTGAGTAGGTTTAATTAGGTTAGAGTAGCTGGATGTACATAGTTTAGTACATAGTGTAATATAGGCGTTTATCCTAGATCTTTTTTTTTTAAGGACAACAAACATAGTGTAGTCTACTGATTGAGGATGCTGGCAATGTGACCACTGCTTTGACTCATTTAAGTTGTGATTTCTTTGAGTTAACAAATACAGCATAGACAAAAAAAGACATACAGCAACTCAAATGAGTCCAATCAGCCTCTTTCCATTTCCCACTCGAACTGAAAATGCAAACTCAAGACTCTTTTCCCCCACCACTGACCGGTGGACAGCGATACGCGCGGCCCTGCTGATCCAGCGCTGGTATCGGCAGTACGTGGCCCGGCTAGAGATGAGGCGCCGCTGCACGTGGAACATTTTCCAGTCCATAGAGTACGCAGGACAGCAGGACCAGATCAAGGTGAATTAGTCAAGGCATCATCTCACAAACGAGAAATCTGCATCTTACATTATAATTATTGCTTGCACAAACATGATTTGCATGATTATCTGCAACCTGAATGCAAAAGTCAGCGTCTGAAGTGTTCAAAATAACATCTTACAGGCATTTTGAAAATAGGTGCAGTGGACTGATGAAGTAAAATGGAACTCTTTAGGCACAATCACTGCATTTATGTGTGGAGAAAAAATTAAGCAGCATTTGCTGAAAGGAACAACTTGCCAACTGTTAAGCATAGGGATGGATCTATTATGCTGTAATGTATTATGCTGCTGGAATGGCCCTCACAGTCTTCTGACTTGAAAATCATTGAAAATCTCTGGGTAGATCTGCATGAAGTAGAAGCACTTTGCAGGAAAGAATGGGTGAAAGTTCCTAAAATAAGAACAAAAAGACTCCTGCCTGGCTACAAAAAGCCTTTGTACGCTGTGATTTTTATGAAAGCTTTCTGCAGACGTCATGTTTACTTCTTTTCACTTCAAAAATCAACAAAATGTGTAATTTGGCCAGGGGTGCCACAATATTTTGCATGAAATTGTGGGTTTTTTATGTTTTATTGCATCTAAAAGTGATTTTTTTATATATAAGGAAACAGAAATAGTGTATGCCCATTTTCCTTTCAAAGCAACAATGTTACATGTAAAAACATGCATTTTTTGTCAGTACAGAAGTGTTTTGTGGAATGTTGTGACACCTTCACTCACACACTTATTATAAAATGTAGAAAACAGTAAATATGGAAAAAAGCCTTCAGCCTTTTGACTGGTTTATATTTGTTTAAGAATGGATATGACTAGAATATTGTGGCTTAATTTGTAGTTGTGCTCATTTGCATCATATATACCTGTGAATAACTTTGAAATTCTGTACCTACAATGAAAAGTGCTATATAATTATGAGTTTATATTATTTGTTTATGTATTATTGTATCTGATAAAAGATAATAATGCTAATTTGATTTGTGCCATTTGATTTCACTAAAAACATTCATAATAAAACCAAAAGCAGTCTTGCTTTCATCTGAGACGAATCATTTGTGTAACATCGCATCTTCTTTTTTCTTTCTCAGCTCTACAACTTCTTTGGCTTCCTCATGGATCACTTCACTCCAGCAAGCAGTGAAAGTAAGAGTTTATACTATAAGCTTATTAAAAACACTCTTTGTAGAAACTATTTACATATCCGTTGTCTAAAAACTAATTTGAGTAGCTCTGATTTAGGTAAATTGAATAACTTTTTCAAAAGGAACAAACAAATAAAGTTAGAGCCACACAAAATGTTTCCCTAACTGTTTCCATTAAAATCAGCCATTATGTACAAGGTAATAATTTTTCAGGAGATATTTCTGAGGAGATTAGATATATGATCAAAGTCAAAGTAAAAATGGGAGTTTCCAAAACTGGAGTTAAACAGATTAAAAGCTACAGAGAAAATGAGGCTCCTAACAACCACCTGGAAGACCTGGTAGACACCAAAACTACCCCATCAGATAAACAGCACTTAAAGCTTTCATCTTTGAGAGAGAGGAGAAAATCAAGCTGCTTCAGATCTGAAAACATCCACAGGTGTTTCTGTCCATCCTTCCACTGTGAGAAGACGACTCAGCGCTGTGGGTCTGAAGGGATGTGTAGCTGTCAAGAAGAACCTCACTGAGAAAAGGAGATGGACACATCAGACAAAGAAGCTGAACAATGGACTGACCACCCCAGAGTCCAGACCTCAACACCACTGAATGTGTTTGAGTACTTCAGAAAATGATCAACCAGCTTCTGAGACTGAATTTTGGAGGTGTGTCTGCAGATCCTTTGAGAAAATGAAAGTGAGTCTCCTGAAAAGAATGGAAGCTGGAATAAAGGTAGAAAGTGACTCACTAAATAGTGAAAAAAAGTACATTATATTTAGTTGTTGAGGCTTCTGTGTAATTTTCTGTGTAATGTTTTCTGCTTTTTTTCCTTACACTGAAAAATGAACAACTTGTACTTAATGTGGTGATTTTGACTGGAAATACATAAATATCAATAAATTAATAAATAAAAAGTTTAGTGTAGTTGAAACTGCATCCCACAGTAAAAAAAAAACTATTTAGAAAAACAATTAAACATTCAGAGCTTAGATATTTAGAAGGATTATGTAATGATGTATTTAAACCCAACGTATTAATAGAAATAGTAATAAGCTAAATATATACAGAATCACCATTTATAGAGTACTTTCTCTGGGGGGTGTCTGTCCCAAACCTGACTTCTAAATTTGCACTTCTGAAAACAATACTTACTTTACTTTTTACTTTTTTCATTTAGATTTATCGTAAGTTAAATTAATTAAAAAAAACTTTATTCAAAAATAATAATATATGCTGTCCTACGTTTTCATGTCACTACCAAAACACAGAGTTTTAGTATGTAGGTGGAGCCTTATTTTAGCCACGCCCCTGCATTTTAGAGCAGGAAGTGAGGCTGCATCCCTGTCCCTCATGGCCACATGGTGAGCAGTTAGATCCCATTGTTTTGAAGTAAATGTGTCCCAAAGTCTGAAAATCAGTGTGGAACATTAAGAATTGTCACTACTGAAACACATATTTTCTGCTGTTAAGTAAACTTTTTTGGGTTTTAATTGAAAGCATTATGATTTTATGAGTGTACAAACGTGTTTGCTAGTTACTGGCTGCATTTTTGAGAGACGATCACTACGAAACATTTAGTAAAGTTTTGTTCGTGTTACAGTGTTTTGGTAGTGATAAAATAAAATGTTCAATATTTTTTTTTATCAAATAAACATAATTAAGTTATAGAGCACTCAGACTTTGAACCAGTTTGCTGGAATGATCCACATGTATGTATATCTATATAAATCTCACTTCTTAACTCCCCCACACCTCAATCTTGCCCTCAGGGAACCTGATCTCCCACATATTCCGAGAGAACGAGACGTTCCAGGATGTAGAATGGGAGCCGTACTTCTGCTACAAGAGCATCGAGGTGCCAGACATGTACGCAGGGCCTCACCTCACTTTTCCACTGACTGTCAGCAACATCACTGAGCTGGTGGAGGCATTCAAACACAAACAAGTAGGTCCTATCATGTCAAATGTTCATATGTTAATTAATATGGCCTATGACCATAAAACAGGGCAACCGATGACATCTGTGCTAGAGTGTAAATAATACAACATAGTAATCAGAACCTCTAGAGGACCTCGTCTCTGTCCTGCTGGCTCCATGTCTGTCTCCTCTGGTGTGTTGTGTTCCTCCCAGTAGCAGCTCCATGCTCGATATGTCCTGCAGCTCCTTGGGGAAACCTGGAGACTGCTGAGGATCTTGCCAAACATCACTGAGGTGTCGACCTGCCACAGCAAGGAGATCACCATCTGTGGTAAGAGGAGAAGAGAGGATTTACAAGGAGAGGGATAAGAACACAATTCCAAAACAATTAAAAATCTAATTAGTTTACATTTTTTATGGTACACTGCACTTTATACAATATTGTTATACAGTGGGAGCAATCCTCTTTCTTTTCACTGACGATGGCTACTGTAAAAAACAGCTCATCAACCTAAAAAGATACTTCATGTAGAAATAAGCAGCTGAACTAGGTTTGTTCAACGCAAAAATTAAATGAAAGAAGGAAGAGTGAAAGAAAATTTCATTCAAAGTGTTTATTTAGGTTGAATAAAACTAGTTCATTCACTTGTTACCACATGAAGTAATTTTTAGGTTGAACTGACGAGCCATTTTTATAGTGCATGTAAGATAAGAACTATTTGTACATATTTAAAAGCACAAAATAAAAATATAATAATCTCTGTATCTGTTGAAAACATGCCTACTCATCTCCTACAGAGGTGCTGCAGTAGTCTTCAGAGATTTTCTGGTTTAAAGATTAGGAAACCCTCCTTCTGATGATGTATCTTGAAGGGGGGAGGGACTTTTGAAATACTACAACTACTTTGCAGTGAATTTTTGAGAAAGGGCTGTTTGAATTTTTTCGGCTAGCTGGCTATTGCAGAAGGAAGCCAAATATCATGCGTTATATACTCTTAGTAAAGAGTCTTTTAAGGTTCTTTAGTACAGAAAACGGTTCTATATGGAACCATTTTGTTATATGCAGGGTGGCACGGCAAGGAGGGCCTGGGTTCAATTCCCGGCCAGGCGACCAGTGTCCCAAAAACATGTAGTCAGGCTGATTGGACACACTAAATTGCCCCTTGGTGTGTGTGTGTGTGTGTGTGTGTGTTTGTGTGAATGTGTATGTCCGTCTGTCTGCCCTGTGATGGACTGGCGGACCTGTCCAGGGTGTTTCCTGCCTTTCGCCCAATGACTGCTGGGATAGGCTTCCCCTGTGACAGAGAAGGATAAGTGTCTTAGAAGGTGTGTGTGTGTTTGTTGTATATGGTTCTATATAGAACCTTTTTGAAAAGGATTCTATATAACACCAAAAAGGCTTCTCCTATTTTTACAAACTTGACATTATAACAATAGCAGAACCTTTTTTAGGTGCTATACAGAACGCTTTTCAAAATGATTCTGTATAGAGCCATCAACAACACATTCGCCATCAATCTGAAGAACAATCTCACCATGCAAAGAACCCTTTAATCATGTAAAGGGTTCTTTAATTGTTCATGGTTCTATATAGAATAATTTTCTTTACTGAAGAACCATTGAAGACCCATATATTTTAAGAGTGTATAGTGAGAGAACACTGATGGGCAAGAACAGTGAATTCTGGGATACTGATGACGGTGAGGGCTGCACTACAGAATATGGCATTGCACAACAAATGATATACTGAATGCAAGTTTTAGGCCAAAATGCCCCTTTGGATTACATAAACTACTACAGATTTTTTAAGTGACACTTCTTAATGCTGTGGCACTTTTTCTGGGGAAACTCCAGAACGCATAGATGTTTCATTGTGCTCAGTTTTTTCTTTGTGTTAACTTTTATCCATACAGGAGATCTGCATGGACATCTTGAAGATCTCCTACTGGTATTTTATAAAGTAAGCATTTTCATGATTTGTTAATTACTCATATATTGTCATTGTCGTTGGATTTTTTCTGAGTCGAATCTCTCATGTGCCTCTAGAACGGCTTACCATCAGTGGAGACTCCATACGTCTTCAATGGAGACTTTGTGGATCGAGGGAAAGACTCCATTGAGATTCTGCTGATCCTGTTTGCTTTCCAGTTGGTTTATCCAAATGATGTTCACCTCAACAGGGGAAACCACGAAGACCACATTGTGAATTTGAGGTACATTAGAGGTCATGCAAGGTTGAGTTGCCCCCTTAAAAATGAAATCAATTGAACCCTTGGAAGTCTAGAGTTATCACATGCTGTTTGCTATGATAGTTAAATGTAAATAGTTGATTATGTAATGAATTACATTATTGTTCAAAAGTCAAAGATCACCCTTTATTTAATGTCCAGCCAAAATGGTAATTAGGTACAAGTTATTCATTTTTCAATGTCAGGAAACTTGCATTTCTTACAAAGCAGAAAAAATATTTAGCCAAAAATTATACAGAAGCCTCAACAACTTAATATAATATCGATTTCAGTGTTTAATATATCCACTTTACCTTTTTTACAGCTTGCATTCTTTTTAGAAGACTCACTTTCAGTTTTTCAAAGAAATTTGCTGGGATATTTTTTTCACACCTCCAAAGTTCAGTCTTAGAAGTTGGTTGATCATTTTCTGACGTAATCCAAACACCTTCAGTGATGTTGAGGTCTGTAAACATACAGTATGTTGACGAAGTCAGTTAAAGTGTAAGAGCCTTTTTCCTGTGATTAAATATTAAATATCAAAAGATATTATGAAACAAAGCATAAACATTATGATTAATATTCAGGGGATGAGAGGGCAGAGGAACTAAAGCAGCTGGAAGCTCCCCTTGTCTCACAGGAGCAACTTTTTAACAGAGCAAAATAAGTAATTCAATAAATATTAATTATTTTATATTTATATCTTTGGTGTAATTTAAATACTTAATATATTTATTGACAAATAATAGTATTTTGGCAAAGAATGACTGACCCTTGTAACAAAGTTTGGACATCCCTTCCCTAAAAAGTGTGTCCCATAGTAGGTGTGTCTAGTAAATTGGCCAGTGTACACTTACAAAGTGCACCTATATGGTGGGTGCTGATGATAAAATGAAAAGTATTTTATGTGATGTTTCCATTAATTTGTGCCACCCCCTGTAATTCCTCTTTTACTTACAAATAGACATGTGGGATTGACTGAAAGTTTAGAATCTGCACTTTCCACAGAATTTCTGTTTGTTTCAAACAGCCAGGACTCAGAAATTAGAAATGTAAAATTACAACATCCAAGACTTAAAGGGCTTATATGATGGAAAAAATTTTCATGCTTTCCTGAAAATAATAAATCTAATGTAGTATAAAGATATTGTTTCAGCCTGGATTGCTTTTTGAATTAGGCACAGCCAATCAGAACAAAGGTCATTTACATATATCAGTATGATATCATATATCATAAATGCCCACGTTGTTTAAGTGTAAGTGATAAGGAGTGGTTAGAAAATGGCCATGTAAAAGTGAATTATGTTGCTGGTAAAATCACAGTAATTAAGTGGCTCAGGTGGAAGCTACAGGAAAACTGTAGGATATGGGCCCTTTAAGCACTCGATGGACCATTATTACTTAGCACACCAAATTAGAGATACATACATCATTATTTCTTTAGACCTTGATTGCATTGATCTGCAATCCTGTATATCACAGCAAAAAGCCTGATTTTAGACCTCTCTCTCGCTGGTTTCAGGTATGGCTTCACCAAGGAGGTTCTCGGGAAGTACAGGGTGAGTGTCTTGTTTACTACAGACTTCCTCACATGTCTGGCAAATGAATCACACATTTCTCAAGCTTCCAGCTGAGGGATAACACCTGCGTCTTCTCAACAGTGACGGCTTTGCCTGCGCACACCTTAAGCTGGCCCGTGGCCTGCAGTAGCCTGGCTAACTCTGAGTGTAATTTGGGTCGCTTACTCTCACCCGTGAGATTATAGCGGATTAGACGGCATTTCCCCGTCCAAGAGAGGCTCAGTCTGCCTTAAATAACCATTGGAGTGACCCAGTAAAAACCCAGCCTCCAGAGAGACAGACAGACAGACAAAGTGAGTCATATTTGGGTTTAGATTTCACAGGAGCATTATCAGCAGCTGCTAACACCACAGATTGCAGATTACCCTTTACTGAATGCCTGTCTAAATTTATCACATCCACTTAGTGTTGTTTACCTCTCGCCAACTGCCAGTAGCTAGTCTAGCATAACCGATTCGGGAACTCATACTAGAGATATGCATGTGAGGTTATATGAGGTACTGTTTACTTCCAGAACTGAGGCTGTGGATAGAGATAGAAAGGCAATATTACTGGAAATACAGAAATACTTTCCCTGCTCCTGGTTTGTATCTTTATTAGGTTTGGAGGGAGAATTCAAATTTAAATATATGCATCCGGTAGAGGCTTTTCTTCAAGGCAACTTACAATTTCAGTCACATTACAGAAGAAGGGGTTAGGTGGATGTAGCGTTAGGCTGGCTTTATGCAGTGAAATCTTCATGCAACATAATTTTCCATGCAACCTAACAGTTACATGAATTCAAAAATAAAGTTGCATGCAACACATTCAGTTACTCCACTAGTTATTACAAATCAGTGATTACTACTACAGATTAGTAGTATTTACACCATATGGACAAAAGTATTAGGACACCTACTCATTACACCTACAATAGCTTTTATAACATCCCATTCTAAATCCATAGACATTAATATGGAGGTGGTTCCCCTTTGCAACTGTAACAGCTTCCACTCTTCTGGGAAGCTTTCTACAGTATTTTGGAGTGTCTGTGGGAATTTTAGCCCATTCATCCAGAAGAGCATTTGTGAGGTCAGACACCGATGCTGGATGAGAGTGCCTGGCTCACAATCTCCGTTCTAGTTCATTTTTCACCGATGTTTGTAAAGACAGACTGCATGGCTAGGTGCTTGATTTTATACACCTGTGGCAATTGGACTAAATAAAACACCTGAATTCAATGATTAAGAGGTGTGTCCCAATACTTTGTCCATATATGTATACAGTTGAAGTTGATATCATTTGATGTCATGCTTATTCTGTCTAAAAACACTGCGAGTTTATCAAGGAGCACCCCACAGTCTCCTCTTCTACAATAATTGTCATCCTTTAGATTCAAATTAATCTGCACTCTGTGTAAAATTTAGTGGGTGAGAAAAGTGCTTGCTTGGGCAGGAAATTAACCCCAAGTCTGCTGTGTGGAAGGTAGCAGGGTTATCCTTTATGCTATCCACTCCTGGAAATCCTCTCCTGGATCTGGACGTTTGCAATGCTACTGCACATGTAGCAGAACACCCTGACTACATAGGCTGAACCGAACTCTGAAATAAAGTTGGTTAGTAATTTAGGCTACGTTTACACAGCAGGTAAAAGTGGCCCAAATCGGATCTTTTTCCTCAAATGTGACACAGATGTGTCATCTGTGTGGCTGTGTGAACAGCGAAATATTTCATGTGTGGTACTGAAATCCGATACGTATCCGATCTACAGCCATGCTGCAATGTGGTTTGATGTGAAATGATGTGAAAAAACTTACTGACCCAGATTTCTTTACAGTGGTGGTGATAAGAACCAGGGGTCATGATGTCTACAATAATCTTCTAAAAACTATCGTTAAACAATGTCAGCAGGCAGTGAATTCATAACCATTTCATGTAGTAACTTTCTGTGTGGGAGCTTTTAGAGGTGGACGTCTGGTTCCTATCACCACCACTATGAACAGTTCTGACCCGGTAAGTTTCTCTAGAACAGTAAGTAAGTAAGTAAGTAAAGTTTATTTATATAGCGCTTTTTACAACAGGTGTTGTCACAAAGCAGCTTTACAAGGAAATGAGCATTACAAAAAGAAGTCCGGGTCCGAGCCCCCATGAGCAAGCCAGTGGCGACAGTGGCAAGGAAAAACTCCCTAAGAGAAACAGGAAGAAACCTTGAGAGGAACCAGGACTCAGAAGGGGAACCCATCCTCCTCTGGTCGACACCGGATAGTAAACATTGTTAGTATAGAGTATTATAGTACAAAAAACAGGGTAAAATGTGAAGGAAACAATTAATTTGAATAGTTCAGTTCATGCAGCAGAAGCAGCAGCATCAGTGGGGTCAGGTTGTGAGGGTGAGGTTTGCACGGTGAGCAGTGGCACCCGATCAAGGCAGCAGAGGCAGCAGCATCAGCAGCAGGATGGGCAGCTGTTCAACTCGGCAAAAGAAAGAGAGGAAAAACACAGTCAATGGGTGATTGATTAATTTGAATTAGTTTGAATGATTGATTGGTTCAAGTGAATAATTTTGAATAGTTCATGCAGCAACAGCAGTAGTATCAGTGGGGTCAGGTTGTGAGGGTGAGGTTTGCACGGCGTTGAACAGCAGGAGGCTCAATGTTGGTAACTCGGTCCAGAGGGCTGGCGAGCAGTGGCACCCGATCGAGGCAGAAAAGGCAGCAGCATCAGAACGCACAGGACGGGCAGCTGTTCAACTCGGCGAAGAAAAGAAAGGAAAACACACAGAGAGGAAAACACACAGAGTTAGTTCTGTAATGGGTGACCGATCACAAATTACAGTGTTAGCAGAGACTCTGGCAGGTATAGAACTAACAGGGAAAACTAATTACCAAAGGCTTGAATATACAAGTAGGTTTTTAGCCTAGACTTAAAGACTGAGGCTGTGTCTGAGTCCCGAACATTAACAGGAAGACTATTCCAAAGCTGGGGGGCTTTGTATGAGAAAGCTCTCCCCCCTGACGTAACTTTATTAATTCTGGGTACTAATAGTAAGCCAGCACCTTGTGATCTAAGTAGGCGGGATGGTTCATAGTGAGAGAGAAGTTCACTCAGGTACAGCGGGGCGAGTCCGTTTAGTGCTTTATAAGTCAGCAAGAGAATTTTATAATCAATCCGAAATTTTACTGGCAACCAGTGTAAGGCTGATAAAACTGGGCTGATATGGTCAAACTTTCTGGTTCTAGTAAGAACTCTGGCTGCAGCGTTCTGGACTAGCTGAAGCTTGTTAATGCTTTTGCTGGGACATCCAGCCAGCAGGGCATTACAGTAATCTAGCCTTGAAGTAATAAATGCATGAACTAACTTTTCTGCATCCTGTAGAGATAATGCATTTCTCAATTTAGCAATATTGCGAAGATGCAGGAAGGCTGTTCTAGTAATATTAGTTATATGTGTGTCGAAGGACAGATCAGGGTCTATAATGACACCAAGGTTTTTTACATATGAGCTTGATGCAACTGAGAAATTGTTAAGTTTAAGTGTTAGATTAGACAGTTTGTTTCTGGCTGCTTTTGGACCAAGAAGCAGAACCTCAGAGCGTTTCACACCAAACCACTCTGAATGACTCTGTTTACATCAGAACCATTTAATTATGCAGATTTCAAACAACTGATGGAATTCCCCTTTACCCCCCTTGGGTTGTGTTGATTGCCCTGTTCTCAGCCAGTTTGATATTTTCTCAAACCAGTAAGCTTGAGGGTAGTTTCTAAAAATGTGTAAAAAAAAATCCTTCCCAGTCTTAATTTGTTGTATCTTTTCTGACTGTGTAAATCCTGGATCACGTTGTAGCTTCATGGGAAGAAGATATTAAAGTTGCTCCAGAAGATCTTTAGCTGGCTGCCCCTGGCAACTTTGATCGACCAGAAAGTGCTGATTCTGCACGGTGGAATCTCAGACACTACTGACCTCAAACTTATTGCCAAACTGGAACGAAACAGAGTAAGTTCTTCCAAACAAACCACTTTAATCTAATGGAATCTTATCTGATCCCTCAACAAGTGCTCCAGCTGTCTGCAAACTAAGATTAGTGATTATTATCTCTTGATGCTCATTTGTGTCCAATTTAACGCAAAGAATCATTTGGTCATTCATGGTCATTCATCAGAATTCATTTGGTCCTGGTAATTTTCCATGTATACAATTTAAAGGTTTGGAATCACTCGTTAAATTAATAATACTTATTTGGTAACAGCTCATACAGTGTAGATTAAAATGTTATAAACTAGACACCAGAACTGATGGTTTATTCACAATTTTAAGTATTTTGTGAACAATGAGAAGGCATGATGTGGAAAAAAAACAAATATTATTAAATAATAAACTACAGTTATCTATTTATAGTTCTTTCTTCACATGAAATTACTGTAAATAGATATTTGACCAGCAAGATTTGGTCACAACCTTTCACAGATGTGGCCTTCTAAATAGGAATTCTGTTGTAAACTCGTTCTCAATTTTTTGGAATTATCTACTGCTCCTTTCATCATCAAATATTCCTTAATTTTTACAGCTTCCTACAGATTGTTTGAAACCCATAAAATATTTACATCATAGTAGAATCAATGTATACACTGAGGATTTCATCCCAAAAGGCTGTTTATCCATTTGTAACAGTTTTGGGAATAACGAGTGTTTAAAAAGAATAACAAGTGATGTAAAACACATTTTATTTCTCTAATAAAGGTAGTATTAATCATAACATAGCATTGATATTTCCTGTATATGTAAAGCCCACTCCCAACAATGTATATCATGAAAAAAAGAAAATTCTCGAAAGTGGTCTGGAACATGCTTTGGAACAAAACCCTTCACATGTACCCGCAACAAAACTGGTTTTACATGATTGAATAGTGAATTGAAACTTTTTAACAGTAGTATATGTGTCAGTGTGCCAGAAATATTTTTGATAATGCACCAATTGAACTCCAATAAAGCCTTTACACAGTAGACAATAAAAACAAACTCTGAGCAAACTTTTTTAAACATTTGAAGATACTATTGAATATTATTATAATTGATTCTAACATTCCAAAATCAATGCAACTGAATTACTATCATCTGACTGATGCATTTACACCCCTAAGACAAACACTCTTTTGTCTATGTTGACCTTTGCCCTCCTGCAGTATGTCTCAGCCCTCCGGCCTCCAAAGCGCCAGCAAGCTGTGAAGTCGAAAGGTCCTGGTGGCCAGTACTCAGATGGAGAAGGGGACCGCTACAGCGCTGCCGGCCGGAGGAGAGTCCGCTCTCTGACCCACAGCAACCCTGCGACCGCTCGCCATGAGCTCCAGCGGCGCTCCCTGCAGGCCTACTGCATCCGCACCAGCCCCAACGTGGAGGAGGAGCTCCGGGAGAGGAGGAGGTGGGCGGGGCTCAGCGCATCCTGCAAGAGGATACATGACCCGATCTCCTCAGATTCAGACCCGGACTCCGGGGAAGTGCAGGAGACAGACGCCGAAGAGTGGAAACAGGTACAACTATAAAAAAACAATAACTGAGCTCACCGCAACAAGAAAATGCCAAAAAATTCACTATTTATGGGATTCATGTAAATCTCTGACCTTGATTCGATTTGATTACGATGTTTTAGGAACAATTCAGTGCATCATGAAATATACAATTTCACCAAGATTTGACTAAAATATTTTGGTGCGCTTTGGAATACACAAATATGTGGAGGAACAATTTACAAGCTTGTGAAATGTAGACAATAAAAATGTTTACATCAAGCATTTTTTTCAGTAATATACTATATTATTGTAGAAATGTGAAATTGTCCTCTAATATTTCCTGGGAAATGGTTCTAATCATGTTTCCTTTAAAGTAATTACAGAGAAGCAGCTCCGTATCATGATGCTCCCACCTTCATACTTCCCTGTGGGTGTTTTTTTTTTTTTTGGGATCACACGCGCAAGCCTTCTTTCTCCAAACATGACGAGCTGAATTTTTGCCAAAGACTTTTATTTTTATCTCATCTGACCAGAACGCAGTGTTCTGGTCAGATGACACTAAAGAGTTCTGATTTGCCTAATTGCTTGTGTGCAAATTTTAGACATGCAGAAGAGGTGTGTGTGGGGTGTAGATGATTGTGCTGCAGTTAATTGCTCATTATCATTAGTCTGTAAGGCCATTCTACTTTCTACTTGCATATTATCAAATCAATTATACTGACAGGGATGACTGAGATGTTTAAGGTCTTAGGTCTGATATGGCTCAGTAGCTTTTTCCATTTAGTTCCAGTTGTTTATTAATGTTCTCCCTAAGAACCTTAGGAAGCTCTTTTACTTTCATCTCTTGCATAAAATCTTCCCAACCAGCAGCAACATCTTTCAAAATGACACCTTGTGTAATTTGCACAAGACGTTTTGGCAGAACCTGATTTATTTTTATGTGTCCTTTATTTTTATGCAAAATTTTATGTAACCTGCACATACATATTTTAATGTAGTTTCTGAATACATTTTCCCCTATCAATTTTGTTTATTGTTATGAATACATACTTTTCTCTTTTAAGTACAAAGACAATATGTGTAAAATATTAGTGGATATATGCACTGGAAGTTTATTAAATAACAAATGGTGTCTGAATACTTACCCTGACTCAATATTGCCAAGGACAATATTACGGCTTTAACAAATAACAAATAATATATTGTTCAGTACTCACAAACTCACATTCACACACTTTCCCATCTTTGGCACTGCAGATAGTGGACATGCTGTGGAGTGACCCGATGCCACAGGACGGCTGCATCCCGAATGAAGTGCGAGGGGGCGGTTGTTACTGGGGGCCGGACGTGACACAGGAAGTGCTCAACCGCCACAACCTGCGGCTACTCATCCGATCACACGAGTGCAAACAAGATGGCTACGAGTTTTGTCACAACCGCAAGGTCAGACACCCCCTCCCCCAAACACAAACACATACATACATACATACATACATACATACATACATGTACACAATACATCCAAAAGTATCCAGACAGCCCTTCTAATGAGTGAATTCAGCGACTTTAAGGTGCACCCATTGCACTCAGTTGCACAGCTTGCATAAGCTCCACAGAAAAGCACTGACCACGCCCCAGAATGGGACGCTCTGGACCAGCCACACATGAGCCTAAGGTCATAATGCCCAGTGCCAAGCATGGAGTAGCGGGGTATAAAGGGCTGTGGAGCAGTGGAACTGTGTTCTTTTAGTCAGGAGTTCATTATTTTTTCAGTGTCAGAAAAAAACATGTATTTAGCAGAAAATTGCACAGGAGAATCAACAACTAAATATAATGTACCTTTATTACGGCTTCTATTCTTTTGGGGGAAAATACTTTCAGTTTTTCAAGGAAATCTATGAGAATATTTTTCACACCTCCAAAGTTCAGTCTTAGAAGTTGGTATAGCATTTTCTGCTTCTCACTGAAGCAGCTTGATTTTCTCCTCTCTCTCAAAGATGAGAGCTTTAAGTGCTGCTTATCTGATGGGGGCAGTTTTGGTGTCTAGCAGGTCTTGCAGGTGGTTGTTAGGAGTCAAATTTTCTCTGTAGCTTTTAATGATTTTAACTCCAGTTTTGAAAACTTCTGTTTTTTCACTTACTTCCTTCTGGCTTTCTCCTTCCTTATTCATCTGGATTATCTAATATCTTATCTCCTCAGAAATATCTTCTAAAAAATAAATTGTTGTACATAATGGCTGTTTTGATGGGAAGGGTGGTCTCCTTTGCACAGATTGTAGCCCATCTGTTGCTGTGGACAACTGATTAAGGGCTAGAGGACAGCTCACACAAATTGTGCATCTAATTGTACACCAGCAAGGTAGAGCTCCTATAGTAGTATTTTCCAATGATGTATGGGGTAGAGGGGGGCCGATAAACTGTGCAGCATTAGATGGACTAAAGTCAGTAATTGTACACCTACATGGTACCTATAAAAAATAGGCAACTCAGTGCAGCACAGTAGAGTATTTATGATTATCTCTCTATGTGTACAGGTGTTGACCATTTTCTCTGCATCTAACTACTATGAGGTGGGCAGCAACAGAGGAGCTTACATCAGACTGGGGCCGGACCTCAATCCACACGTTGTCCAGTACCAAGCCAGCAGATCCACCAGAGAACTCACACTGAGGCAGAGGTGAACAATGTCACACACATGCTCACACAAAGAGAGATAACATATGATTTTCTTCCAATTAATGTCTACTGGTCCATGAACATCATGAAAATTTCACACAATGTAAAGGGCAGTTTTTCAAGTTATACTGTATGTCCAAAACTTTGTAGATTCCAGCATTTCTTCTGAAGTAAAGGGTATTAATAGGGAGTTTGTCCCTCTTTGCTGCAGTAACAGCCTCTACTCTTCTGGGAAGACTTTACACTAGATGTTGAACATTGCTGTGAGGATTTGTTTGAGCATTAGTGAGGTCAGGTACTGATGTTGGATGGTCAGTTCTGGATCTCCAACTCATCCCAAAGGTACTGGATGGAGCTCCATCACTCCAAAGAAACACAGTTCCACTGCTCCACAGCCCAGTCTAGCCCACCCCTGGCATTGGGCATGGTGACCTTAGGTTCATGTACAACTGCTCCAGAATGTACCATTCTGTTGGCCTATGCTTTTCTATAGAGATAATACAAGCTGGGTGTGTGCAATTAAACACCTGTGTCAGCAGTTGGTGCAGCTTAGAGTAGATGACTCATTAGAAAGGTCTGGATATGTTTGGACAGATAGTGGAAGTAAATAAAACAATAAATATATATATAGAGACGGTTTAACTTGAAGCCATACCAGGCATAAACTTTGTGCGTAACAATGAATATGGAAAGTCAATATGTGCAATTAGTTAAGTGTTCTTGTGTGTCTCCAGTGTTGGTCGGACAGAGCGCTCTGCTCTACGAGCCCTGAGAGAACAGCTTTTTGCACACAAGTCTGACCTCATCAGCGCCTTCGAGGAATATGACCCAGAGCACACAGGTAACTACAGGTTTTGACTGGGCATTCTAATAAGCTGAAATCATGTTTTTTGCTGTGTTCCTGAGTCAAGGCAACTGTTTAGATTTTATAATAATTCAATATTATGATGTCAAGCTTGTAACAATTGAAGAACCCTTTAAAAAGGTTCTAAATAGAACCATCTACAGCACATTCTCCATCAATCTGAGGAACCATTTCAGCATGCAAAGAACAATTTAAGCATGAAATGGTTCTATATAGAACTCATGCTTCTAAATAGAACCATAGCCTCTACTGAACCTTTGAAGAACCGTCTTTGTCGAGAGCATACATTGTATTTCCAATCACTGGCCACTTTATTAGAAACATCTACACTCTTAGCTAAAATGATTCTTTGGCTTGTAACAATAGTGAAATCCTTTTTGGTGCTATATAGAACCCTTTTCAAAAAGGTTCTATATAGAACTATATACAGCACATTCTCAATTAGTCTGAAGAGCTCTTTCACAATGCAAAGAACCCTTTGCCAAGGGTTCTTTGACTGTTTTGGTTCTATATCAAATCAGTTTCTTTGCTAAGAAACCATTGAGGAGACAATTATTTTTAAGAGTGCACCTCATGGGTCCACTTGGTGCTAGAAAAACAAAAACAATATCATATTTCCTAAACTAGTGTGGTATCACAGTGTGATGAAAGGCTTGTTTTGATTGGCTTGGTCTGCTCCGTTTAAGCTGGTGGTGAAGGAACTAAGAGATTAAGACTAACTACAGCCAAACTTACAGCTTACTGCATGCATCGTTCTCAGGTGAGATCTCGATGAAGCATTGGGCCGTTGCAACGGAAACAGTGCTGCATCTGGGCCTGCCCTGGAGAGTCCTGCGGTCACAGCTGGTGGGATGTAGCACACAGGATGGCATGATCAATTACAACGACTGGTTCAGAAAGCTCGCCCTCATGGACCCCAACAAGGAGGTGGGTGCCAATTCAAATCAGGGGTCAGAATATTATATTACAGTATCGTAGGGGCTGTATCAGATTAGGTGATATTATTATACACTATGACATTGAACAGGATTTGATTGCATTCAGCCACAAGAGCATTAGGAAAGCCAGGTACTGACAGCTCTGATGGATGATCAGCTCTGGATCACTTCAACTCATCCCAAAGCCTCATCATTCCAAAGAACACAATTCTACTGCTCCAAAGCCCAATGCTGGGTGGCTTTAGACCCCTCCAGCCCACACTTGGCATTGAGCATGGTGACCTTAGGCTCATGTGCAGCTGCTTGCTCCAGTGTCCCGTTCTATTGATCAGTGCTTTTCTATGGAGATTATACAAGCTGTGATGGCAATGGTCTTAAAGTAGCTGAATTCTTTCTACTTTTGGACAAGTAGTGAATACAACGATGGCACAGAGAGTACGAGCATCCTTACATGTCACAGTATCACAGGAGTCAGACCACACTAGAGAATGTTATTATATCACATCTGATTATATTAAATCAGACTAAACAAGGAAAAACCAAGTGACATTGCGGTCAAAAATCAAATTTACACATTTTCGCCTATGGTGCCCTGGAGCTATGAAGCTAATTTAGCTGACTAGTAACAGAAGTTTATAGCCACCAGATTGTAAAGTGCAGCCCTCAATCACCACAAAATATGCCTCAAACCACAATGCTTAATTATTTCACCAAGGGCTTCCTTTACTACATTAGCCTTGTAGCTCCAGTGCTAAAATTAAAGAAGCAAACTTCAGACACCAGACATGACTTGGCTGATCAACTATATTTGGGGAAAGGGTGGAAAAATTTGCTTGGCCTAAATATTGCTGTAAGTATTGGGCCAAATTGATCACTTACCAGTTATTCTCAGTCTTCTTCTGATATACTGGAATAGCATTCTTCAGTCACTGTCCCATAGTGCCACAGGATCTCATTGCTTAAAGGGGAATTCCACTTATTTTTTTAATTTCTGCACAATTCAATCTTTGCAATGTAAACATTCATTCAGAGTGGTTTGATGTGAAATGCTTCATTATAGAGAAAAATCCGAACACCATAAATCATAAATAAGACATCAGAACATCATAAATAAGTCTGTACAGTTATCTCTTAGCATGCTGCTACACAGCAAAACTCTGCAAGGTCAGTGATCTTTACAGTTGTATGCAAATGTTGGGCATCTGGTCAAATGAGATAATGAGAAAAATGAAAACATAGTGCACTGCTTGGGTACATGCTGCATTTTGTGTTACATTTTATTTATACCAATATATTACATTCAGCTAATAAATAGAAATTGTGCCCTACAATCAGCAGAAAAAATGCCATAAATAAGTTTACCCCCTGTGGAGAAGGAGTTAAATTATTTACAATTAGAAAATCAACATACCATTTGATCAGGGTTGCCCAAATGTTTTCACCATATTTTGATATAAAATATCCTGAACTTTACTCAGAACTGCTTACCGAGACTCGTACCCAAAGAAAAGCAGCAGCGTACACTTATTATTATTTTCTCAAAATCCTCCACAATTCAGTGGTTAAGATGTAAACAGAGTTATTTAAAGTGGTTTGGTGTGAAATTGTTGATTATAGAGACTCAGATGTCTTTGCAGTGGTGGTGATAGGAACCAGGGGTCACCATGGCTACAACACAAATATAGACATTTTATTTACTATCCTGAACCACCAGTGTACCTACACGTCTTCTGAGTTTATATGGAATGTTGATGATGGTAAAATAGTGGAAAATCTGGATAAATATGTTTTCTCTAGGGACTATTTTGCCTTAGAAGTATCTTAAAATAATACCTCAGGCATCAGGCAGTGTATCTGTGACAATTTAGTGTAATAACTTTCTCTAAAACATTAAACACTTTGGATGTCTGGTTCCTATCACCACCACGCTGAACATTTCTGACTCTGTAAGTTTGTGTAGAACAGAGCATTTCACACCAAACCACTATGAATGACTCTTTACAGCTTAACCATTTAACTTTGCAATTATGATATATAAGACGATGTAAAAACACTAAACAGTTCATTCAGTGTTTCTATATGATATTTAATGTATAACGAACTTGAGTTAAATTCTTTCTGTCTTCACTCTCACCAGTTGGCTCATACAGGGCTGCTGGAAACCATGTACCGGCACCACTCCAATCTGGAGACCATCTTCAGAATTATAGACACGGATCACTCCGGTAAGGAGATCAGCTCTGACTCGCTTGACCTTTTCATTAATCTGTCTGACCCTCAGTATCATAACAACTGTGGAAAAGGCTTGTGGATTCTATTATTAACACAGAGATAAGTCTGTATTACAGTGTAATACCTAAATAACCAAAATAAACTGAAGAGAAACTGAATAAACTTAATACAATATACTGCCCCATGTGAGAACATCGATACTTCTAAAGTTAAGTTTTTACAATAAACTAGCACATGAGGAACATTCTCTGCAGTAGGTGCTAATAGTGCTATAATTGAAGGGATTCATGGTTTTACCCAGATAAACTATTCACAGATGTGATTATCTCCACCAGACAACATCTGATTGGCACAATTAAACAATTGGTGATTTGTTATAGGCTTGTTGTTATATTGGATACTTGCTATACAGAGTTGCTATAAAGAGGATCAAACAACACTGCACATCATGGGGAAAGAAACTTCTCAAAGGAACGCTCTGGACACCGTACATATGCAATGACATGCAAATCATGTAAACCCTGTATTTCATTGAAAATAGTACAAAGACAACATATCAAATGTTGAAACTGAGAAATTATATTGTATTTTGAAAAATATTTGCCCGTTTTGAATTTGATGCCAACAACATGTTCCAAAAAAGTTGGGACTGGGGCAACAAAAGGCTGGTAAAGTTGTGTAATGCTAAAAAAATGTGGTGGTTAATTGGCAACAGGTCAGTAACATGATTGGGTGGAAAAGAGCATCTCAAAGAGGCGGAGTCTTTCAGAAGTTAAGATGGGGAAGACTGCGCGGGCAAATTCTCAACGTAAAATAGCAAAGAATTTTGCTTTTCATCATCATGTACAAAATAACATTAAAAGATTCAGAGAATCTGGAGAAATCTCTGTATGCAAGGGACAAGGCCAAAAACCAGTAATTGCTGGCTGTGATCTTTGGGCCCTCAGGTGGCACTGCATTAAAAACAGACATGATTCTGTAGTGGAAATCACTGCATGGGCTCAGGAACACTTATGAAAACCACTGACTGTGAACACATTTCATTGCTGCATACACAAATGCAAGTTCAAACTCAAAAACGCAAAGAAGACCATATATAAACAGGATCCAGAAATGCTGCCGCCTTCTCTGGGCCCAAGCTCATTTAAAATGGACTGAATGGAAGTGGAAAAGTGTATATATACATGTTTTCGCAATGTTTGCTGCCATCCAGATGGCGTCTTTTTCAGGGAAGGCCTTAATTATTTCGGCAAGACAGTGTAAAACCACATTCTGCATGTATTACAACAGCATGGCTCTGTATTAAAAGAGTCCAGGTGCTAAACTGACCTGCCTCAGTCCAGACCTGTCACTGAAATGATTTGGTGCATTTTGAAATGAACAATATGACAAATGAGACCCCGAACTGTTGAGCAGCTGAAATCCTATATCAAACAAGAATGAGAAAACATTTCACTTTCAACACTACAGCAGTGTCTCCTCAGTTCCCAAACACTTACAGAGTGCTGTTAAAAGAAGAGGTGATGAAACACAGTGGTAAACAGGCCCCCGTCCCAACTTTTTTGGAGTGTGTTGTTGTTCAAAATGGGCATTTATTTTTTGGAAAAACAATACAATTTAACAGCTTCAATATTTGTTATCTTTGTACTATTTTCAATGAAATATAGGGCTAAAATTATTTGCACATCATTGCATTTTGTTTTTATTTACGTTTTGCACAGCGGATTGTGCGTGTGTGTATATATATATATATATATATATATATATATATATATATATATATATATGTATATATATACACAACAGCAATGCAATGGAATACACACATATTACATTCATAGCATTTTTGGAAGCAAGATAACATTACTGCTAGGAAGCTGACTATGAAGAAAGAAGAGTCTTCAAATCTAGTGTCCATTCAGTGCAAAAATAAACATAGAGTCACTGTTTTCTTTATGATTTTGTTCAACTATGGAGGGAGGGGCTACACTCATGTTAGCTTGTTGGTATGTATTAGCCTGTAGCTTAGCAGCTGGGCCAGCAGTTAGGATTGGTTGACACCTCAGAGATTCCCAATGGTTATGCAATATATTTGTGTAATGCATTCTGGGTTTTCTAGTGAGGGAACAAGGAAAACATGAAAAAAAATCATGGATTCTGTCAAACCAATGAGACTAAGGGATATAACGCTGCGCTATGGATAGCGTGAAAAATTACATATTAAACTCTAGTTATAGCCTGGAATGCTCCTCTAATGTAAACAAAGGGGGGGAACTCTAAAATTCTAAAGTATGATTAAACAAAACATGCATTTTTGCGAACTGAATCATGTTTTTCTTTTTAATTGCATTCAACAGTTTGGTCCAGTTGTATATTATGTGATAAAAGGATCTAGCCAAGTTGCAGCTATTACACTTCGGGGCAAATTCAAGAGTCTTAATGATTCATTCCTCCTTTAAGGTCTCATCTCATTTGAGGAGTTCCGGCAGACATGGAAGCTGCTGAGCTCTCACCTGAAGATGGAAATCAGCGATAAGGCAATCTCCGACCTGGCCCTCAGCATTGACTTTAACAAGGACGGCAGCATCGACATCAACGAGTTTATGGAGGCCTTCAGGCTGGTGGACTGTTCGCATGCCCAGATACTGGACAGCATTAACGAAGCGTTGACCCCTGACCTGCAACAGCCAAAAAGCCCCTCATAGAGCTGGGATTCTCCAGCTGGAGCCTTGGAGGACTGCAGCGCTGCACTGGTCTACAGCAATCTTATACAAGTCATTCAGAATTCAGAACCATTAGCCTACCGTGTTTGCACACAGAGGAATTAGACCTCCGCATTTAACCCATCCGTGCAGTGAAACACCCACATACATGCACACTAGTGAACACACACACTAGTGAGCATACTTGCCCGGAGCTGTGGGCAGCCCTATCCACGGCGCCCGGGGATTTGGGGGTTGGATGCCTTGCTCAAGGGCACTTCAGTCACATACTGTCTGCTGAGGGGATTGAACCGGCGACCTTCCGGTCACAAGGCTGGTTCCCTAACCTCCAGCCCACGACTGCCCCGACAATCATGTTTGGCGTCTGCAGTTTTTAGCATTAGCAATGGAGCTACAAGACTAACGTAGCTAACAAGTAATGAAAGCTTCTATCACACTAATTAGCATCATGCAAACTGCATGCCTCGAAACATGGCAAGTTGGGACCATATTCTACATTTTTTAAGATGCTACTACTGTTTTCAGCTATACACCATACTTTTGTCTGACTTTTTGCAGGCTTGGCTGATAGATAATATTTGAGATGATGTGAATATTGTGTAAATTTAGTGTATTTATTGTGTAATTGATTCTCTATAGCACCTTTTTGAAAATGGTTCTATATAGCACCCAAAAGGGTTCTTCTATTGTAACAGTGTTAAGCTTGTAATAAAAGAAGAACCCTTTTGGGTGCTGTATAGAACCCTTTTCAAAAAGGTTTTATATAGAACCGTCTATAGCACATTCATGCACATCCATCAGTCTGAAGAACCCTTCCATGATGCAAAGAACCTTTTAATCATGCAAAAGGTTCGTTGAGTGTTCATAGTTCTAGAACCATTTTCTTTACTAAAAGAACCTTTGAAGCACCATCTTTTTCAAAAGCTTTGAGAAGATTTTGGCTTAAAATATATCTTTAAAACCCATTCACGGGATACATGCAGGGTGTTGTGAGGCAAAATGCTTCCCAAAGAAGAAAAAATATTTCAGATTTTCCACTATTTTATCATCATTAACACAACATATAAACTCAGAAGACTCGTGTAGGTTCACTGGTGGTTCTGGATAGTAAATAAAATGTCTATATCTGTGTTGTAGTCATCGCGACCCCTGGTTTCTATCACCACCACTGTAAAGAAATCGGAACTATTTCACACCAAACCACTCTGAATCACTCTGTTTACATTTCAATGCTGAAATTCTGAAGACTTACGCAGAATCCCCCTTTAACAGAGACCAGTCTTACATAATACTAATGCTAGGGGGAAAGTGACTCGGCTTTTAGAAGTGTTCAACACTTAATAAAGATGGATAAATGGACAGAATCAGAGTATGTTTACAAGAGTCCTATTAACTCCATCTATGTAATATTAGACCATTTCTGCTGTGATCAATTGCAAACATATCTGCTGACGTGCAGAAAGGCTGCAAGTTATCGCTATCCTTGTTTCAAGTAATTCAAATATGACATGAAATGATATCATAGATGCTCAGCGACAAGCGTCAGTTGTGGACTCAACTGATGCAAACAGATATAAGAGACTGATGAGGCAAACGATGAGCACTACACACTATGTTCGAAGGTTTGCAGACACCTGTCTATTTACCCTTTCACTGGGCTGTGGAGCAGTGGAGCTGTGTCCTCTGGAGTGATTTAGCTCCATTCAATTCCTTTGGGATGAGCTGGATGATCCAAAACTGACCATCCCACATCAGTACCTGACCTCACTAATGCTCAATCAAATCCTCACAGCAATGGTCAACATCTAGTGTAAAGCCTTCCCAGAAGAGTAGAGGCTGTTACTGCAGCAAAGGGGGACAAACTCACTATTAACACCCTTCATTTCAGAGGAAACACTGGAGCAGCAGGTGTCTACAAACTTCTGGACACAACATGTAGAAATGGGTTGAATGTATCCAGTGTCTCTCATGCCAATAAATGAACAGCAAAGCAGTTTCCATTGTTTTGTTCAGCAAATTGCATTAGAAATAAGCTGTTTACCTTTCGCAGTCTTTGCATTTCTGGTCAGTATATCACCCAGTTCAAACAGCATTGTTATGTGCTACAAAATATTAAAGTTTATACAGTTTATTAAAAAAGGACTGAAGCTTTATGTTAACCAGAAAACTTTATTTAAACCGGTTTAAGTGTATACAGCACACACTGTTTTACAAAAAAAACTAAGATTCATAATAAAAGCCCTATTTACATGAAGATTATGATTAAAATGACTCTCCAGTGACCACATATGCACACTTCACAAAGCAAACATCCAAACTTAGAGTGCTGCTGATGTTCCTCAGGATTACAGCCATATGTAAATGTTTGAACACCCCCATGGTCAAGTGAAAATAAGTTAACATCCTCTACAAACCAAAATATGACATTTTCCTGCGAATTTTAGTGCACAATTTCCTTTGTATTTGCTGAGTTTAACATGCTGGAAAACAATCTAACGAAATATAGAAGCTTTTGCACAGACCACATTTTATTTTCTGTGCTGAATTCAGCAAATAAACTGTAACTGTGCATTAAAATGTGCAGAACTGTGTTCTCTGTAGGTGTGTTAACATTTTTCATTTTGAAAATCAACAAAACAACAAAAAAGTTGACCAGGGGCGCCTAAACTTTGCCTTTGTCTTGCTATGTTATCTCTGTATTCAGTGCTTCAAGAACCATGTCTGAATGAGGCAGAAACACACCTCTATTCTCTCCTACATCAAAGCTGGACAGCCTGCTTAATTAGCAATAACACAGATTCTTTAAGATGAAGACTTTTATTTGCAGCAGTGAACAGAGAGAACTGTTCTAGGATGTTGACTGCTGTTGAAAGTGCTATGCGTGTTCCTTGTGAAGCACTCAGACTGACATGGAGTTGTGTTTATGTATGTTTATGTGTATGAAAAGTGTATGAATGAGTGTGCATATCTGTATGTGTATGTATGTGAGAAAAGGTATGAGTGGATTGTGTGTAATGATCTTATCGGGGAAGATGGACGGGCCATGTCAGCTGAGTTTGCCTGCCCTCACGTGCACGCTGTCATGCAGGCCCTGCTCTATAATCTTGATGTCCTCCATGTCGTCTTTGATCACGCTGATCAGGTGGCTCAGACCCTCCTGCTGCTGCTTCAAGTGCTGCAGAAAAGAGATTTTAAGAGTTTAAGAGAGCAGCACATACCTATTTCAAGATTTCTTTACAGTGGTGCTGATAAGAACCAGGGGTCACAATGTCTGCTACTCAAATATAGCCTGTTTATTTACTATCCAAACCCACCAGTGAACCTATACGAGTCTTATGAGTTTTATATGGAATGCCGATGATGGTGAAATAGGGGTAAAAACAAGTTTTCTTTGGGAGCTATTCTGCCTCACAACACCCTACATGCACCTCTCCACCATGAACGTATTTTAAAAATCGTCGTTTTAGGCCAAAACCTTCTCAAAACTATAATAAAACAATGTTCGTACTCATTTCACGTTATAACTGTCTTTCTGTGAGGGATTTTAGAGACATTAAACTCTTCAGATGTTTGGTTCCCATCACCACCACTGTGAACAGGTTTCTTTAAAATGGGGCATTTGATATCAAACCACTCTGAATGACTGTTTACAGCTTAATGGTGGAATTCCCCTTTAACATTATACTATGTCAATTTACAAACGCAAACCTCTACTGCTAAGGGAAGAGATGAGGGAGGTTCCCCTCAAAATAATTACATTTTAAGCACACTGATCATAAGAACTCAATTTTGGGCTCTCATACATGCAAGCACGCACAAACCCAAACAGTGTTTACCTGTTTTATCTCTCTGAGCAGGTCTGTGTCTACGATGTATTTCTCCTCTGCCCGCACTGCGCCGTAGTGATTCTGCATTCGGATCTGAGACATCAGTTCATTCAGCCGACCCTGTGATGATACAAACACACACGCTGGAAATGAATACAGATTCAAAAGCAGAAGTAAAAACTCAACATCTGGAGTTCTACACTTAAAACTCAGTGCATCCCCAGTACAGAGCATCCCATCTTCTCCATATTACATAAACAACCTACACCGCTAAAACTCTCTGATAATTATCCATTTTTGCCAGTAATGCCGTCACCATGCCAACGTTTGCGTGGCCTTATGTTGCTGTCAGTCGCATACCGTTATGAGGCCTGAAACAATGGTATTTGCAAGAATGCCAACATGTAAACAGCCTTAGAGCTAAGCTCAGACTGAATCATCAGCTCTGACAACTGCTGCTTATGCTGAATTCAGACTGAATCTTAACGGTTAATGTTGAGATGAGAATCAATCCAAATCACAACCACTGAGTTTTTATTCTATTTGAATCGTACACATTGAATCTTCTGAGGTGTCCTTAAAAGGAGGAAATACTTATTTGTCCGCACTTACTTTAAACTGTGTGGGAGCATTGAGTTCAGACTGAATCATGTCCAGCTGCACCCTGAGATGCTCTTCATCCACCTGGATAGCATAACCACTCTTCCTCTGAATCTCCTGCCTTATCAGCACCTACATACATATAAAACACAAAACAACTAACTTTAATATTTGCGGTTCTTAGTGAAAAAAAGGCAAAAGCTATAGAATAAACAGAATCTATACTACACACTCAATTCAGTTCTTTAGCTACAGTAAAACTATAAATCAAGTATGTGAAATGGGTAGACATACGTAAATATGTTTTTTGTGACATCACAGAAATAATAATAAAAAAAAAAACTGGCTTATTTTCCATATATGAAAATAGTAGACTGGGGAGTGAATGGTATGTGTTGAAACTAGCAATGTTTATATACTACATCAAAGTATTGATGTATTTCATCAATATTTCAAAAAAAAAAAAAAAGTAAAATGTAATTTTCCATTATGTGTCCTGCAAATAGCAAACCAGGTGAACACTACCTGTAGAACTCTATGTGACAGATCCATCAGCTTCCTTTTGTACTGAGCAATCTTAGCCACAGTGGTTGCCTGGTTCTTCTGAAGCTCACTGATGTCATTGGAGATTATCTACACCACAAAAAGACACTCTTACCAAAAAAGTAATTTCAATGGACAATACAATGACAATGTTATCACAATATAAAGTCTGATATTTTAAATGAGAAAACTATAAGTACACTTGTAGGACCTGATTCATGTTTATCAGGCCAAAATTGGGGCATACAGATATTTTCCTCCTCTCCTGAACATGTTCCGTAGCTGTAAAGCTTCCCCACCAACTCAGCAATATAGGGCCACGTATGTTCTGTGAACTGTTTTATAACTAAACAAAAACCACTGGCCACCCCTTAGCACACACCCTTCTGTCTGGAGGCAGGTTTCATTATGAAAATGCTTTTTTCTGGGTGCATTAGGGCTGATAAGTCACTCACATCTAGTCTGGTTTGGTGCTGTTTTGTCATCTGTTCTTGAATCTTTAACCTGCGGAGCAACTCCTTAAACCCGACCATGGGCACTGGGATCAGCCTAGAAAAAAGGAAATTATTATTATTAAAACCAGTTACCATAAGCAACAGCACCAGTAATAGAAAAGTATTAAATATTCAATGGAGTAAGTGTCTCGATCTCAGGCCCTGTTCACATTTATCTGGATATTTCTGAAAACATACATTTTTGCATATGTATCAGAATGTACTGCGCTCAGTTCTCGTAAATGGGATATCAACTCAACCGCAAAAATGAAAAATTCCTCAATGATTCTAAAGACCTGTGACTTGATTATTAACAAAAGTTAGATTTGGAAATCAAATGAAGCACAAAGCTTAAAAAAAACACAAAAAAACATCTCTGTGGACTGTGTGAAATGAGTGTGTGGACAGGACAGAAATCAGACTACTGTGCGAAATGTTGAACTGCTAAAGCCTGTTTTGTTACAAAAGTGTGCTTTAGCTGACATTTCATGAGGCGTTATCACCCTTTACTGGGCCGGTATGCTAATGTGAGCATTTGTTGTTTTTGCATTCTTGTGTGGTCAGAGAAATTTTCAAAAACGCTGTTGGTATCAGCAAGGATTTTTTTTGAAAATTGACGAAAAATTAGGATGAAGCTTCTGTATTTAAGAAAATGCCAAACATTAATACAGAAAATATTTTAAAATTACTTTCATTGTAATGATCAGTAGTAATACAGGCAATGGGGAAATACTGACTCATTGTCTCAGTCTTTATTTCAGCTATTTATTTTCAATATAAGTAACATCAGCTATTTAAAATGACTTAAGTTCACACTTCAGGTAAAAGTGGCCAATATCCATTTTTTCTCCATATTGTTGCTGTCAAAGTATCTCTGAAATGGTAGCTTTAGAGGAGAGGGCAAAAACTTTCCTTATTTAAGGACAAGAGATTTGAACCTATTGCGGAGTATTTCTATTGGTCCCATCAGCATGAAAGTTTCACATCATGTAAAGGCCATTTGCTCAAATTATGCAGAAAATAAAAAAAAAAAATGCAAAAAAAAACAAAAAACAAAAAAACAAAAACAAAAAAACAAAACAACAAAAACAAAATTTCTCCTTTTTTTTTTACAGCAACAGTATGTGAAACAGTGGCAGTAAACAAATGAGCAAGGTGAAAAATCAAAACAAACAGCTACTCAAAATCTGTTTTTCCTTCTTTAATAAGAATTTGAAGCAAATAAGTTTTTGACACGGTAACTTGTATACTGTTCATTTTGGCACTGAGTTTCTGTCCCTTTGTTCAAACAAAAGAAACTGAGCTTCATTTCTGTATCTGACCGACTTCCACAGTTAAAAAAATTGGAACTATTTAGTATTTTTAAGAATTCTTCTTGCTTAAAACTTAGACTGAGCATTGTGCACTAGACTGCCAGTTATTTGTGGTTGTGATGTCACAGCACAAGGACATTTGGTTGCTTATGAGTGGTCTAACTCATCTACAACCAATTCACAAGCTCTGGGTTATTTTGGGGTAAAATATTCCCACATAAGACAATGTTATTAATCATTATACTGTAATAAAAATGGCAGCGTTTGTGATTTTAAAATTGCGATATTAAAAAGATTAATCTTTCAGACAGTGGATGATAACGAAAGGTTGTTCATACTTTATTTGAACACTACACCACATATGACCTCACAAAACAATGAACTGAATAATATGTCTAAAAAGCAAGGACAAAATGACATGATAGGCAAGATGACATGGTGTTTCATAAGGTAAATGGCATTGTTTTGACATTAGGACGTGTGAACCTTGCTGACGGATATTTGTTCCATTTAGAACATAGTTCTTAAGCATCATTCCTAAATAACGGAACTTTTAAGGCAGACGCCCAGTTAAGAATACCTTATTTTGATTTTGGCATCGAGTTGGGTTGCATTGCTAGCTTTGTCCAAATGAAAGAAATTGAGCTTCCTTTCTCCATCTGATCTACTTCTTTTATCAAAATAAGCACAGAAAATCACAATTATTACGTTTCTTTGTGCTTCACATTTGATCAGCAGTTTTAAGGTCAGATTTTGATTTCTTGCGAAAGTGGTCTATTAATTTTAAATGAAGATGCAGAACAGGTGTGTTTGTTAAATGAGTAATGTCACACATAGGCCACATTAAAAAGATGTGAAAAACCAAAGAAAAAACAAACAAAAAAAAACACCGCTCACCTGTCAGGCTCAGGGTTGTCCACTTTAGCCTGCTCCCAAATGATGGGATCCACTCCTGAAAGAAAACCATAATCATGATCTATTTAATTGCCAGTCTTCACTCCCTGTTAGCCCATTAGCATTTCTTATCTCTTTAAACAGGAATTCTACAGATTTTTATAAATTTCTGCATAATTGAATTATTAAGATGTAAAAATAGTCACTTAGAGTGCTTTGGTGTGAAATGCTCTGTACACTTACGGACTCAGAATTGTTCACAGTGGTGGTGATAGGAACCAGATGTCGGAAGCTTCCAAAAAGCCTCTGAAAGCTCCTTCTTAGAAAGTTATGGTATAGAAATCGCTATACATACACTTTCTGATGCCCAATATATTGTTTTAGGCCTAAAAGGTACATGTACATAGCTTTGTACTGGACTTGCAGGACATGCTATGTCTTAATTCTGTATCTTTCTTTCTTGGTATTAGCACTGGTTTTAGTTTCTGGCAGTGTCATGGGTAATTTGGACTCTATTTGAACTAGCTAGGATACATTCTCTGAGGGGACAACAAAACACTTTTATAAGTCACTCTGGTTACGAGTGTCTGCCAAAATGCTGTGAATGTAAATGTATTTTTTCTGATTTATAACTATTTTCCTATGATCAACATTCTATATAGAACTGAGGAGACTCGTGTGGGTTCACTGGTGGTTTTGGATGGTAAATAAAATGTCTATATTTGTGCTGTAGTCATGGCGGCCCCTGGTTCCTATCACCACCACTGGAAAGACATCTGAACCATTTCACACCAAACCACTCTGAATCACTCTGTTCACATCTTAACGAGCAAATTATGCAGAAAAAAAAAACTGCAGAAAAAAAGTGAAATTTAATGATGGCTGGTTTTGAAAAGACGGCTGTTTAAGCCTCCTAATATGGTGAAAAGACAGGACAGCGCCACCCACCTGCCGGAGGGTTCTGCAGAAGCTGTTTGAGCTGAGCAGGGGACAATGAGGTGCGGGTGACACTCATGGTCACACCCAGCTGCTGCAGCTGGCCCTTAACGTTGGTCTGCTCCACATAGTTAAACAGACTGGTGGCTGGAACTCGCTTTGACGTGCCATTTGGTGAACGCTCCACCACATAGATTATAACCTCTGTTCTGTGTAAAACACAAACAAAACACAAATACTAAGTATGGCCTGTTTATACGTTGTGCCCTGTATAGGTCTAACAGAAAGGTGCTCTTTTCAAAATCCTCGTGTTCAACTGAATGGTGAATGTAACTGACACTGAGAATGCAATAACTTAAAACACTGAATAGTATTGAATTTTTGAAGATTTTTTTCTTCAACAATGAGCATGTGATGTCATAGCACGTGGTCTAACTCATCTACAAGCAGTTCACAAGCTCAGGGTTACTTTTATGTAAACCTTTCCAACTTAAGACAATATTATTGATCATGCAGGGTATAAAATATTACAGCTATTGTGATATTAAAACAATTACTCTTCCAAATAGTGGATGACAAAGACAGGTTAGTAACACTTTATTTGAAGAGGACCTACATAAGGGCCTCAACAAAACAGTGAACTGAATAACATATTTAAAAACTAAAGACCAGCTTATGTCAGTATACACATGATGACCTATAGTGTTTTATAAAGTAGATAACATTGTATTGACACAAGGACGTGTGAACCTGATGGATATTTGTCCCTTGTTATGGAGCATCATTCCCAAATAATGGAACTTATTAGGCAGAGGCCCAGTTAAGAGCATCATATATTAGTTCTATGAAAAGATTTTGATGCCCTCAAACTAAAGTGATCATTTTTACACATGTAAATTGTAGAGGTGGATTAAGTATAAAACCCCTTGCATAGTTGCACTCGAGTACTAAAGTACTTGCTTTTAATACACTTAAATGTTAAAAGTACAAGTAAAAAGTTAGCTGTTCATAAATGCTACTAAACTCATGTGTCGTGAGTCTGTATGTAGGCACTATACCTTATGTTTCCCAACTTTTTCACTTTAAAATCAGCTATTTATTCAACTGATTTAGCACTGCCAAAAGAAAAGCAGCCTGCTAGTAAAGGTAACAGTGAAGTGAGCTGGGTACTGACTGGTCATCAGGTAGAGCTTTGACCCCCTCCACGTTGACGGTTAGTGTGGGGTGTCCTCCCAGGATTTTGTGAAACGACTCCACCAGCTGCTGCTGCTGACTGCGCACATCTGCCTCCTTCTTATTTAGAGCAAGAGCCACCAGACCGTCCTCATCCTTACTGCTCGGGATGCAGCTGTAACCCACCGCCTGAGAGAGAGAGAGAGAGCGAGAGAGAGCGAGAGAGAGAGAGAGAGAGAGAGAGCGAGAGAGAGAGAGAGAGGGAGGCAGACTGTTAGAGTAAAATCAGCAAAAGAAAAACGAAGGATGTGTTTGTCACAGCATACTGTGTACTGTATGCTACTCTTAATCAGGAGTATACAGTACAGTATCCAGGTATCCAGTGTGCAAACATTGATACTGTACTACAGGGAACAGGTGCAACTAGACTGCCAACACCAGGCACTGAGCCAAGTTACTGTTTTGACCACATTATCTATGCAGTAGATTTAATTTATTAGTATGAGTTTATTTTTTAATATGAGTGCAGTGGCATTTGGACAAATTACTTTTTTTAATTTCGCTGTCATTTATGGATCCAAATAAGGTGGAAATCTGCGCTATTAAACAAGGTTAACCAGGCAGTTACATCAGTGGTTAAGTCCTCTTAAAATGACCACGTTGCATTTTGGTATGCAGTAAATCATGAAGAATAGCTCAGTGTGGGGTACTAGAATATTTGAACAGAGCAGTACATCATCCGGGTATCTTTGGTGCACTGAAGAAATATATAATATATACTGCTTAGCACTTTTGGGCACAATCAGTGTGTGAGTTGTAGGCTATTTTGAACAAAGCCAAAGAAAAACATTATGAATAAGTTTAAGTAGTTTAAGGTAAACAATGTCTTCCACATCCAACATTAAAGCTTCATAATACAAATGATTTTGTTACAGACTGCAATTGCAATATGTGGCTATGTTGTAGGAATTTGGAGACCTCTCTGGCAGAAATGTGTAATTGCATGCTACGTGCAGAAGAATATTTAGTAATGTGGGTTCCACTGATGTGAGTGAGTTGTCTACTATTGTCTTCATCATAATGTTGATTTTGCATTTGAGACCTAAACATCGAGCCGGACCTTTTTTTGAGCCTGTCAGTGTGACATTAATACATAAAAAATACATTAGGCATTGACATGACATTAGGCAGCCATATTCAACATGCTGCCTGGAATCTCTACATTATTATTTTACCCTTAATGACTTAGACCTTTAGTAATGCCCAGCTACCCATTGGATGGCATTGGCCTTTTGAAAATGTTGCATTAGCTGTGAAACTATGACTAACTTTGAAACGACAGAAAGGGTTCTCCTGGGTGAAGTCCACAGGTGGGATGTTGTTGTTGAAGTAGCCCTTCCCAGTGCCCCAGAAGGCCTGCAGCTGATTCCATTTCGCCAGGATGGCATCACGCTCATCATTGAGAAGAGTGGGGGCTGAGAGGGCACTGGCTGTGTTGATCAGCTGGTTAGACTGTGCTGGGGCTTGGGCCTGCTGGCCAAACAAACCTCCTGCAAGTAAACAAGGTGAATATTAATCACTGTAGCACATAATAGACAACAGCTAAGACACATCAGTCCAACAAACACCAACATGGTGTGCCATAACTGTGTGTAATATCGCTTGAAAGTCTCTAGACTGACTAAATTATGTTTCATTTCTGACTATTTTCATTCACTGTTAGCCTTGCTGTAAAGCTGGGGTGTCAAACTCAGTCCCAAACAGTCACAGCTACACAGAGATCAGTGATTTTTTTTCCTAATGCTGCGTTCATGATAACTGGGAACTCTGTGCTTCCTATCCTGAAGTGTTCATGCAACCACAGCTGATTAAGGTTAGAAAAATGAACACACACTGAGCTGGAGTTTGTTTGTCTACTGTGTGCTTAAAAGCTCTTAAAAACACTGGAATTAAAAGCTGTTTGCTTGGTGCTTCATTTTCTTTAAAAGTGGCACTAAATAGCTTTGGAAATGACATGCTGGGAATACTGTTAGCTAGTTTCTTCTTTCTTTCCCAGCTTGAATTATGTGTTGGAGAGCTGCTCAAGTGGATTCTTCGCCAGCTGGAGTTCACACGAGCACAGCACTGAATTCAACTCATGAAGGCCACTTTATTTACTAAACACTGCAGCAAAAAACAATGGAATACCTTACACTTTGTAAAGTATTCCACTGGTAGACAGACAAATGTTCAGTCTTCTCCACAACCTGGTTGACAAACCTTCAGAATCCCTGGGTAGCCTACTGACTGCTATCCAACAGGGACGACACAGCATTCATGATGCAATGAATACTAACTAGTTACTTCTAGCATGCATTCACTGTTAGCCTTGCCGTACATAACTGAAATGGAAAAATGAACAACTACGTCGTTCTAAACAACTGACTATACAGCTGTTGTAGACTCTTACCTTGTTGAGGCTGTGTAGGCTGGAGGTTAAAGCTTCCGAAGCCCAGGCCTCCACCTCCCAAACCTCCAAACCCTGTTCCAGTACCAGTGCCTGTTCCAAGTCCAGATGAAAACCCAAAGCTCTTATTCTGAGTGTTTCCAAACAGACCGCCACCTGTCAACAAAACATGAATCATAATTTAAGGCAATCATCATTGCATACATGCTACACAACAAACACTATGGTCAGATAAAATCAAGTCAACTGTGTCTGTTGTACAGTTTATGGTATATTATAAAGCCGCAGTGCCATCTAGAGGTGACAAATTGTAACACAAGCCTTTCAGATCCAGCCCTTGTCCACATGCAATGCTTTGGATTGGCTACAGTGCCAGAAATAACACATTTTATTTATTTATTTTTTTTTAAATTTTATTTCTCTGAGTGCAAAAAATTTCACAACCCTACATGTACTGTGGTTTCGCACTACGGCATATGTTTCTGATACAGGAATATAAAAGAAATGCTAACATTTGTTGTTTTCTCTTAATTGAACAGTTGAAACCATTTCAACGTAAAAAATATTTTTATAGTACCAAATCTACTTGTATTCGATTCACAGTGTATATCATAAGGAAACCTTAGTATCCAAAAAATTTTTTTTTTCATTTTTAATCAGCCAAAGCAGACTATGTGTCCATGGAAGAACTAATAAGACCATGTTATGAACATTCTTTGTATATACACCCTAAAATAGCAAAAGCAAAAAACAAAACAATTCTACAATTCAGATCGAATTTTATATTTCAGGGGCCCGAGCCCTTATTACTTTCTGGCACTGGCCGGGTATTGGAAGGTCACCTGTGTTTGAGGGGTTGGAGAAGCTGAAGGTGGAGCCGGCAGCGGCTGAAGTAGTAGTGGTGCCAAAGCCTCCAAACGCACCTGGACAAATACAGGTGGTTAGGAAGGAAAAGAAAGATCAGTGAGAGTGAATGAACCAGAACATGCCCAGAGTGAAGATGACATTTAGTGGGGGAAAGTGAAGGGGGAACAAATGAGACACTGTGCAACAAGATTGTGCCACGAGGATGCTGTTGAGCGTTTCGTGTTGACATGGAAATGAAAAAGGCCTAAAACTACTAAAGCTGCCTTTACAGGGTGTAAAGACAGCCTATGTTTACAAGATTGCTACAAAAAGGGGTTGACAGGAAAACTAATTTCAAACTGAGTTTCACTCATACGACCTCTTGCTTTTCATTTCGGCACTCATGTAAACAGGTCAGAGCTTTCACACAGACTGCACGAGCAGAGCCGCAATGCATCCCAGACGAGCCACTGAAGTGGTGAGATGTTTAGAGAATGGGCATGGAGTCTATTTTTTTCCGCTTGCTGCACATGCCACACAGCAAAATAGGCTATGAAACTGAATAAAAATGAAACAGGAAACCAAACAAAAACTCCTTAAGGTGCAGTTTCTTCAATTCATGATTGTTAAAATGTGAAGTGTTTCACACTACATTTGCGTGTTGTGGTAGGTCTACCAGGCTTGAAACAACTTCCCAATCAGAAAAATGTTGGGGCCAAACAAATGTATCATGCTACTTCACAAATTATATTTACTCAGTAAAGTAACTACCTATTCATGTAGTAAAAGGATGTTTGCAACACAAACACTGTATACGTAACTGACTAATGTGCGCTAACTGCAGAAGTAACACTGCCACATTACACAGAGGTAGTACGTGTGAAACAGGCCTAACACAATGCATTTGTAACAAAACTACAAAGACTGGCTGGGTCAAGCTGTTTCAAACTGGATTTTCTAAAAGATCAGCACAAATACCGCAAACTAAACCTTTCAGTAACACTTTACTGAAAGGCAGCAATTTTAAACGCTACACAATGTCTACATAAGCCTTCTATTACTTTAACTGACGTAAAACTACAACAGCAATTATAATTCCAACAGGAGTCAGTTATTATAAAGGCTGCTTTTGTCAATTTTGATTTCATTCACCTCAGTTAAAAGGACCAACATCCTACATTCTTCTTGTATTTTATTAGGTCCACTTATGATAACTGTGTGGTTTTATGAACCAAAAACAGCCATAATTCATTTTTACATGATTATTGTCAAACCTCTCTTTAACCCTTAAAATTAAACTGCCTGTTTTTTGATGCCGTGCCTTTAAGACTGACATATGACAATGAGCTCTGCTCTGATTGGATGTGTTTAAAAAGCAGTTCGTTCAAAAAAGCTGAAACACTCCTTATAACTTCAAAGTAAACAGGCCGGGCTAAACTGCTGTAGGCCAAATATGTGTATAGGTAACATACAAGAATATTTGCAAATGGGTGGTTTTCCGTGACATCTCAAAAACTAAATTCAAAATGAGCTGTTTTTGCAGCTTAGTTTTCATATAGGGACCGTAAGGACTTGGGGTGATTGGTACGGTTTGAAAATGTACATACTACACCAAACTGTTATTTTTAGGAGGAAAATTTGTTTTTCCAAAACCCACGATCGAAACACAAAGTCCGCGGGCCATGTCAGGCCCGTGACACAATCCTATTCGGCCCACAAAATTATTTTCATTTTCTTCTTATTAGCCTGTTTCACTCTGAGATGCACTACAGTCCCCAGCATGCTCTGCAACATAATGTGCTCCGACCCCCTTCCCACAACAACAATCTATGGGCCAGTGCACACAAAAAGAAAAGATTCCTGGTGTCTAGTTCAAGCAAACTGGCAGTTAAAAAAAACTTTCCTGAAACAATTTTTAATTCTAAATTTTTATTTAGAATTATTTTAGCCCGTTCACGGCAAAATGTTACGTAAAATGAAACAACAACTCAACCGCCTAAAGATTTGCTCAATTTTTTTTATTTGGCCGTTTTAGTGGTTGAGTTTAATACCACTGTTCCAAGACATGGGCCCTTTAAGTGTCGACAACTGATGCTTGTTGGAATAAGCCTTGATAAATGTCTATATAGATTTATGTCAGTTGTCAGGAAAAGCTTATGTAAGTGTTGCGTAGCCTTATGAATGAATTGTCTTCATTAAAGTATTACCAACCTTTCTAATAGCTTTAGTGCAGGCAGCTCTAAGACATACACTACAGTTAACTGGATGGAAAAAAAGCTGACTGCATTGAATTACATAATTTCAATTTACTGTATATTGGAATAATGTTGAGGTGAACTATACAGTAGACAAAACAGAAAAAAAATATTCACAACACTCTTCAAAGTACACATAACTAAAAAAAATCAGATGTATATGTTGTATATGATGCCATATAAATGATTTGGTAATATGGTGTAAGGGAAAAATGGGGCACAACCCATTGTGGGGTAAAACTGATTTTTTTTATATGATTGAACAGGTTCTGGTTGGAAAACTTGTCTGTTTCAAATAACACAGAGCTGAACTGAACAAACTGTTTGGCACCAATTTATCTTAGGCTACATTCACATTATCAGGTTGAATCCGATTTTTTGCCCTAATGTGACTCAGATTTGTTTTCAGGGCTGTGTGGACATGCAAATCTGATCTTTTCCAATCCGACCTGAGTCACTTTCATATGTGGTCCTACATTAGATATGTATCCGATTTGTGGCCATGTGACCTTAATGTGACGCTCAGATCGGAATTCATGTGCTTTTTTTCCACTGCACTGCGCCATCATTCAGCGTTACCATGGCAACAGCGCTGAACAGAAGTTAAAGCCTGTAAACGGTGGAAAAGCAGCTCATCACACCTTTTTCTCCTTCGTCTCGCTCTAATAATGAAGCTGAGAGCTGATCAGAGTTAATTATCTTCTCAGCGAGATCGGATTTGAGCAAAAATCAGATTTGAGAAATGAGGCTTGTAATGTGAACGTAGCTTTAGAGTCTCTTAGCTAATGTCACAACTCGCCCCTCCAGTCTGTTACAGTTCACAGTTAAGTTGTAACATTTGCCCTCAAGCCAAATTGAGCTGAACTGCTCACAAATGGTAGGAGCCTGAAACAAAACATTAACAAAAAAACTAGATGTGTCAGGTGGAGCCCCACTCTCTCCTATGGTTGTGTTGACACTACAAACATACGTTTAGGCAGGAACATCAATCAAACACAATGGTAGACTGATGATAACGATGACAATGACGATGACAATAAAATATAGCAGAACACTCTAGAGAGGCATCTACCTGCACCACCAAGACTATTGCCAAAATTGAACACAGTGGCGGTGGTGGTTGGGGCCCCAAAGCCCCCCATGTTAAAGTTGACTGCTGCTGGATTATTGTTCAACCCAAACCCCCCAAAACTAAACCCCCCTGTAGTGGTGCTGACAGGCCCCAGACCCCCAAATCCTTAACGGCATGGAAAGCCACGAAGAGAAAAAGAGAGAAAAAGGGAAGAACGAGAGCAACGTTAGTCGAGAGTCAGTTATGAAGATGTGAGATGCTAAACAGCTGCATTCAAAAACAGTACAGCTAGAACTGAGTGCATGTTAATACAGCGCTTGAGGGCAGTGCTGGGCAATATACTGTCCATACAGTCACATAATGATGCTTATTTTTCATTTTAGAGGCAACTTAACTGCAGTGCATGTTATTTGCTGGGTGCTTCAGATTATTTTGAAGGAGCAGCTTTGAACAAACTGTTTTAATTATAGACAAAAAGACAAACCTGTGGTTGTTGAGCCAAATCCAAACCCTGTGGGTGCAGATGTTGTTGTGGTGGCTCCAAAAGCTGGTGCAGTCAGACCTGGAACAATGATAATTAATTGCTTATGTCTGGGACAATTTTACAAGTACCTGCAAATGAGTCAGGAAAGCTTCTTACACAGGACCGCAATGACATAAACACACTGTACCTCCTAAAATATTAAGTGCACATGTAAGCAGAGATGAACAAAAAGCTCAGCAGTAATCAACTTTCAGGGAGAGAAGGTCGTTCAGATGGTGAAACTACCTGGGTGTCACCCCTGCTCATTCGTTGTGCACTTGGCAACACAGAAATACACCTACACTCTATGTCCAAAAGCTTAGACACCTGCTCATACAGTATTTCTTTTGAAATCAAAGGATTAATCGTTTTTATAAACTAAAAGTAATTTTAAAAAGAGTCCAATTTTCAAATCACAAGAGCTGCAGATTTTCATTACAGCTCGTGTTGTGAAGAATGGTGTACTCTTAAGCAATAGAACACAAGAGGGAGTGCATTATCGTGAAATAACATCACAGCACGAGCCGAAGGCGAGAAATTAATAAACTGGGCCGTGAACGCGGCATTTAATATGTTTTAATGTTCACAGTTCCTTCACCAAATTATATTTCCTTAACGAGCAGCTTGTTGCTACGTCAGAGTAACGAACTCCGCCCACTCGCTGCTCAGTCTGCTGTAAGCCTCACCTTTTGAAGTACAGACTGAGCCATAAAACTAGCACAATATCAAGTTTAGCTCAGTTTCGTCAGTTTTTGCCAGATCAGTATTAATGTTGTTTTGTTCCAGCCAGTCTGTAAAGCATCTTACAGCCCATTTAGTTTGGCGAATGGTGTTGGGTTCATTTCTGGCTGATTCCAGGTTGTTTAGCTGTTCTTCTGTCACAGCTGTCGACTGAAAAGCTGCTCAGTGGTGATGACAGTTTGGGAATTTAGTGTCGTCTCATCTTCAGAGTCTAACCAAATCGGCTGTCGGTCAAATGTGATCTTAAAAGTGTCCATTTTCTGTTTGTGGCAAAGTAAGAAGTAAAAACGTTCAAATGGCTTGAGCATCTCCTACAGCTGTCAAAGTCGTTGCTTAGCAACGGCGTCTGAGCGGAGTGATACAGTGTTTGTGAAAAACCTGTGATGTTATGGTGAAATTACAGCACCGTTAGAACGCTTCTCAACCAATCAGCTTGCGTGGCCGGAACTAACTGTTGTATAACGAAATTTATAACATTTATAAATTACATATTTTATAACATGAAGCTTGAGAATCGACTGTAGAGAGGATTGACCAAAAGCAACCAAACACAACCACAAAGAACTAGCAGCATAAAAGGCTCAAGCCAGAAAAAGCAGATGTATCTTCTTGGCCAAAATAAGATTAATTTTTGAAAAATAATCACAATTTACATCATGATCAGAAAAATCACAATTAGATATTTTACCTAAATCATTCAGCCCTACTTTTACTAGGGAGGATATTCCCCTTTGCTGCAGTAACAGTCTCTACTCTTCTGGGAAGGCTTTACACTAGATGTTGAACATTGCTGTGAGGATTTAATTGAGCATTAGTGAGGTCAGGTACTGGCGTTGGATGGTCAGTTCTGGATCACTCCAACTCATCCCAAAGGTATTGGACGGAGCTCCATCACTGCAATATGGGCAATATAAAGATATTTAATTTAATTTCTGTTTAATTGGTTGTTTTGCTGTGCAATGCATGAAACGTTGAATTAAATCATTTTACTGATCATTTTTGACAGGATTTTTATTGGTGGTACTAATGGTAATTAAAGTTTACATGACCATTAAACTGGCTTCTGTTGTTTCTTTACCTTTAGGCCTGATGTACATAAATGGGCTCTGTTCTGATTAGCTGCCCTGCATTGTACCTCAATCAAAAAACAGTCCAGGCTGAAACAGACCTTGTAACTTCAGCATGAGTGGGTAAGGCTAAACTGCTATAGGCTGAATAGAAGGATTTATGTAAATTAGTTGGTTTTGCGACATTACAAACTCTGTATTCTTAACAGGTTGTTTTGCTTACTTAATTTACTTTTTTCAACCCATTTCGAAACAATACCCACTACAACAAATGCTTTTGTCAAAAACGTATGAATAATTCGTTTTTCCATGATACAGGCCTTTAACAGTAGCTAAATGCATTCATTAAATGGACTGTCTGGTTACTTTTGGACAAACAGTGTAGGTAAGCCTTCTCCACTCAGGTGAACACTGACATGGATTACAGTATAATGAGAATGTAAAATGATAGCTTAGATGCAATGGTTAATTATATGAACATGGACAGATGAACTTACTACCAAATCCGGAGGAAGCGGTAGTGGTGGTACTAGTACCAAAGCCAAAAGCTGTTGACGCTGTCGTTTTGGCACCAAATGAACCGAATGAAAACCCCGAAGAGCCTTTATTGACAACAGACAAGACATCAGTGACAACAGGTTCACGAAGAAACGTGAGGAGGATGGACACCATGGTTCTCCTCATGCTTTTCAATGATGCCATGCTTATCAGAGACAGAGCGAGGCATGCGGTCCACAAGGTCAGTACAAGGCAAACTCAACGAACTGCTTGCCACAACTCTGCTTTTCTAACAGACAACAGACAAGTAAACTTTGAGCAATAGGAATGTATCAGTACTGGAGATTAGAGCTGGGCAGTATGACAACATATATTGTTCTCATGACAAATTATGCCACAATTCAATGTGCTTTTCTGAACATATCATGGATTTAGTGCAGCACAGTATGACAAATATTGAATACAAATCATTGTATTTGCAGTTTTTGATGCTTTATTTATTTTTTTATTTTTAAAATGTAGCACTACTGCTTCTTCCCAGTTCTAACTGATCAGATGTCTGAAAAAATAAATACCATGACGAATCGTTTATTGTAAAAAATTCTTAGAGTATCGCGATATATCTTTGCCATATCACCCACCTCTGCTAGAGCTGCAAAATCAATCAATTACACGGCCCATATTCTACATTTTTGTTTTTTTTTGTGTCAACTCATTTTAACATGATTTTTTTCAAACCTCTCTTTATCCCGTAGAATTAAGCAGGCTGTTTTTGTTACTGTGCCTTTAGGACTGATATGTCTGTGAGCTCTGTTCTGATTGGCTGCCCTGTATTGTGTCTCATTCAAAAAGCAGTTTGGGCTGAAACACTGAACAGATGGACGTATGTGAACGTGTTGTGTTTCGTGACATAACAACAAACCTAATACCTTTTTATTCCCTCTTTTCCTTTATTCCTCCCATCAGTCACAGAGGATGTTTAACCTGCCCTTGACAATTACTTGAACTTCCATTTTCAGTCTGTGTATCACAGATTCTGTCTATTATGTAATCAGTTTTTTATTAATTTGGCCTGAAAGCCGAAGCTGGGGAGCCATTTCTGTTTTTACTGCAACAGTTTTCAGAGTTTCACATATACTGAAATAGTTTTTTTTACTATTATTTCTTTAGAAAGTAGACAATGTTAAGTTAAATTAAATGATGGGCAATATAACTAACTTGGCTAATCTTGTAAGTAAAATTAAAAAAAAAAAAAACTGTCAGCCACTGAACGAAAAGAAGTTTTGGAGCTGAGAGTGTCGGTTCTTACTGGTGAGCTGAGCCAACTGCTCTGACTCACAGAAAAGAGCCACTACTAGTTGAGCAAGAGTGTAGCTGCTTTCTATTGCATTTCAATTTCAAAAAGCCCTGATGGAGTGATCTATACAGCACACAAACTAGGACTGAAAGATTAATCATTTTTATATCAAAATCACAATTTATGATTTAAAAAATGTATATATACACACAATATCAATGACGTTTTCTTAAGTTATAAGTGGGGAAATTTAACCTAATAACACAGAGCTTGTGAACCACGTGCAGATTAGTTACATCAATCAGAGGCAGGCAAATCTCCATATGTTTTGACATCACAACCACAACTTACTGGCAGTCTGGCACACTACATTCAGGGGTCACGCCTCTTCTGGGCAAAAAAAAAAAAGGCCTGAAACTTCACGCATCACGCAGAAGAACACACGAAACGTTTTATCATTTAATCAGTCGAGGGACATTTGGTAGGTTTTCGTGTTGGTGGCTGCTTCTTCAGATGAGCTAATAAGCTTACAGAACAAACCAGCGTAACGCTGGATGCAGATGGAGACTCGTCTTCCACAGGAGGTATTTTCTCCCCAGTGGACGAAGTGTCGACATTTTATTTGTGAGAGGAATACATTTTCATTGTTTCAGGACCTACAAGGTGGTTCTTCAGGGGTTCTTTAGTAATGACAATGGTCCAACACAGAACTAGGAGTTCCATATAGAACCATATAATGTGTAAAAGGCTTTTTTGCACGTTAAAAATTGTGCTTCAGATGGATGGAGAACGTGTTGTGTGTGGTTTTTTTATACAACGGTTAGTTCCTGCCAAGAAAGCTGATTGGTTGAGAAGTGTTCTAACCGTGCTGTTATTTCACCATTACAAACACCAAACACTGTATCACTCTGCTGAGACGCCGTTGCTAAGCAACGACTTTGACAGCTGTAGGAGACGCTCGAGCCATTTGAACGTTTTTACTTCTTACTTTGCCACAAACAGAAAACGGATACTTTTAAGATCACATTTGACCGACAGCCGATTTGGTCAGACTCTGAAGATGAGACCACACTAAATTCCCAAACTGTCAGTTGGTCTGTGAGGAGCTGGAGAACGAACTGCTGGCTGTGCAGTGAGTGGGCGGAGTTCGTTACTCTGACGTAGCAACAAGCTGCTCGTTAAGGAACTATAATTTGGTGAAGGAACTGCGAACATTAAAACATATTAAACGCCGCGTTCACGACCCAGTTTATTAATTTATTACTTTATTTATTTAACTGTTGTATTAAAGCAATAGAACACTCGAGGAGTGTGTTATCATGAATAACATCCCGGCTGTGATTTGGTCGCCGTAGATCATCACTGCTTAAATACATAACCTTTCTGAAAATGATTGCCATGGTTCTGCCATTGTTGCGATGTCTAAGTTGCAACAACAGAAGAACCCATTTTGGTGCACAGTGGAACCACATACAGCACATTCTCCATCAATCTGAAGAACTATTTCACCATGAATTTTGTTCCATGTAGAACTCATGGTTCTGAACGGAACCATTCCCTTTACTACCCAAGCCTTGAAGAATCATCTTTTTTGTGTACTTCCCTTTCTCTGTATGTGCTTCTTATGATTTTTAATTCATTTCTGCAGTGCTCATATCCTTCTGTATGCTGTGGACACTTTATATTCTTATGTCTTTATATAAAATGATAAAATGTATTCAGCTTTATTTATTGTTTGTTTATTTCTGCTGAGGCTCAATTCAAACGTGTTAGACTGCACCTGGTTCAGACAGTGGGGCCTCCTTCAGGCTCTTGATAGTTAAAGTATTGTTCAGCTGTTTTAGATGAGATTCATGGATGAATATTAAATCAATCCTTTTTTCCATCTCTTACCTGATTTCAGTTCAGAGTCAGCTCCTGATGCGTTCATATTTGTGTATGTTTACATTTTTGTTTATTTAGTGTTATATGACGTTAAGCCGTCTCAAACGCCTTTAAAGTTACAGAAAGTGAATAAATAAAAATAATGAAATGGTTAAAATGGTTCAAATGTTAGCCCTATTCTGTTGGCTTCCTATTCGCCGGCTTCTTGTTCGAACTCCCCGTTCCACCTTAAATGCAGCAGTTAGTTACAGTCTGGTTGAAGCAGTTAAGGTGGAACGGACAATTCAAAATATAAGCTAGGTCAGCTTCCTACGGCCCTCGCTTCGCTCCTCTAGAACCCAAATACAGCACCTGATGATGACGATTCTTCATGTGATTATAGATAAATAAATAAATAAATGTAATAATTAAAAACTCACTCGTGCCGCCCGTCCCGCCGCCAAAGCTGAACGCCATGTTTCCTGCTTCCCCCTGCTGTTGTGTCCGGGTGGAAACTTAGAAAGCTGAAGAATTAGTTCCCGCTCGTGCTGGGCGATCCTAATAAAAATCGATAATACAATTCTTATAATAATAATGATAATCGATATGTAAACGTACCGCGATATCAGGGGATGTGTTAGCTATAATTTGTAAACTTAATAAGTTAGCTACAAGATTGTCTTAAACCTGACATAGCTTTTATTAAACTGTTTTTTTTAAGTTGTTTTCTTAAAATCTTACCAAAAGGAACATTACACAGTACTGTAAAGACACAAAGGAAAAAGGAAACTTGCTTGTATTAAGGATTATATATATATATATATATATATATATATATATGACATGCTGGTCTATGCTGGTTTTTCTACTACGTTTTACATGGCACAGTCTTTTGTAAAAGTCTCACCACCTTTAATTAGTGATTTATAATGTTACTAACTTCTATCAGAGTCATGTTTGATGTTTTTCTTTTTTTAATGTTGCTTTATTGTGCCTGTGACCCTATAAGTAACCAGCTAGTAGGAGTGCAGGTAACAAATCAAGTAAAACATATATTTTTAGAATTATATTATTATTATTATTATTATTATTATTATTATGGAAGCACAACACTATTATACAGTGGTGTGAAAAAAGTGTTTGCACCTTCCTGATTTCTTATTCTTTTGCATGTTTGTCACACTTAAGTGTTTCAGATCACCAACCAAATTTAAATATTAGACAAAGATAACACAAGTAAACACAAAATGCAGTTTATAAATGAAGATCTTTATTATTAAGGGAAAAAGAAATCCAAACCTACAGGGCCCTGATTACTGCCACACCTGTTCTCAATCAAGAAATCACTTAAATAGGACCTGCCTGACAAAGTGCAGTAGACCAAAAGATCCTCAAAAGCTAGACATCATGCTGCGATCCAAAGAAATTCAGGAACAAATGAGAAATAAGGTAATTGAGATCTATTAGTCTGGAAAAGGTTATAAAGCCATTTCTAGAGCTTTGGGACTCCGGCGAACCACAGTGAGAGCCATTATCCACAAATGGCGAAAACATGGAAAAGTGGTGAACCTTCCCAGGAGTGGCCGGCCGACCAAAGTTACGCCAAAAGCGCAGCGACGACTCATCCAAGAGGTCACAAAAGACCCCACAACAACATCCAAAAACCTGCAGGCCTAACTTGCCTCAGTTAAGGAACAGTGTTCATGACTCCACCATAAGAAAGAGACTGGGCAAAAATGGCCTGCATGGCAGAGTTCCAAAACGAAAACCACTGCTGAGCAAAAAGAACATAAAGGCTCATCTCAGTTTTGCCAGAAAACCTCTTGATGATCCCCAAGACCTTTGGGAGAAAACTCTGTGGACTGACGAGACAAAAGTTGAACTTTTTAGAAGGTGTATGTCCCATTACATCTGGCGTAGAAGTAACGCAGCATTTCAGAAAAGGAGCATCATACCAACAGTAAAATATGGTGGTGTTAGTGTGATGGTCTGGGGCTGTTTGGCTGCTTTAGGACCTGGAAGACCTGCTATGGTAAATGGAACCATGAATTCTGCTGTCTACCAAAAAATCCTGAAGGAGAATGTCCGGCCATCTGTTCATGACCTCAAGCTGAAGCGCACTTGGGTTCTGCAGCAGGACAATGATCCAAAACACACCAGAAAGTCCAGGCTTTGGAGTGGCCTAGTCAAAGTCCTGACCTGAATCCGATTGAGATGCTGTGGCATGACCTTAAAAAGGCGGTTCATGCTCAGAAACCCTCCAATGTGGCTGAATTACAACAATTCTGCAAAGATGAGTGGCCAAAATTCCTCCACAGAGCTGTAAAAGACTCATTGCCAGGTATCGCAAACGCTTGATTGCAATTGTTGCTGCTAAGGGTGGCCCAACCAGTTATTAGGTTTAGGGGGCCAATCACTTTTTCACACAGGGCCCGGTAGGTTTGGATTTCTTTTTCCCTTAATAATAAAGACCTTCATTTATAAACTGCATTTTATGTTTACTTGTTATCTTTGTCTAATATTTAAATTTGTTTGGTGATATGAAACATTTAAGTGTGACAAACATGCAAAAGAATAAGAAATCAGGAAGGGGGCAAACACTTTTTCACACCACTGTATAAGCAACACCTCACACCTTACCCCTTTTGGATGAGTGTGAAACAGCTTGATATAATCATAATTGTTGTGTGTTCTGAGACGCCTATAATAAACATTTAAATTTCACACTTAGTTGAAATTCACACACAAGTTGCACATTTCACAAGTTATTCATGCTAAAATGGCACATTATGATCAACTGGGGAAAAAGCATGTGGACACTAGGGAAGTGATTATGAAGGGATATGTACTTAATTGGACAAAAAAAACCTCATGACTGTAGAATTTATACTTCTATATTCTATATAAACAACCCGTCAGTGTACTGACAGCAAAAAATGAGAAGTATCTGAAAAACAAGATCTGCCCCAAATATGTAAGTGTAAATACACGCTACCTCACTACCTGTCATTTTAACCCACCACTGCTTGCTAAAATGTATATTTCAGTCAATGGGCATGCACATTCCTGCTCTCCCTTTGTGTATATCCTGTATTTCTATTTTGTCTCCTCATATGAATAAGCATACAAATAAAGTCAACATATACATATTTTCAGGTGATCAGGGTAAAAGGTTTAATCGTCTTGTAACAAATGCAACAGAAATAAACACAAATAACAGAGCATGTTTTTGTATTTTGTTTTTTTTTTTTTACCTGAATTTGTATTGATTGGGAGCTCACCCTACACCTGTAGAATACAGCTGGGTGATGATACTCCTAAAGGTACAAAAGAGATTCCTGGGACAAGAAAATGTTTTATATAGCCAAAAAACGAGTGTGTATCTCCACTTGAGCACAGCAGCTGTCCTTTATGTTCTGTAAAAAAATCATGATAAATGGATCAATAGAAATGCTCCATAATCACTTTAAGGGAAAAAACTAGTTAACATTAACTTACATGCAAAGTTAAGAACGTTTTGGCTCTCTTGTGTAATGTTACCATTTTGGAGATACATGTCTTTTTGGACAGTGACGATATAGACTATAAACCAGAAGACCATAATATCTCAAACCAGTACACAGTCCCAAAGTCCCCCACACTTTAAGACTGAAAACAGTGGGTCAAATGAGGGTTTGAATACAATGCAACCACAATCCCACCAAGGCTGACGGTGTAGAGTTGTTTTTGTACATCCCCTGGGTTGAACATCTATAAACGCTGCTGGGAGCAGACTTGGGGGATTTAGGCCGTGCTTCATCGCAGGCCTTTGCGCTTCAGCAGAGTTCTCTTCTTTAGCTCGGTCAGCTTCAGCTTCTTCTTCTTGTTCTTGCCTGGTCTTGGAGCTTCGTGCTCCACCTGTTTGGGTTTCTCCTCAGCCGGAGTCACAAACACGTCATCTGTGACATCCTCTGTCAGCACCTCCTTCACCTCCTTTCTCTTCTCCAGACGGATCTCCTTCACCATCTGCCTCTCCTTTTGTCTGGCAGCCTTGGCCATCCGCATCATGCGCCGATACTGTGGGAAAAAAATGGCGACTATGATTACGATTTAATGCATCATGAAATATTTCTCTCCCAATATTTTGTGTAGTTAATTCTGATTAACTGCATTTATTTTATTTGCTCAAATTTGACAGATGGCTCAAATGGTCAAACTAGGAAAATATAAATGGCATTTAAAAAAAATAATTAAAAAAAAGTAAAAAAAAATCACTAAATGTTCATAACTGACACCACTAATACACACATAAAATGTCATTATTTTTCGCCATGTATGGAAGTACATTATAAAGAAGGCATATCTATCTTATGCTCTATTAGGTATGGCGAGGAGTCCCAACCTTTTGCAATTTATTGCCAGCTCAACCAACCACAAAAGCCTCCGCAGCCCACAAGAAGATTTAACTGATCCGATCGTTTGAAATGCAAATAAATTTAATACATCAAAGTAATACATTTCAAACATTTCTGTTTGCAGCCATCCATACGATAAAAAGGAGAAATGGAGAAATTAACTTTAACTGTAAATCTAAACATATCTAGCTAGATAAGTCGGTAACATCGGTCATGCATTTTGCCAAACCAATTAACAAGCTCAAGCTAAATATGTTGTTTGTATGTATTACAACAATATTTGGTTAAATGTCTATATATTGCAATAACACTTCGCAAAAGAAAAAAATTTAAAGACTTCCAACGGCCCCCTAGCAATACCACGATGGCCCAAAGGTTGAAAACATTTATGGTATTTACAGTTTCTTCTGAATCTTAGCTGGTATTCATGTTTCGTCATACTTGAGCTTCATCAAATCAAAACAATCGGAATAGTCTAGTCTGATTGAGGCCATTCGGAATACAGTTTCTGTCCAATTGATCGAGGTGGGTAATCCTGTAAATAATCCGTTAAATAGAAGAATAATATCCGTGTAAACGCCTGTATCTGATTACATTCCCTATCGGAAAGTTTAAGTCCGTTCTGATCATGTTCGTCACGTCATAGTGAAAGTTTATACCGTTCAACATGGCGGAGCAGAAACTGGTCTGCAGAGGAGACGAAGTTTATGCTCTGATCTTTAAAAGACGGCGGTGGGACGGACGTCCAGCTTATGTGTCTCAGAACACGACGTCTTCCTCTCGGCCTTCTTTAATAAGGACATGTGAAGGACGTTTTCCTGAGTCTGACATCATTTTAAAGTAACTAAAAACACAAGCGCTGCTCACTGCTGCTCCTCTCACTCTGACTGGACTCACGTGATGCTGGTTGTCATGGTAACTTCTACACTAAGTGGTTCCCAATGCATGCGTGTAATTTTGGATCTGATTACTTGTAGTGAGCATGAAAACAGATTTTCCATCAGAGTGTTGAGTAGAGTGAGAATAAACACCTCAGTCTTAATCTATAATCGGAAAGTGTTCAAGCTGATTGGCAAAAATCTTTGCATGTGAACACAGCCACTGAGAACTTGTCCCACCTTCCAAACAAAAAAGGTTAGCCACTCATAATAACATGTGAAGAGCCACTCACCATGTTGGGAGACTGGAAATGGGGGTTTTCATAGAGTGTTGGACCACCGAAGCTGCCTTGAAATATTTTGATCAGATTGAGGACAAAGCGGGGTCCAATTTCTACGAGAGACGCATCCTCTTCAATAATCTACAGGAGACATGAAAATGATCATCATTAAAAACCCCAAACTGTAGATACCAGCGTTTCCTCTCAAATCAAGAGTGTTAATAAGGAGATTGAGCCTCATTCACCAATATCTTTCCAAGTTTGTTCTTAAAGTTGTTCTTGAGAAAGATCCTAAGAAAAAGTCTTCGTCAGATTCATGACAAGTTCTTAAAGCACAGAACTGTATCTTTCTGTTCTTACCTAAGAACAAATCCCAAATAAGAAAAAGTTTTTGTTAAAAAGTGCGCAGGTGTGTTTTAAGAAGAAATTTCTTCTTAAGAACAGTGGGTAAAGGAAGGTCAATGTCCCTCTTTATGGCAGCAACAGTCTCTACTCTTCTGGGAAGGCTTTACACTAGATGTTGGAACATTGCTGTGAGGATGTGATTGAGCATTATTGAGGTCAGGTACTGATGGTGGAGGATCGGTTCTGGATCTCATCCCAAAGGTATTGGATGGAGCTCCATCACTCCAGAGAACACAGTTCTACTGCTACACAGCACTACGCTGGGGGGCTTTAAATGCCGCTAGCAGACCAATGGCATTGGGTATGGTGACCTTAGACTCATGTGGAGCCTCTCCAGAGCCTGAAGCATAGAATGGTGATCCAGAACTAATTAACCAACATCAGTTCCTGACCTCACTAATGCTCTTGTGGCTGAATGCAATGTCATCTATTTAAGAAATGATCAATTATACATCAGGACATTCAACCACATTTTCTTGGTCAGCCCACACTAACGAAACAGCATGCAAGACTAATGTATCTCTGCACTGTTTGGAGATGGTGAGAGATGATGAATGTTCACCTGGTAGTTTCTGAACCATATCCTTTTGTCTGCAATTGTGAAAGTAAACACATGGTCCACGAAAGGCTGGCTCTTTGGATGGTATTGAGGTGTTGAGAAAGTCTGTAGTAGAAGAAGCATTAATCACAATTAAATAATAAAGCAAAATTTAATACACTGTAAAAAAGACTTGGAATCAAAGCACTGAAACTAAGTGTACCTGAGTGAACAGCTCTTTCAGCAAGGCATAGTGAGGTTCCTTATCAAATTTCTGTAAAGTCAAAGAGAAACATGGTCATTATTACAACCACAGTCAACAACATCACCTGTCCAAGACCCAAGGTTGAAAGACTGACATAAGACTGCATGGATAAAGCCCTATTGGAGATGGATTAGTTTTGAGACGGTTGTGCAGTGTAATCTTTTGGGATTTGATTGGCTAATTGGTCTGGAGTATAGCATCTGATAGGCCAGGTTAAAAGGTCATGGTCTGGACATTCACGTCAGTCTTGAACCATGGGGAAGTCAATAACAACACACTGTGAAGCTGTGTCTATTAGCAGATGTTGTTATTCCATTAGTGTGAGATGAACTGTATTATTATTGCTGCTAGAGCTCCTGGTTCAGCCAATGACAGAAGACCATTCGCTCCACAATTATTACCGTCAGACTGTAAAACTACACACACTACAGATTCATACTGGAAAATATACATACAGTCCTCTCAGGAAAAACTAATCCAGCTCCAACAAAATTTAGTCTCAATTAGGAGAAAATTGTTATTTCTTACCGGATCGAATGAAAGCAGCGGTCTGGATCCTTTCAGACAATTTCCTGTCATTTTCAGCTCAGCAAGTGTGTGCACTAAAAGAAAGAAGCAATTAGAATCAAGCAACGTCTTCTCAAAACAAGAAAGGCTATAACACTGGGATGATTATTCGCAGCAAAGTGAAATATGCAGAAATATATGAGCAATCAAATAGACTCACCATTCTGAACTAGGAACTTGGCTGAAGGTCCATGAGGAACATTAGAAACCCTATTGAAAAAACGCAAGGTGATTTTTCACAAGGAATCTCTTCACACCTAAAGTGCTAGAGGACTGCTCAGAAACATGCAACATAGACTCACCACATGTAAAGATCCATGTTCTTCTTAGCCTCAAAGAAAATGCATTTGTTGCAGTTTTTGATTTCGCAAACCTGAACCACAGACATAACAAACTTTTAGAATACATGGCGATGGGACTGAACGCAAAGCAACTGAACCATATTGAGCTGCATAACACCAGAGAACGAAGGGGAAGTCATACCTCATTAACAACAAACAACTTGTCTTTTCTGTCCATTTTGGTATCTGAAGGAAGAAAAAATGTAACACACTGTATAAGTGGCTTTGACACTGCACAAAATATGCTGGCAAATAAATACATCTTAAACATTAAGATGTTAGAGACCAGCTGATATAAATTTTTGTGGACTATTACACTTTTAAAGGGCTAAAAATTGAATAACTGATATCAGAAGATAAAATGTTATTATGGGTGACAATATGACACTGTTTTATTATATTGTGATACATTATGTCACAATACTCCACAAGAAGCTTTTCTGAGCACACTGCAGATATCTTCAGTACTTAAAAAAAAACCACTGAACTGCACATTTGATCACAATAAGAGCATAACTGGTCCTGTTTAACTACATTTTATGCAGTGCGGTGAGTGAAATGAATAAAAATCACTATTTTATTATTGCAGTAATGTGAGACTATTGGGGCTTTTTTCTCTACTCCTCAGAAAACTATATATTATGATTCATATTGTGCATCATAAAAAGATCTTCAAGTACCACAACACTGTATTTTTGCCATATTGTCAAGGTAATATTTATATTTTCATTATTGTCAATGCCACATTTCTTTAACCCAAATTGCTCCCTAGTTCAGTAGTTAGGTGTACAAGTTCTCACAATGCACTGTAAAAAAACAGTGATCATCGACTGTTCACTATGCGCCTTGGATAGCGTCACGTTTCCAGCTAGGCTTTCGAAAAGTTTTAAAGTGGAGGGCGAAAGCTGCATATTATCTCACTAGCTTTTCTCACCTTGGAGAAACGAGTTTTAGATGCTTATTTTTCACATTTGTGAATAATAATTGTAATAATAATAATAACTGTAAAACAAATAAAAAAAATCCTACAATAAAAGTTTTGCTCTAGCAAGACACGTCGTCACTTTCCTACTAGTTCACATATTCATAGCTGTTGTTAGTTGTTTAGCTAAAGAGATGCATTTGTCTCTGATTTACTGAAATGCTTTGGTGTTAATCTGTAACATTAACTACCTACAAAACAATCCATCCCAGTGAGTACAATTTGCATGGCACACATACGGGCCACATCCTTGACTATGTTCTGGCCCAGTATATGGCTGGGTCCTGACCCACACACTGTAAAGTAAGTACAACTAACAGATGTGGCCAACATTCACGCCAGAATTGGTCGACAAATTTATTTATTTATTTAGCTCCGGCATATGGCACCATTCTGGCCTGCATGCCTAAAATCTGCCTGGTAGCCAACCAACACTCACGTAGGAAAGAAGAATTGGCCCAAAACTGTCTGCTATCTGGGTTAACACACTATATTTCACAAGTGCTTATTTATTTAATGAACAAAATATGACACTGAAGTAGGCTGACTTGTTGACAGGCTATAATTAGGCCCCTTCAGATATGTGCAGATATAATCTTCACTTCACTGGTTATCAATGTCAGATGTTAATAAGAACATCCATTAAAAAAAATATTGCACCTGGAGGGCTGGAGTCTAGCACAGTTTTGGGTGATTTTCACACCTGATTCTACTTAATGACCAGGTTCAGTAGGTGCATTTAGGCAAATGCACCAAACTGTGCTGGACCCCAGCCGTCCAGGACCAGAGTTTAACTCTCCAGTTCCAGCTGGTCAAAGCATTCCAGATAGCCACCTGCTTTGGAGTGAGGCATCATGGTCTTCAGATCCTGCATGAGGTGCCTTGTTCTGAAGTTGATGCCTCGCGAGGAGAAAACGAGAACACGTTCCTTGTTTTTCCACTTGCCCTGAAAGACAAAACAATCAGAAGAACATGGAAATTAAAAAACATCAATCTCCACTCCCGTAAGGCGACAGCAGCCCTGCACTCTGCACAACAGCAGCATATATAATGTGAATAACAGAGATCCCAAAACTGAGCCTTGTGGAACACCATACTTTACTTTTGTAAGAACAGATGATTCGCTGTTTACATTCACAATTTGATAGTGATCAGTCAGGTAAGATCTGAACCAAGACAGAGCTATTACTGTTACTCCTACAAGGTTTTCTAGTCTATCTCGTAAGATAGAGTGGGCTATCGTACCAAATGCTGCACTCAGATCAAGCAGAACTAGCAAGGACACATTTCCTTGGTCAGAGAATAATAATAGATGGTTTACAATTTTCACTAGTGCTGTCTCTGTACTATGATGGGGTCTAAATCCAGACTGGAATTTTTCATGCATGTGATTCCTATGCAAATAGGAACTTACTTCTTATGCCACAGCTTTTTCCAAGGCTTTTGATATAAAGGGGAGATTCAAGATACGTCTATAATTTGATAGGTCGCAGGGATCAAGATTAGCTTTCTTAATCAGAGGTCTAATTACTGCTAGTTTAAGAGTTTTTGGAATATAGCCAAGGCTAAGAGAGGAGTTTTTTTTTTTAAATAACCGAATAGGCTTGGATATTTCTGGCAAAATTTCTTTGAGAAAACTTGTAGAATTGGATCTGATATACAAGTAGCAGATTTTGAGGAGGAAATAATTTTAACCAGCTCAGTTCTTTGAATTAAGGTAAACGATTCCAGCCTCTCTGCAGTAGTTACAATGTACTTCAGATGTAGATTGGCATTATAAGGCAGCAGGTTTGTAGAGTTTAACTGTATGTTTTGAATTTTTTGCCAGACAGCTGATTGAAGCTGATAGAGCTGGGAGGTTTCTGATGAAGCTACTAGCTGTGGAGGATGTTATAGTCCACATATGTTGACATGCGATCTTGTGAAGAGGATACACATCTGGCGATCACCGTAAAGGAATCACATTTATCGTAGGTCCCTTTCGCTTCCTTGTGAATTTCTAAACCAATCCATTCCCTCGTGAAGGCGGAGCTCGTCAAGGGAAAAACAGCTTGATTAAAGCAATTAAGAAGGACTGTACATTAACAGATGGGCTACTGTCTCTAACTGTACACCAGCAGGGTGTACAGTTAGAGCCTGTACACCCTGCTGTAGGAGTGTAGGAGTGTCTAATAGAGTGGACAGTGAGTGAGTGGACACAGTGTTTAAAAACACCAGCAGCACTGCTGTGTCTGATCCACTCAGACCAGCACAACACACACTAACACACCACCATCACATCAGTGTCAGGACCTCCACAGGACCAACACAGAGCAGGTATTGTTTGGGTGGTGGTCCTGTGGGGGTCCTAACCACTAAACAGAGTGAAAGGGGGCTAATAAATTAAGATCCTGCCACACACTCTCTCTTTTCTGTACTCTCACTCGCTAACTCACTCTTTTCTTTTTCAGTCTGATGTCTCTCTTTTTCACTCACACCCTTTTTCAATGTTTTTCTCTCTCACCAACTAACTCACTCCCTACTTTAGTCTCTCTCACTCTAACCAACTCACTCACTCCCTACTTCAGTCTCTCTCCCTCTTTCACTCTGACCAACTCACTCACTCCCTACTTCAGTCTCTCTCCCTCACTCTCCCTGTAACTTTCTCTCTCCTTTTCTCTTTGCCTCATCTCTCCTTTTCTCGCTCTCCTTCATGTCTACTTTTCTCTCTCTCTCTCTGTCCCATCTCTCATTTCCTGACCAACTCACTCCTTTTCTCTCTCTCCTTCATTTTTTCTCTCTGTCCCATCTCTCTCACTCCCTCTCTCTCCCTGACCAACTCACTCACTTCCTAACCTACTTCAGTCTGTCTCCCTGTCACTTTCTCTCTCCTTTTCCCTCTCCTTTTCTCTCTCTCCTTCCCTCATCTCTCCTCTCTTTCTTTCTCTCTCTCTCTCTCTCTCTCAGATCCTATCTGTAGTATAGCAGATCTGATGGTTACCATAGCGACCGGAGGCGGAACAGTGATCTCCGTGCTCCCTCCTTCTCTCCCGGTGTCGGTGTTCTCCACTTCTCCTTCATTTTCAGTCCTTTTCTCTTTCTTTGTCTTTCTCTCTGCTGCAGCTTCAGCCCCACGTTTCCTCTTGGCCGCCGCCATCTTGCCGAAATGACCCACGTGACGCGGCGCGGAAAAAACACGAACAGCACAAAAACACAGACGCGCAGCTGCAGCGCCGCCTGGCGGACAGGAGAAACAACAGAGGAGCGCAGAGAAGACCACATACTTAAAGATAAAGTTCTTCAGGGCTTCTGTAGTAAAGGCAATGGTTCTATTTAGAACCATAAGTTCTGTACAGAACCGTTTCATACTGAAATGGTTCTTCAGATTGATGGAGAATGTGTTGTGTACTGTTCTATATAGAACCTTTCTGAAATTGCCCCAAAAGGGTTCTGCTGTTGTTACAAGCTTGAGATCATAAAAATAGCAGAACCCTTTTTAATTTTATCTTTCATTTCTGTGCTACCTTTGATATGTATCATTTACTTTAGAAGAACAAGGAAAAAAGCCTTAATAAGCTTTGGAAAAGAAGGAAAATATGTGAGGAATACTGATTAGTAGGGTGGTCCCAGTGTGATTTCTGGACATTTGAAGGCCCACCTCCACATCAATTGTACTACTTTGTAGGCAAGAATGAAAAAGAGAGTAAAAAGATAGAATAAAACAAATAAAATAGTGCAGTATTCACACTTGCAGTCCTGTGTTTCTTTTTTGAGAATCAGTCCTTACAAGAAAATGTCAATACCAAGTAGTTTCTTCAAGCAATAAGCAGATTATCTATCTAATATATTACACAACATGTAATGTAACACTGCACTCCTCATCATTTTTGGTGGAATTGTTCAAGTGTTAGTGGGGGAGTGGATATTTAAGTTGGAATAATGACATATTATTCATATATAATGTATAATTCCACCAAAAATGATGAGGAGTGCAGCATTACTGTTTAGCCCATGGGTGGGTTCACTGTAACAGACAGAGGGTCAGTTTAACACCTGCTAGAAAAGTCTGATCAATCAGTGCAAACAGAGTTAATTCAATATAATTCTATGTTGTAAAAAACAAATATATTTTCCAAACATACTGCATTTTATATCATCTATAAGACAGACAGACAGCTCAACAGACAGACACACACATCAAATTATATATGAACACTGATGTGACTCTGTGTGTCAATCAATGACAGATTTATTGTTTGTCCAGTGAAGGACAGCAAATAAAAACATCACACATCAGTAAAATATGGAACATTTTTTTTTCTGAATAACTACAGCTTTACCAGCTGTTAATGTCAATTTCATTAATAGACTTATTTAAAACCACGATACTCACATCTGAAAGACACCAATAAAGTAAAAAATCCCTGTTTTTAGATGTTTCTCTTTTTCATTTTAAAATCTATGTAAACATGTGGAACAAAAAGAAATAATTATTTTATTAGTCTTTGTCTTTGTGTCTTAGCTATAATGCGTAAGAACTAACCCCGCAGTGTGGAGGCTGGAGGCTTAAGCCTAACTAACACTTGCTGTGAGCTTGTCAGCTGCTTCAAAACGGTGCTGGGCTGTAGGAAACAAGAAGGTGATTACAATAATATAAGGTTGGATTTTGTGATTTAAACAAACTGCTCAGCAACCGAAAAAAAACTTGTGTGGAAAAAAATTACTTTTATATATATGTAGCAGTCACACAACACAGGACAGTAATAGTAATAAGGATGTAAACAATATAACAGGAAGAAATAATATAAAAATCCTATCTACAGGCATATATACAATTAGAAAAATACAAAAATCTGGAATAATATCTATAACCTGAGATGAAAGACGCAGTGCAATAATGACTGTACAGGGAGGCACAGGTAACGGCATATATAACGACAATACTGAATAAATATGTGCATATATTGGTACCAAAATAAAGTGTCGAGTGTAGAGTGTCCATATGTGCAGATGGATAAAAAGAAACATAAGATACGTACCCTAAAGCACTCTTTGGCACTGATCTCTTTAAAACACTGACAAATTGCTCTGAGTTTTCATGGGAGAAGGGAAAAATGTGGTAATGTGGCCAAAAGCTCACACTGCTTGACCTTCTTTAACGACATAAAAAGTCATTAAAGTCATAAAATATCTTGTTAAATGATATACTATATCGTTTCTTATGTCTAGATTTACTGGTTTTCATTATGGATCAATCAGAACAGCTTTCCCACAAAAAGCAAAAGTATCGGTACATCAGGCTTGGTATCGAGTATCGGGATCGAAAGGAAAATGAGCGGTATCATCCATCCACACTGAACAGGACAGCCTGACAGCATGCTGGGGGCGGGGTCTCCCCGTACGTCATCACGCAGCCTCCCCCGGTTACGTCAGCGCAGCGTGTTGGTATCGGAGAGAGAGAGAGAGAGACAGGAAAAGGGAAAGGAGAGAGAGAGAGAGAGAGAGGTATATCGGAATTTAGGAGCTGAGGTTGGAGGACCTAAAGCTGCTCTAATCGGCCTGTTTGAGCGGAGTATCGCTGCGGGGAAGCGGACAGAGCTGCTGCTGCTGAGGCTGAAGCTCCTCCAGAAGAGAATGGCACTGCTGGGAGTCGCGTGTCGCTTTCTCCGGTGTAAGTGATCACTTTGATCAGCTTTACACCAAAAACACGAAGCTTTTTCACCAGCAGACTCGAGCACACATCACAGTGCCCTCACTCACCAGCGTGCACTGCAGGTTCAGTCGCGTAACGCCGCAGATGATGCGCTTTGGTGAGCGTTAGTGCTTCAGTTAATGCTGTAATGTAATGTGTGAAAGGTTCACATTAGCCTCTGTGAGAGTCTGGCCGTGCTTCTCTTTCTCCTCTTCCTCTGTACAGGGCAGACAAACGGGCTTAAGGCTTAACTGTCAGAAAATAAAAGTTTAATTCCGGCAGCTGTAGCAGGGTTAGGTAAGGTCCTCCAAGTCTGTATGACTTTGGCATTGTTTTACATCATATTGGACCAAATCTGCACACAGCGTCTGCTTAATGGACAGTTTCGCTTCCCTGGTTGGCCAAAACGAACAAATTAAAAGGTTTTTAAACGCACTACACAGCCTTAACATCAGGTTACACAACACATGCTTGCAAAACTTGCATAACAGACTTGCGCCCTCTGGTGCCCTCACCGCGTTACTGCAGCCTGAGCGCCTGGAATAACAGGGGAGTGCACAAGGAAAGTGACCCCAGAGGACTCCCATAGTGAATGCCCTTGAACATGCCTTTTATGTTGAAATGTCTTTTATGTGCCTTTTTCTGTCCTCCCTTTAGTCTCCAGGTGTGGTGGCCAGGTCAGCCTGTGTGTCAGAGCGCCCCTCAGATGGCAGTCTACCGCCACCGCGGCCGCCTTCGCCAGCCCTCCCACTCCTGAAGCCCAGGAGAACAGGTACGGGCACATCTGGCTGATACGATCACCTCTAAAGCCTGTGGAAGCCCATTACTAGAATGTTTTATACCCCCTCTATCTCTGTTTTTACTGCAGCAGTATGTCAAACATTTTGACTTATTATGTCAGTATCTCATACACTCTTAAAAAATGGGGTTCTTCAGGGGTTCTTTTAGTAAAGACAATGAACCATGAACAATCCAAGAACCATTTGCCTGCTTAATTTTTTTTTTGTATGGTGAAATTGTTCTTCAGATTGATGGAGGAGGTGTTGTATATGGTTCTGTATAGTACTTTTACTTTTGGAAAGGGTTCTATATAGCAGTAAAAAGGTTCTGCTATTGTTATAGTGTCAAGCTCCTAACAGTAGAAAAAACATTTTTGGTGTTATACAGAACTGCGTACAACACATTGTTCATTAATCTGAAGAGCGCTTTATGCATGAAAATGGTTCTTTGTGTATTCATGGTTCTATTTAGAACCATTGTCTTTACTAAAGAAACCTTGTAGAACAGTCAAGAGTGCATTTGCTCCTTATCTCAAAAGAAACACACACATTTTGTCAATGTTTTGAGTTAAGAAATGACTAATTATCTCAGGACTGCGAGTTATGAAATGGGGGTTCCACCAATTTTTCTGAATTTTATCAAAAATGTAAACAGGGTGATTCAGAGTGGTTTGGTGTGAAATGGTTCAGATTTCTTTACAGTGGTGATGATAGGAACCAGAGGTTACCATGACTACAACAAAAATATAGACATTTTATTTAACTATCAGAACCACCAGTGAACCTACACGAGTCCCTGAGTTTTATATGAAATGTTGATGATGGGAAAAATAGTGGAAAATCTGAAGAAAAAAAGTTTTCTTTTTGTACCTTTTAACTTTACAACACCCTGCATGAACCCACCTGTCTCTAATAGATTTTAACAGTATGTTTTAGGCCCAAACCTTATCAAAATTATTGTAAAAAAAACAATGTCTCAGATGTCAAGCAGTGAATTCATAGCCATGTCTTATAGTAACTTTCTGTGAGGGAGCTTTTAGGGGTGGACGTCTGGTTACTATCACCACCACTGTAAAAAATTCTGACTTATGACTTAGTTTACATCTTAATGTGGGATTTATACAGATATTTTGCAAAATTTGTGGAATTCCCCTTTTAGCCCCCGTATACTATGTTGAAATACTGAGTCATTAAATTTGTAAAATATGTCAATATTTCTGGATAATAAGTCAATATGTCAGGATATTGTATCAAAACTGAGATAATAAGTCCGAGTTTTGACTTAGTGCTGCCAGGAACAGAGAAAAAGGAAAGAAAGCAGTGTTGTTTTCTTCCTCTTATAAACAACAGGCTTCCATACAAACCAGCTTCCCTCTTACGCTCATAGGAGGAAGTCTTAATTGAGAGAAATGGGCTTGGATGTGAAGGAAGTAAGCAGACAATGCCTTGAAATGGGCGTGAGGTCTGGTTTCTTACACACTGGGAGGAGTCTTTATCTAACCCAGACGAGTCTCGTTCCCTGTCGAGATATCTGCTCGTGCAAATGCTTGTATTTTACCGTCTGTGATGTCCGTTCACACATCAGGCATCTACAAAAGATAATTTAGACTGAATAAGGGATTATAACCTACATTTTCTTGTATTTTACCTTCATCCTGAGGTCCACTCATGATGTTTGTTTGGGTTTATGTACCAAAAACTGTCAGTTAATGTTTACATGACCATTTTCCAGTTTCGTTTTATCTCTTGAACAGGCTGGTTTTTGTTTCTGTGCCTTTAAGGCTGTTATATGTAAATACAACAGAGCTGATTGGCTACCCTGTGTTGTTCCTCATCAAGAAAGCAGTCTGGGCTGAAATACTCCTTATAACTTCACTGTGAATGGGAATATATCGTTCCTGTTGGGACAAAACCTTGTATCTGCAATTTTGTAGTTTTTTGACATAATATGAAAAAGGCAGTTGCCCCTTTTATCTTGTGTCAAATTTTCATGATGAACAGACCAACAGAAATGATCCAAGATTACTTGAAAACAAATATTGCTCCATATACTTCCATTAAAAGTTTATCCCCATCCTTTAAAGTTACATATTTGGAGATAGGAGGTTTTGTTCTGGTAGCAAGCAACGATATGCATTAAAGACCACTGTACTTTCTTTTTTCCATGTGGGCTTTACACATATAATAAATACCAATGCTATATTAAGACCACCTTTATTAGAGAAATAAGAATGTGTTTTCTGCTACACATCAGCTCCTGTTCTTTTCACTCAGTCATTGTGTTCAGGATTGTTATAAAAAGTGAGTAAAACTTGGTTTTCCAGTGCAGGAAATGATACCAGATACCAGGAGTTCAATGGGCTGTCCTTTTATGACCCCTTTGATACAGTGTGTTTATGTTTGAGGACAGGAAGTGGAAGCATGCCGGACAGTTGCCTTCAGATTTAGCAGTGAGACGTGAGGAACTGCACTGTGCGAGTAATGCGCCAATTTTAGAGCAGCAGTTTCATAACAGACAGCAGACGTTTGTTCTTTTCCTTTTTGAAAAGGGTCTCTAATAATAATATAATGACCTGCAGAATATGCTAAGAATATCTTTGTTGATTTCAGTTTGACAGCTGATGGTGGAACTGGCTTCATATTAATAAACACTAAATACATATATGTTAGTTAGATACTGATGCAGTTGCATGCATTAGTTTGGGCACCACTGGTCAAATGACATGTTGATTATCTAGGTGAAAGTAAGTTCCCAAATCCTCTACAGAGAACACACACACGTTTTAATACACAATTACTGTTTAGATAGATTGATAGATAGATCGATTGATTGCTTTATTAATCCCAGAGTCATTTATTACAGAAGCACAAAGTTCAGTAAAGAGCAAAACAAGAGCGAAAGTATTGCTGTACGCTATTATACAGATGCATAAATAGAAGATATATAATAAAATACACAGAACAACTATATATATAATATAATGTACAGTACAACAACAAGTAAGTACAGTCGCATAAATATTATGCAGGTGACAGTGCAGTGGCCATGTCATGACGTGTGGATGAACCGAGTGACTAAACACTGTAAACAATAACATGCTAACAATTGTGCAATATGCCTGAGTGTATGAACAAGTGGCAGTGCACTATGCAATATTTATTATATTTATTATTATTTGCCAAAGTTAACATAAAACCAAGAATGCAGCCTGTGCAAAAGTTATAGCACATTTTTAATTTGTTCCATTATGTGAAAGTCAGCAGACAAATAAAAATTTGCAGAACAATGTACCTCTGTGTTCCCTGTGGAGGATGTGTTCATTTTTTACACTTAGAAAAGCAACAAAACATATAGTTTGACCGGGGGTGTTTAAATGTTTGCGTATGACTGTACATTCACTTTTCTAAAATACAGATACTGGGACTAGCGTTAGCATCACAGAGAAACATACTAAGTATTTGTAGGTTGCTTACAGTAAACTAGCATCACCTGGACATTCTTCTCTTCTGGAGTTCAATAAATACATCATCAAATATCTGTTTGAATCAGACTATTTTCCATTAACTGAACTGTCTGATGCTGATACAGTTTGCATTGATACTGATGTGATTCCGATGTCATTGTGTATCCTTGATATAAAAGCAGTTTTGTTATAGATTCATGTGTAAGATGCTGATACTGTGCAACTTAAAACTTGAACTAGTCAGTAGAAAGCTGTCGAAGTACAAACATTGGCTTCGTCCACAATTTAAATAATTTCCTAACCATAAACCTAACCCTACCCTCAAGGCAAATTTACACCTAGTCCTAAACCTACCCCCAACCTTAATGTTGTTGAGAATCAACTGAGTGCCACCAAGAAGTTTGTTAATAATATAAGTATCTCTAAATCATCTATAGGGGACCATCCAAATGAAGTGTGACCCTAACAAGAATTTACTATAAATAGAGAAGTACAGTATATTATCATTGAGTAACTTCTTTTTGTTCCTAAAGAACTTGAAGTACTGAAATATCTGTAGATTTTTAGGGCATGACTGAATAAAATAACTGGTTCTTAATGTAACTTTCCTAAACTGATTCCAAACTTTTGAACGGTAGTGTAAATTTCAGTCATTCTGCCCAGTCTACACTCTTATAAGAGGTCAAGAATTGACATTAACATGATCCGTTTAAATGTGTGTTCCAGGAAGCCCAAGACTGGAATACTCATGCTGAACATGGGAGGACCAGAGAAACTCGAAGACGTTCACGACTTCTTGTTACGGCTTTTCATGGACACGGATCTGATGCAGTTACCTGTTCAAAAGTAAGGGTGATAATTAAATGAACGACGTAAAGAGAAAGAAGTGAATTGTTCATTGTGAACAGTCTGCATTGACATAATTCACACTGCAGCTGTTTCTCTGTGATCCCTGCGACAGTAAACTAGGCCCCTTCATAGCCAAGCGCCGCACCCCGAAGATCCAGGAGCAGTACAGTAAGATAGGGGGAGGGTCTCCCATCAAAGCCTGGACCACCATGCAGGGGGAGGGCATGGTTAAACTACTGGATGAGATGTGTCCAGAGACTGGTGAGTAAAGTCCAGTTTTTTTTTTTTCTTTTTCTTATTGCAGCTTTTGTGTGATTATTCAACTCCACCTTAAATGGAGGAGCAGCTATATTCTGGCACCTTTATGCAACTGGATGTAGCTGCTGCGCCATTTAAGCCGGAATGGAAAATTCAAATCAGAAGCCTATTTCAGCTTTGTCGTATTTCTCAAGTCATTCGTGTGTGTGTGTGTGTGTGTGTTCTCTATGTGTGTTGTGCTCTAAGCATCAAATTAGAATTGTCAAGCAGCAAAGGACACACGGACACACACATACACATATGTACACTGAAATCTTATTTTTAATTAAACCATGATATACTTTTTTGCCCATACCACCCACTAATACATTTGGGTGACAGTTGACCTCAAGGCAAGTAGCTTATTAACATCAATTAGCTAATGAGGTAGAATCACATTGTAGGCAGTGTAATAATTTGAATAGCCACTGCTGTGAAGTCAGCCCTCCTTCTTAAGGGATGTCCGTCACTTTATTTTTTCTTAAAAAAAATCACAGCCACGAAGGACACGTTCCAAAAAAATGGATCACTAATTCACACAGGTGCCATCCTTTGTGGTTTGAAGATATCTGGCATACCTCTGAAAGGACAACTTCAAATGAATTCTGTTTAATATTCATTTCATCAGTGAGAAGCTAGCAATAGGTATGTTTTGGGATCAGACCCTCGGGGCGGCCGTAAAAATGAGATGTTATGCTGACAAACAAGTAATGGCCCTCGTCTCATCCAGTCAGATATTCTATTCAGTTAAAAATGAAGTTAAAACCTCCCATCACCAGCTGTGCTTGCAGAACTTTAGGTGGGCCAAATCCTGAAATGGTTACTGCTAGAGCCTGTCTTATGAAGCGGGGTTTCTTGCTTAGCCAACTAACTTAAAGCTTAGTGTGATCCTGAGTTTTCACAGTGGTGCATCACTTGCTCACCTAATAATGAGCCTTAGGATGTAAGAAAGCTGGGATATTAAGAGGTTAAGTTTGAGATTATAGATCGTAAGCTCTTGGACCAATTAGGGATAGACTACTGATGGAGGTGGATGCGTCTGGTCACTTTTGGGTCACTTTTCTTTCCTTGTGAAATTTGTGGCCTGGAAAAATCACTGTTAAGCAGAGGAAATGAATCATACAGCATAGAAATCAGGAATGTAAAGCAGTTTTTACACCAGTTAGCACTTACACTTTGGCAACAGCGTTGTTTTTTTCACCATCAGAAATGCCTTACTATGTGAAGGTTATTACATTCTTGTTATAAACATCCAGCTTTAATGTTCACTTATGCAAAAAATAATCATAGCTTGAGTATCTTAACCTGAACATAAGCAGAAGTATGTGTTGTGGCTGTGTAGCTGAGGAAGACAGACTGAGCTGAAATACTGTCAGTTAGTGAGGTAGTAAAACATCTGTTAGAGAAATTGCATCATAACACTATCGTTGGCTGTGGCTGTTGTTAGATATGGTATCAACACACACCTCATTTAAAACTGGTCAGCTGCTGGCATGCTAACAGGGCGTTTCATTAGCTGGAAAAAAGGTGCCAAGTCATCTCGCAGTAACTGAGCAGCTGTGTCATCAGGAGGGAGTCAGTAATGTGTGTGTGTGAGTGTGTGTGTGTAAAAGCCACTGACCGTCTTTTAGTGAAATGGGGTGGGTGGCTGTCCCCTGACTGGACATTCTACTTCTTCTGCACACAGAGATGTGCATGTGTGTGTGTGTGTGTGTGTAAGGGAGTGGGAGATGATAAGATGTGGGGGAGTGGCTCACACGCCCCTCTCTCCAACTCCCAGCAGATAAAACTGCAGGGAAAGTAGGGCACTCGCTGGATGACCTTAAAGAGAAACAGATGGAAGTAGAATACTCTGTAAGCTTCTCACTCCGCCATTTTCATCTACAAAGCATTCTAAATGTGATGGAGTCATTAAGGATGGGTAATAAAACCACTGGAGGTTGCGCATTACAGTGATTTTATCAGGAGTAAGCGGTGCTCTCATGATGCGAAGCGGCGTAAAACCCCTTTACCTGTGGTGAAATCACTGTAATGCATGTCCTCAAAGGGTTTGCTTTTATAAAACAGCGAGAACATAAACTATATAACAATATATACACACACTTTCAATAAAATGAGAAAAAATAATTTAGCTATATAGATCATGATAAAAGCAGGAATACAAAGCAGCCGCTTAAGCAGATGTTAGCGTTAGCTGCCTAGTTAAACCAGAAATTTACAGATATGTTAGCCTTGAGAACCTAGACGTGGGCAAAATGACGATATTTCATTGTTATTGTGATGCATTTTATTACTGTGATACACAATATGCTTTTCTAAGCATATTGTGGATATCAGAATGCACTGAACAATATTCTGACACTGCAAAAAATGAAATAATCTTAAATCTGGTCTAAATATGTATCTCATTTTGACATGGTTGAATGAATACTATTCATTCACTTTACAGATTATAAATATTCCTCATTTTAAGATTGTTGTAAGCATAATTTAAGATTATTTCACTTATTACTAGACATTTTTTACTTGTTTTGAGTAATTTTATTATTATCTCACTATATTGACAGATAATTTTGCTGGTTTCAAGCACATTTCTTAAAATAAGCAAAATTATCTGCCAATACAATGAGATAATAATAAAATTACTCAAAACAAGTAAAAATGTCTAGTAATAAGTGAAATAATCTTAAATTATGCTTACAACAATCTTAAATTGAGGAATATTAGCTGTATAGACTACATTTAAGACAATTTTCCTTGCCAATAAATCAAACAGGACTAATGCTCTCGTCGTAACTGAACATGCGGTTGATCAGTGTTCCGTACATCCTGATATCCACAATATGCTTAGAAAATATGCTTAATAAAATTACTGAAGTAAAAAACATCTAAATAGGTTTTATAATCTGTAAAGTGAATGAATATTCATTCAACCATCTCAAAATGAGATACATATTTAGACTAGATTTAAGATTATTTCATTTTTTGCAGTGTCAGAATATTGTGATGCATATTGTGTATCGTGAAAATGTATCAGTATATAGTATTTTTGCCATATCGCCCAGCCCTACGAGAACCTAAGTAGATGATGATATTACAATTTTGCCATGTTGCTCACCTCTACGCACTTAAAGATGATGGTTCTGCAAGGGTTCTTTAGTAAAGAAAATGGTTCTATATAAATCCATGAACACTCAAAGAACCCTTTGCATGATTAAAGGATTCTTCACATGGAAAATGTGTTGTATATGGTTCTATATCAAAGCTTTTTGGAAAGGGTTCTATATAGAACCATGAGTTCTATATCATTTTCCTTACTATAGAACCCTTGAAGAACCATCATTTTGAAGTGTGTACTACCCACCTTGCCTAAAGTTGATCAGGAGGTTGTCCTTTTCAACAGTCCAGTAAACCATCTTCTGTTTTATTATTTTGCCATTCGGTGTGATCACGTGATGCGTGATTTGCATTTTGATTGGCTGTTTCATTAACCTTTTTTCACGAAGTTGAGAAGCTGCAGAGTTTCACACCAGTTGTGCTTTACGTTGTGCAACTTTCAGTTTCATGTAAACTTACACTTTTCGTTTCATGTAAGTTTCGAGCCACTATAGTTGCGTGAGGGTTTCACCGTGTAAAGTCAGCCTAAGCATTTTGCCCAGTTATTCTAAAGTCATACAGTAATGGCCTAATGTTTGATGCAGCTCTTTTGCAGGCGTTTTCTCAGAATCACTCAAACAGCAAGGCTTTTATTTCCGCTCAGTAGAGGAGCTATTTCCAGACTGCTGTTCACGTGATCATTTTTGAATGCTCACCCGTTGTTCTGACTTACAGCACCGCACAAGTTCTACATCGGCTTCCGCTACGTGCACCCGCTGACCGAGGAGGCCATTGAGGAGATGGAGAAGGATGGAGTGGAGAGAGCTGTAGCTTTTACCCAGTATCCTCAGTATAGCTGCTCCACCACAGGTACATACATTCACTCACACTCCAGCCCACCTCATTTAACGTCACTGAATCACACGCTGGATGAAAACCTGGATTTCAGTTGAGACATGTTTTGTGTTATCAGTTAACATCAGTTTTTTTGGTGCGTTCTTTCTCGCATGAACACAGACACGTAGTAGAGTAAACAAAGACCTTTCCTGTTAATCAGAAGGTTGTGGGTTCAGTGACAGTTGAGAGGGTTTTGCTGCTGCCACTATTTCACTGAGCCAAGATAATCAGTCAGTTCCTCTGTGAACTTCTGCACAGGCCATGTTTATATGTATTTTTCTCCCCATTGTGTTAAATTCAGCATGTAATCAGTAATTGTGCATTAAAATGTGCATAAGTGTGTCTCTGTAGAGGATGTGTTCACTTATTTTCACTTAGAAAATCAACAGAACATGCCATTTGATAAGAGCACCCAAACTTTTGCATATGACTGTATGTGGTTCCTGTCAGTTTCGGTGACACTTCATCTGCTCAGGGGGAGCTGTAAATATATAGTAACTACCAGGTTTAATGTAAAAACTAGTTTGTGTGGTGTAACCTGTTTTAGTAATGCATAAACCTTCACCTGTAATGTGAACACTTACAGAGCCTCCGGTTAACCTGGGTCACCTTCAAGACGTCAGGTAATGCAAGAGTCACCAGTAAAGAACAACTAGAAAGAATATGCTTGTTTATATGAAGACTTTAACAGGAATTAGAAGGATTTACATGGAAAAAGGGACAATTTTTTGGGTTTCGAATGAACGAAAGTGTTGAAAAAGTTACATCTGCTAAACCTGCGCCTGCAGCCCAAGAACTGTTCATACATTTTCATACAGAATTTTTAAGGTATTTCCTTTTTTAAAAAATAAATGTGTCGGCTGGTGTATTTTGAATTGTTGCAGGCTTTGCCTGACTGTTTGTTTTGTAAAACTGTGCAATAATATTAGACTAGAGCAGGGGTCAGCAACCCAACTGTTTCAGCAAAACATTTTTTGTCCATTTTGCTGAAGTAACGTACCATCTTGGCTGAAAATATGTCTCAGTATGTGCTAATGTCGTTGTATAGACTATTAAATATGATATAAACGAAAACAGAGACTTGCTTTCCTCTGCTTTTAGCTGTAGCTCAGCTATAGCTGCTTTTCTCGCATCTCCGGCAGGAAACTTTTCTGCAAAAGTGGAATAGTTTCTTGTAAAATGTCTCACAACATTCGACTTTTGCTAGGCTGAAGTCGCTTCTCATTCACCAGCTTCTTGTTCAAATCTTCCCCACCAGAGTGTAACTGCTGCACCATTTAAGGTGGAACGGGAAAATTCAAACGAGAATCTGGTGAGAAACTGACTTCAGTTTCGTGATTTTTTAGTGTTTGACAGTTTCTCGTTGCACATTAAACGTGTCAGGAAACCAGCTGGAGTGATTATAAATGCAAATAAGTCCATTCCTCTCCAAATTATGGCTGTTCGTCCCAAGTCTTTCTGTTTGCTGTTTCGTTAACTACTAGCTAGGCGAGACTGTCGTCTGCATTGCTATGGTGACCAGCAGTCTGCGCGCCAACCTTCAGGGTTAAAGGGTGAATTAGCAGTTCTACATTAACTCCAGAGTTTAAGACCATTTAGTGTTAAACTGTGTTGAACGATCAGCAGAGTTTTATTTTACTGTAAAGGAGGATTATTTTATTTTTACCTACAAGTAAAAGAGCCGCATGCTGCCGACCCCTAGACTAGACTGTGCTCAGCTGTATGCTGTACCAGTAATTACTTGTGGAATTTAATCTGGCTCCCAAAAGAAATGCTTTTGTGTATAAAACATTGTGATTTACACACTGTTTGTGACTACTATGTACAAAAGTAACTGTCTTTGGTTCTGTGAACTCTGTTTGACCTCCAGAGGAGGTGTGAAGCGCAATGGATACTCTTTGTGTGTCAGCACACAGGTCAAGATCTTATAGCAACAAAATCACACAGTGACATGACCTTTGATGCAGTTGGCAATACAAATAATACACCACTCAGCTGAAGATTGCCTCCGCCACCTAGTGTGAGTCATTGAGGGCCTTTCTTGTCGGTGAAGGAATGAATATCTATTCGATCTGCTGAGGAGAAAAGACCTTCTGTCAGTGGCATGGAGGGCTTACCGTGCGAAAAGTCCAACACCAAGGATAAATATCAAGGTGAATTTCAAGATAAGTGTGCGCTCTTAACAATAACCCATCCACATGCTTTTGATAAGCAGAAGGAGCAGCTGCATAAACTTTAAGCGTGAATGGAGTGAGGGACCTTTATTCAGCGGGTTCTGTAGGGGCGATAGCACCATGGAGACTGAACACTGCAGTAGACCACGCCGATATCCAGCACAGCAGTCAGAAAACCTTTTTCAACAAAAAGTGTGCACAGCCTGCATCGGGGATGTTCTCCTTCACTGCTGCCTTAGTTTGTAAGTCGTGGCTCCTGCCTATTGAACATCTGCAGTTGTGTCATCGTTCTGTAGTCAGCGTCAGGCCCATATAAGGAACTCTGGCTCTGTGGATGTCTGGATTTCTCTATGGGAAAAATAAATGGCATTCTCAAATCACTGCTTTCCCCCTTTCTGGTAAACAGAAATGTTTCAGAATCTGATGCGCTTTGCCAAATGTACATTTTTCCTCTGAATGTCACTTCGTTCACTGGAATTATGAGGAGAGATGCAGAAATCGCTGCATGCAAGCTAACACTGCTGCACATTGGGGATGGCCGGTAGTCTGGCTGTCAACCAGAAGGTAGCAGGTTCAAATCCCATGAGTGACCAGGTATGCCTGGTCGTGCCCTTGGGCAAGGCACTTGCTCCCCCCACCCCTGCCGGGCCTGCTGTGCTGCTCCCAGATTGAGCATAGTTAGGCAGCAAAACGACAAATTTCCCTTGTAGGACCATTAAAGTACATAACAGAGCATTGAACTGACATCGTAAACCTGGCAACCTTAAAATGCCCCACACAAACCAGCAAGCTTGATCAAATGTGGTGCTTAACTTGTTTTGGTAGCCTACAGTTTGAGTAGCTGGTGTTATAGAATAGCTTTAAAGGGTAGTAGATGTCATTTCAATGCACAGAAGTTTGTCTGTAAATAATATGTACATTGTATATTACTTGTCCATACATTGTCTGCATTGATTGTATACTGTGTATATTGCATATTGCCTGTAAATTACTTCTACATTGTTTGTATACTGTATTTAATACTAGAGAGACACTAGTGGCTGGAACCAAATTCCTTGCATGTGTCAACATACTTGGCCAATAAATATGATTCGAATTCTGAAGTGTTAGCTTGCTAATGGCATGGATGTAAACAATGATGTAGCGACTCCTTAACGAGCTCGTAATTCAGAGGATCCGGTAACATTCAGGGGGAAACTGCTCAGGACAAAACATGTCAGCTTTGAAACGCTTCTGTTTACAACAGGGTGCAGTAGATGTGATTTTTCTCATTGAGAAAAACAGCTAAAGACCTGGACTTCCTAATGTGGGCATGATGCACAACGTCAGGGGTCTGTAACTGAAAGTGTTTTGCCAGATTTCAAAACCCAGCTGAGAACATCCTTCCTGAGTGGACGGTGTCATGGTACCCCAACCATAGCAGGGACGGAAATAGTCTTGCATTCCATCTTGGAGCCATTAGAAAACATGTTTATAACGGAGGATATTGTGTAGGATGTCCCCAGTGCATCCTGGCACAAGAGCTGGATGAATTTCACAGGGAAACCATAGGCATATTATGTTTGGCTATCAGCTCATAGTAGTGCAGTAGTAACGGGTACTATGTCAGTGTGGTTAGCAACAAGTCCAGAGTCGCCTGTAGGCCCCAGGTGTACTGAAATGTCATTGGTCTTTGTCCAGGGTTTGCTAGGTTAGCAGAAGCTGAGGGAATCAAAAGCAGAAAGTCCAGGCAAGTGTCTTGTTATTTAGGTTATAATAAGTACTATGAGTACTGCCATGGTTCAAAGTACTATAGCCAGTATGCCTGGTGAGGAGCAGGAGAAGAAGCCTTCATAAGCACTGATTAGCTTCTTTATGTACTGGCTTGCACCTCAGGGACTTCTGGAGCCTGGGGGGAAGCCAGGCTCAGCGATTAGAGAGTGAGTGGTAAACAGGTCAAGACAAGTAAAATCATGCCCAGTAGTTATTCCACTGGACATAGGAGATGAAGACGAGTCTCCTCTAGGGGAGTGGAGCATCCTCTAGGTGTGGAGCCATATGTGAGGCGTGAAGCAGAAGCAGGTAGGCTGGAGATTCTGCAGTGGAAGAGTTTCCAAGTTAATCCATTCAATGGATCCTGCAATTCAGGATGAACTATCTGTTGAAACATTATAGCGCATTCAGACTGCTTCACTCAGCTGAGGCAAGTTGCTGCAAACTCAGAGGATCACTTATAGCTCAGTTGGTGGAAGAACCCTTTTTTTATAGTTCATAAACTCTGGAATAGCATTCCAGAAATATAAAGAATGCAAGCTATGGGTGTTTTTAAATCCAGGGTTCGGGTGATGCTACGGCTGTGTGTTTCCAGGCTTGTGGCCTGTTGGAAAAGGTATGGTTTGGACGTCCCTGCCTTAAGCTAATACCAACCGGTTAGACTCTGTTTCCTCAGTACTCAACTAACACCAGTGGCAGTGTGTCTGGATGGAGCTGTAGTAGTGTTGTTGCGACAGGGCTGCTGTCCTGCTGTCCTGTTTTGCACAGATGGTTGCAAATGCATTTATGTACCTCTTTGTAGCCTTGAGTCGCTGCTCCCGCAGCCCACAGAGGACAAGTAGAATCCTGTGAGGAGAGCATTGAGAACGTCTTCCATGCGGGTTGCCTCGTAATTCATGTAACCGCATGGAGTGTGAAACCTGAGTGTTATCACTGACTCTGACCTCCGTTTTAGGCCTCACATCGACAGCGTGACTAAAACAGCATTTTCTTCATCTTAGAAATATTGCCAGAGTCAGGACTTATTTCACACTGCCTGATGCTAAGAAGTTGACTCACACTTTGGTTTGACTTTCACACTTATGGTTTTCTCCTGTTTTTAGATCGCTGTAAAGCTTTGTTCACTGGCTTATCTAAAAAGAGTATAGACAAACTACAGCCTGTACAGAATACAGCAGCAAGAGTTCTTACTTCAACACTGAATCACTTCAGTTCGGGCAGCACTTCACTGGCTCCCTGCAACACAGAATACACGTTAAAGTTCTTTCATTTGTTTTTAAGGCCGTTAATAGACTAGCACTTGCTTATATGTCAGATTGTCTGACTGCATCTGCTCCACAACGATGTCGAAGATCAACAAACTCAGAATTACTTTCTGTTCCAAGAATAAAACACAATGAATACAGGAAGCATCTACACTCAGCATTTTTAAACAGCAGCTTTTGCACTTTGCGACCAATTGTGCATTTTAGTTTTATTGCACTTTATTTATTTTATTACTTTCTTTCCTATCTGAACACCATGTTGTTTTCTGTGTGGTTGTTTCACTCATTTCATTTAGTTCTTTTCATTATTATTGTTTGTTTCTTGTTGTTTTTTTTAGATTTGTTATATATATATATATATATATATATATATATATATATATATATATATAATTTTATTTATTATACGGAGTGTTTTAAAAGTATGAAAACACCCATATTAAAATGAAAACAGTTTGGCAGACAACGATCCTATTTTAGACATAAGCTGTTGGGGGAGAAGGAAACCTGTCAGGCCATGTCATCAGCATGGCAGCCATCTTAAATGCCGCATTTCTTTGATTCAACTTCATTTGAACTTCAATTTCACCAGAACAAACAGTGGTTTGCTTCATGTCAGCGTAACTTTATTTGTTCTCATATTAAAACAGTGATTTTATGTGAAACCAGAAAACTGACCATAAGGTCAGAATGTGTTTGATATTCTGTCCACCATGTTAGAGAGTGAAGGCTATCCTCTCTTCCATTCCTGATGAACTTTCATCAAAACATCTGGTTGAATGCTAGCACAAGCACCAACAATTCTGTCTTTAAGATAAACGACCTTACATATCTTCACAGAGTAAACAAGTGCCTTGACATGATACTACATACTTTTGAGGCAACCTATATAATGGTGTTAGTTCTCTGCACAGATCAGTATCTTTGTGCTTTGTTCTGCCTGTGGTGGTCAGGAGGAATGAAACAGACCGTTTATTTGTCTAAAGTAATTTTATTTTCTCTCTGTTTTTGTGTGTGCGCAGGCAGCAGCCTCAATGCCATCTACAGATACTACAGCAACAAAGCCACTAGGCCTAAGATGCGCTGGAGTGTGATTGACAGATGGCCCACCCACCCTCTGCTCATTGAGGTGAGACCCTCTTTCAGTTTCCTACAGCTGATCTGGAGTCATCTGACGCAAACCCCTCACTGTCAGAAGCAGTTTTCTGGTGCGTTCAACTCGTAAAATCGAGATATTGTCAGCTTCTGGGCCTTAACTAGCAGTTGTTTGCATTCAGGTGGTCATCGGCAACAGGGGTAGACCAGTGCCTGCTTGGTCAGCTGTGTCTGCAATTCTGGCTTGTGATGCATCAAAACTCATAAACTAAGGAAAAGTGGAATTTACCTGAATTTACAGCTTTGACAGGCGTTCACGTGCAACTTTCTTGTGGTAGTCAAGTTTCCAAGAGTTATGGTGCGTTTACCTTCTTTTAATATACAATCCTAATAAAACTAAGCTGAATTTCCAATCTGATATACTAAATAATGTAAAAAGTTTAAATTTAAGAAGCACAACCTAAACACAAGGTAAAATGTAACTTTTTCTGTGTAAACAGACTTAAGAAGAATGTGCTTTTGGTCACTTTCCCTTAGCGACATCATTTGTCACAGTGAGCGCTATCCAGGCTAAAGTACAGCTTACAACTTAAGGTTGCTTTATTGTCATTTCAGCTGTATACAAGTACACAGTGAAAAGACACAACATTCGTCCAGGACCAACACAGGAACACAAGTGCAAAACGATATATGTATTTATTGCACTGCACACAATACAGTGCAATAAGTACAAAAGACTTACAGTAAATACAAAAACAGAACACAGGCAGTACACGGTACTGAGAATGTGTAGATTGTACAAAGCAGGATGTAACATACAAACATATGACATTTTGCAGATAGCCTAGCATATATGAGCATAGCAGTCACTGAGGTAGCAACCAGAAAAGCATATTATAGCCGATATTGTTAAAGAAATAAAATGTGCAAAAATGCAAGTAGACAGATAGATATACAGCCTCCACACAGCGGGGTTAGCCTACCAAAGTACAATTAAAGAAGTCTGTATGCTTCATATTAATTCACAACATCCATTTTCTGAATACTTGTTTCACAGATTATTTAAAAACGTACTATAGATATTAACTAACTAATTAACTAACTTATTTTATTGAATATATTTTATGCATTTAGTTTGGAAAGCATGTTTGAGTCAAACAACATAGCAGTATATTGAATTGATTTGTATTTGTGTTAATTTACCAGGCTGTTTTATCAAATGTTATGATTAGCCCTTCTCGCTTCCCCCATAAAAAATATTCCCCAAAGATTTTAAAAATGATGTAGCATAAACTAAAATGAGGTTGTGCTTCCCTCTCCTCTACTCTCCTCTCCTATTTAAAATGACCGCTGTTGGAGAATGTTGGGCTTTGAGGATGGATGGATGGATGGATGGATGGATGGATGGATGGATGGAAATTGCAGTGTTACAGTAGTAAGGCATATAATTGCACATAAATTTAAATATATTAGGCAGCAATAGACATTAATTAGGCAGAAAAAAGGCAGAGCTGCTGGACATTAACTGCAGTGTGTTTTGTGTGTGGGAGGACCACCCACTGCTTATTAGCTGTCATTAATTTATCTTCTTAGTTCACCTCTCCCTTTGGTTAAACTCCTCTTTCTATTCTTGAGTGACTAAATGTGACTTTGCGCATGTCTTTGTGTGTTTGAGACTGTGACACACTGACATGTCCAAATAAGTGAAATGCTGTCTGAGGTCCTGGAAAAATGTGCACACAGGTTGTGATAGTTTGATTATCATACATGAAGGCATGTCCATTTGAGACGATTTGACTCAGGAGTTGTCAGTTGCCATAGAGACGGTGAGCGGTCATGACTAAAGGCTTGGAAAAACAGCAGGTGTTTGTGTCAGCGTGGTTTTAGCTAAAGTGGTGGGTGTGTTAAAGGACTAGATCAGTCAATAGCCACCAGTTAGCGTTATGCAAAAGACACTGTGCCTAAACTCCATTCTCTGCTCGCCACATGAGCATTCCTGACCTGTCCTTAAAGGGCAATTCCACAATATTTCAAATTTCTGCGGAATTCAATAGTTACCAGCTCTGATTTCCTTACAGTGGTGGTGATAGAAACCAGGGGTCACCATGACTACAACACAGATATAGACATTTTATGTACTATCCAAAACCACCAGTGAACCTACACAAGTCTTCTGAGTTTATACATGGAATGTTTATGATGGTAAAATAGAGATAAATCGGAAATAAATATGTTTACTTATTCTTCCTCACAACACCCTGCATGTACCCCTCCACTGTGAAGGGATTTTAATAATACTTTTTAGGCCAAAATCTTTTTAAAATTCTCGTAAAACAATGTCTGAGACGTCATGTCATATATTCTAACCATTTTTGTACCAACATTCTGTGAGGGAGGTTTTAGAGGCATTAAACTCTTCAGACGTCTGGTTCCTATCACCACCATTCTGAACAATTTTGACTCTAGAATGGAGCATTTCGCATCAAAACACTCTGAATTAAATGAAATTATAAAAATCTGTGGAGTTATTCTTTAAATTATCCAGAGTGGGAGATGTTTTGAATCAGGAATATAACAGGAATATGTGTCAAATATGAGAACCAGGGTAACATGAAAGCAAGTACAGAAGCTTTCTAGCATGATCCCATAAGGCGGACCTGTTTACTACGTTTCATTGATTATTTCATCATAAGTGATGTCATATTACACATGACAGGGTTTTTTTTTTGAGTTGTTCCCCTTTGTTTGTGATGCAGTTGTTGAAAAGTATTAAATATTTAAAATCTCTGTATTGGGCTTTTAGTTTCTGAATATTCATATATAGCTAGATGTCTATACTACACTTCAGTTAAGGTTTAATGTAGAATAGAATACGTTATTGTCCATTTCATTTACAAAAAAGTTTAATTTCTTTCTTTAGCACTGATTATATAAACACTCGACACAAAACACAACAAAGGTGTAAGTGAAATATGATATACTACTGATATGTGTAAAAAGCAGCAACAGCGATTATTCTCATTACAAATATAGAGAGAGAAATATGCACAATACACACACAATAATAATAATTCACCACAAATAGATAAAGGTACATAGAGGTATTGATTCCCTAAGGAGTTTGTTTAAACCAAGACTTACTATCACAGTTAATGGAATAAAACCATTTTTCCGAGCCACTGCAGCTTTCAGTTTTTGTCCTGATGGCACAATCTGGAATGTTGAGTAAGGAGGAATGTTGAATGAGTTTGGATGGCTATAAATTTGTTGACCTTTTCTGTACATCGTTAAGTTGGGGTTGTTGATCTGTGATCTTACTGGTCTGGTTTATGACCCACTACAGTTTGTTTTCCCTTGTTTGACTGGTTTCTATACCACTGTACAATATTGAATGTCAGGACATTTATGTATAAATAATAAATAATGAAATAATAATCATTTCCTACAAGTAAACAAAGCAGAGAGCGAAGGGCATTTGATGCCAACGAAGGAGAACCAGAAGAGCTGGTTCTTCTTTTTGCTGTGACCGATTCCTCTTTAGTCAGTTTAAAGTTTCACTCAGCGTCGCCTCCAGCAGCTCTCAGTGAAGTGTAGCTCATTTTTAACTGTGTGAGCTGCAGTTAGTGCTGGGCGATGTATCCTCCTTACCAATATGCAGTAATATGGACGTATTGTGATATTGCTTTTCAGTTTTAGTCATATTTTTAGTGATAGATACACATTAACTGCAGTGACTGACATCTTCAGCTTGTTCTGAAAGAACAGTTTAAAGGGGACCAGACACGCTGTCAAATAGTCTTCATCCATTTTCCACGTAAATATTCAGAACAAAAATCAATTTTTCATTTTTTCAAACTGGTGGCACCTTCTGACACTAAAAAATAGCAAAACGTGACTGTTCCCCTTTAAAATGAACTAAAGCATGAAATAAGAAGATAAGCTCTTTCTGTAACGTGCTTTCTGACTGGTTAATGTTTACGGTTCTGTGAAAGTTTCCTTTGGGGTCACTTTAAAGGGGAATTCCACTGATTTTTCTGGATCATTAACTCTTTGAGATGTAAACAGAGTCATTCAGAGTGGTTTGGAGTGAAACGCTCTGTTCTAGAGAAACTTCCTCAGTCAAAATTGTTCACAGTGGTGGTGATAGGAACCAGACGTCCACCTCTAAAAGCTCCCTCACAGAAAAATAAAACATGAAATGGTTATGAATTCACTGTCTGGTGTCTGATACACTGTTTTATGATAGTTTTGAGAAATACTTTTTTTATCTCAAAATTGTATTTTGAGGCAAAATAGTCCTCAAAGACTCTGTTTACATCTCAGTGATCGCATTACACTGAAATTTTGAAAAATTGGTATCACACCAGCTAAATGAGGCATCTTTTAGCTGGTGTAACAGAATCAGCCGTTAGTGTTCTCCTCCAAGCATGTTGAGCCGTACAATAAAGTTGCAAGCTAGGTCATATGTTAATAACTTTAATAGAAACTTTTGTCTGATGCTGTGATATACAGTACTGTGCAAAAGGCACCTGAGCACATTTTGTTTAAAACCATTTATCTCGACAATAACTGTTTGTGCCTATAGAAAACATAAAATATGATTAGAAAAGATGACAATAAACACAAATATAATAAAATAACAAGACATTATTTTTTCAAAACATACATTAATAAATAAATAATTATGTTGTGAGCTAGTTTGAAGAGCGAAGTTTGGGTCCACATTTCTCGTGGATGCCTCCAGACATCATCAGCAGCACCTGATTTAACTTGTAATGTAATATTGATCAGATAAAACAGGTATTTGATAATAATTACAGTTAATACCTGGCTTCCTCGAAGAGAGGAAGTTTACTGTTTACTGACTGTATAATATCCTTTTGATTATAATATTCTTTGCGCAGTAGAGTATTTGGAAAAAAGTTATTTCATTTTATCGGTATCGTCTAGCACTAGCAGTAGTGTTGAAAGTGGTTGAACGGCTGGCTGTAGTATTAAGATTATCTTCTCTGTTATTGTTTGAATAATAGTTTTCTTTGCTTGAATGCTCTGTCTGATATAAATCTTCTCTGTTGTTGACCCCTGTCATACTGCCCTTGTCAGCAGATTCATTCCTGCCCCCTCTTAAACCCAACCTGTCCTTTTAATATTAATATATTCGTTATCGCTGACCCCAAGGTCTGGGATTGCTTAAACAGTAGTCATAGTAACAGAATGGAGCACAACGCTGCTGTGCTGTGCCTTTTTGTGTCTATTGGGCACCATTAAGTGGTCAACTGCATTTTCACTGGAGAAACTAGGAGGGCATTACAGAGAGGCAGAGTAAAAATAGCGTCCACAGGTGCTGTTAGAGGATAAATCGGTCCTTCACTTTTGTGGTGGAAAGTCACAAGCATGGTGAAGCTCTCGTGTAGGCCAAAAAGAAAAGTTGATTCCATTACTTGCCTTCGGCTTATATCATTAAAAAACATAAAAACAGTCTTCATTATTGTTTACTTTACACTTACTGCTCTTTGAGTTATTATTGTTTTCTGTTTTCCCAATTCTGAAACTTTGCAGGGTCATATTATTATTTATTTTTTGGGGTTCAGTATGATTTTTGATTCTGAAGTTGATTTTATCTTCAATATTTTATGTGTTCAGAGCTCTGATTATATGCTACGCTGATTGCTTTGGCTCAGATAAACACAGAGATTACGGACTAGCATGTCCTTCTTCAAAGCTGTGGTCCTTTTAAAAAAACACACCTGAACTGTGAACAATACACATGTGGATCAGCTGCACCCCGATGGCAAGTTTTGATCATTAACAGTGATTCTCAGTCACTGTTTGTTTGTAGAAGAGTAGAGAGTGAGGGATGAATCAGCCGTACAGTTTGTCTTTGCTGGGAAACCATTACACTGTTTCAAATGTTTGTTTTTCCAATTATGTTGGTTCTGCATTGAAATCATTTCAATTACCAATCACATGGCATTATTAAGTACAGTTTTTCTATGTTATTTACACTGTAATGTAGTTTGATTTTGCCATGAGTAATCTTTACCTCTCTCTCTCTCTCTCTCTCTCTCTCTCTCTCTCTCTCTCTCTCTCTCTCTCTCTCTCTCTCTCCCCCTCAGTGTTTTGCTGAGCATGTGCGTAATGAGTTGGATAAGTTCCCTGCTGAGAAGAGGGATGACGTGGTCATTCTGTTCTCCGCTCACTCGCTGCCCATGTCCGTAAGTACCGGCGTCAGCTGTAGACAGACTCTTTGAACTCCAGTGTAAACAGTTTTATATATAATTTATGTAGCACTCGGTTTGTGATGCTCAGAGCGCTGACCACTAAACCAACAGGTTCATCTTTCTGGCTCATGAAACAGTGAAGATAATGTTGTGCTCCTCAAATGCCATAAACAATGTAGAAAATGTGTCAACATTACATGGATAATATTTACGTTCAGTTCAAAGCCAAATCAAATTGACCTTACCGCCAAAGAGACACATGTGAGGAGTGAAGGAAGTGGCAAGGAAAAACTCCCTAAGAGCAAGAGGAAGAAACCTTGAGGAACCAAGACTCAGAAGGGGAACCCATCCTCCTCTGGTCGACACCGGATAGCAAACAGTGTTAGTATAAAATATTAGAATACAAAACGGGGAAAACAGGCAGAGCAATGGTCAATTAGATTAGTTTTAGTTTATGCAGCATCAGCGGCAGTAGGAGGGTCAGTTCATGAGGGTGAGGTTTGCACAGCGTTGTACAGCGTGAAGCGCAATGGTGGTCAAAACGGTCCAGAAGGCTGAAACAGTCCAGAGGGCTGGTGAGCAGTGGCACCCGATCAAGGCAGAAGAAGCAACAGCATCAGATGCGCAGGATGGGCAGCTGTTCAACTCGGCAAAGAAAGGAAACACACAGAGAGTCAGTTCTGTAATGAGTGACTGATCACAGATTACAGGGTTAACAGAGCAGCAGAGACTCCGGCAGGTCTAGATATTACAGCCTAACTAAAAGGGAGAAACCAGAAAGGTAACAGAGACATGAGGCTCCCTGAGATGTCGGCACCCCTCCACTCCACCGTCAGCAAACCTGAGTGAGTGTGTGGACGACAGCACTCCCAGTTGACCATAATACTCTATGACCATGAACCCCGAGATCTGCACCTTTTATCTAACAGGGAAAACTAATTACCAAAGGCTCCACTAAACAAGTAGGTTTTTAGCCTAGACCTAAAGACTGAGGCTGTGTCAGTGTTCGGGATTCAGACTGGAAGATTATTCCAAAGCTGGGGGGCTTTGTATGAGAAAGCTCTCCCCCCGATGTAACTTTATTAATTCTAGGTACTAACAATGAGCAGCACCTTGTGATTCTCATTACCACAATGTTTTTCTCGTTACAGATATTTATTGTTTTTTCACTTTTTTAAATTGAAAAATTAAACTTTGAATTATTTTTAACTCCACATACAGAAATGTGTACAACAGTCCATTTCATAGGTTTATTTAGTTTTATTAGTGTACAACTGTACATTGGAATAGTGCAGTACTAGTGTATATTGTGTTTATTGTGTATATTCAGTCGGCTTATATATATATATTTCTTTTTCTTCTTAGATATTTATATTTTTTTGTATTTGAATTCTACAAGGGAGCTACGCACCTAAGATTTTCACTCACTTTCCACCTGTGTAAATGTGATGTAACAATAAACGTGATTTTAACTGTGGAATCTCTTTACTTCAACATTTTCCTTGTAAACTCTAAGGATCTGAACCAAAAACAAAAAAAATATTTGTGGCACACGTAACAAGAAAAACCTCAATGACTGTCAGTGTGTGTTGCAGTTGTGAGATAAAATTGCCAAATATTACATTTTGTAAATAAATATTTTTTAAGAATGAGCATTAAAATATTTAGCCTGACAGATTATGACAATATTTAAATCCTAGTGTTGTGGTAATGAGAATTTGGTCACTTAAGTTGGAAAATGTTAATAAAAATCAATTTAAAATCACTTGAAACATTCAGGTTTCTTTTAGCTGTTCAACCAAGAGCGTCTGTTCGTATATGCAAAAAAAAAGAAAACATTAAGTCATTGTAATTTTAGTTTTTTCAATCTGGGTCCCAGTATTTATTATGTTTGTGAGAAGGACCTGATCTAAGTTTAGAGCATATTTTCTTCCTCTGAAGTTATTTAAGAGATATGGGGTTTTGATAAGATGGTGAAGATACGTAACGTGTTTGTGTCCGTTCTGGCCGTGTCTGTGTAGGTGGTGAACAGGGGAGACCCGTACCCTCAGGAGGTCGGTGCTACAGTGCAGAGGGTGATGGAGAGGTTAGGCCACTGTAACCCTTACCGCCTCGTGTGGCAGTCGAAGGTAACATGCTGAACCTTTGTTTTTTACTGAAATACTTTTATGGGGGAACAGAGCTGGACATTTTAGGACCTCCTGGGATTCCCGCAGATCCATAAAACGTCTTGTAAACAGTCCTAAAATGTCTGAAAATGTCTTACTTAATGCATTCTTTGGTAATACCTGAAGACCTAGTTGATAAGAGTTACTGTATATATTATTCTCAGAATAGCCCACCAACAAAAATTGACGAACTGTCAGTGGTCCTGTGGTCAGACTGTAGGGATGACTATAGAACATTGAGAATGAAGTTATAAAAAATAAATATTCAGAATTCCTCATGTTGAAAAAGTGGTGGTCAAAACTTGGGGTTGACAAAAAAACTGTAATAGATGATTACAGTATAGAATTTACAGTAAATAAATAACTCAATCCATGAAATATCGAACAAAACATCTAAAAATAACCTTTTGAATCTAGTTTGTAAGATTTCTACATTGAATTAATGTTGTATATTAAATTGTTAACAAATGATTCAAATGTATATACATGTTTGATTTGCAGTGTGTTTGAATAGAATAGACATACGGCAACATTTGAGTTTGTGTGTGGTTTAAAAGATGTTCTTTTACTTTTCCTAAAAGTCCTAAAGAAGAAAGAATTCAGTTTACAGAACAGTGCAGGAATCCTGCCTGATGTTAGCAGCACAGATTCATAGTTTGAATCAAGTTTGCTGACATCTACTGAACCAGCGTTTCTACAGAAATGAAGGTGTTAATAGTGAGTTTGCCCCCCTTTGCTGCGGTAACAGCCTCTAGTCTTCTGGGAAGGCTTTACATTGTTGAACATTGCTGTGAGGATTTGATTGAGCATTAGTGAGGTCAGGTACTGATGTTGGATGGTCAGTTCTGGATCTCCAGCTCATCCCAAAGGTATTGGATGGAGCTCCATCACTCCAGAGAACACAGTTCCACTGCTCCACACCCCAATGCTGGGGGGCTTTTTACCCCTCTAGCCCATGCTTGGCACTAGGCATGGTGACCTTTGGCTTCTGTGCTTAGCAGTGCTTTTCTGTGAAGATTATGCAAGATGTTTGTGTCTAAAAGTAGCTGAATTTGCTCATTTGAAGGACTGACCGCGCAGATACTTTAGGACATACAGTGTAAATAAGCCCATCTGTCCGTTAGTGTGTCATCAGCTTAGTTGAAGTGTTGTATTTATCAGGTTAGTCACAGTCTCTTGCTTTTGCTAGAGGGCACGTAAGTGCAAACATTAGTAGTACACTGCCATCCTGTGGTGGCCTAGTGTAAGTGCACTAAATCCCAGATTTCTGTACTGCATTCACCAAGTCTGAGATGAAATGCTTCAGAACTCGTAACTGTCCTCATGACATCTGTTATTCCCAGTTGTCTCTTAATTGAATAGAGGTGATTCTGTGAGTGCCCGCCCCCCCCTTATTTGCTGAATTTAACATATTGGGGAAAAATATAGATAAAATAAAATGTGGCCCATGCAAAAAACATTTTATGTTTTTTTCTTTCTTTCTAGTGTTTTATTTTTGCAGATAAATAGAAATTGTGCACAGATTGTGCAGAGGCCATATTATTGTTTGTTCTTTGTAGAGGATGTATTAACTTATTTAAGCTTAGAAAATCAACAAAATGTGTAATTTGACCTGGGGAGAACTTCTGCATGCGACTATCATAGCATTCGTTTGTCTTTTTACCACTTAATAAAACTAAAAAATAAATAAATGTGAATTCTAACACAAAAATAAATGGAATAAAAATATATTATATGTATATATTGTATATAGATCTTATTTGTATCTTTTTGAGGTGTTATTGATAAATGCTCCAAATAAGGCCCACTGTGCTTTCAGTATGATTTTATTCCATGTTACTGAGAATTTATAAAACTAAATGATTGGATTAGTGAGAGCACTGAACACTGACTTTGAACTAAATAGAGTTAGTTGGGATTTAGTTTAAGAATGTCTTAAGTAAAAACCAATATCATGAATCTGAAGCCTACATCAACTGAACCAGCGCTAATGTAGCTAACACTGATTAAACCTTCAATCTTAAAAAAAGACGGTTCTTCAAGGGTTCTTTAGTAAAGAAGATGGTTCTATGTAGAACCATGAACACTCAAAGAACCCTTTGCATGATTAAAGGCTTCTTTACACTGCAAAGTGGTGACTCAGAGTGGTGGAGAATGTGCTGTAGATGGTTCTATGTAGACCTTTTTGAAAACGGTTCTATATAACGTCAAAACAGGGTTCTTCTATAGTTACGATGCCAAGCTTGTTACAATAGAAGAACGCTTTTTAGTGCTATATAGAACGTTTTTCAAAAAGGTCTAAATATAACCCTCTACAGCACATTCTCCATCAATCTGAAGAACCCTTTCACGATGCAAAGAAGCTTTTAATCATGCAAAGGGTTCTTTGAGTGTTGATGGTTCTCTATATCATTTTCTTTACTAAATAACCCTTGAAGAACCATCTTTTTTAAGATTGTAGGTTTAATCAGTGTTAGCTACATTAGCACTGGCTACCCAAGAGTGTAGCAGGGCAAAAGCACTAGCTGCTGGGTTTTGTGCTTTGTTAGCTGCCACTCAGCTTTTTATAGTGCTGATGCTTGCCTTGCACAGAAACTGGAGTTCTGACGTGTGTGTGTGAATGCTCTCTGTGTCTGTAGGTGGGCCCGATGGCTTGGCTAGGGCCGCAGACTGATGAGGTGATTAAGGGTTTGTGTCAGAGAGGAAAGAAGAACCTGCTGTTGGTCCCCATCGCCTTCACCAGTGACCACATCGAGACCCTGCACGAGCTCGACATCGAGTACTCCCAGATCCTCGGAGAAGAGGTGCGTGACTGTCTCTGTGCATTCGCTGGTGTGATTATTAGGGCTGCAGTGAACGATTATTTCTATGATCACTGGACTATTCATTCACATTTAACCATGAGCCCTGATTGATCGTTACATCTTCACTGCTGCCATTGGTCAGAGTTCCATCTGAGACCTTTAGGCTCATCAGAAGTGGGTGATTTTCCTCATGTTAGATGTGTGTTCATTATAATATAAACCAAACAACTCAAAAACAGCACTGATACTTTACTGGAAGGGTTTTCGCCGATATTGATAAACCAGTGGAACTAGTTCTGAGTGATATACCATCTATACCAGTAGACTGTGATATTGCATTTCCATTTTAGCAATATTTGTGGCAATATAATTGATAAATATCTCATAACATAGCAGTGTTGCTCTTGCCAAGCATTTTTGTGCACATTACTGATGGTAACAAGGACCTAATAGTTAACTATAATGTGTGTCATCTTCAGATCGTTGTAAAGACCAGTTCAGAATTCATAAAGCTGAAATAAAAAGTTAGTTTCCTTTCAAATGTGCTTTCTGCCTGGTTACCATGTACAATACTGTGTAAGCTTTATGTTTTTAGAATTTTAGGAGAAGAAAATGAACAGAACAACAAAAAAAACTCCATTTTAGGCCTGTAAGACATTCTTTTAGCATAGTGTAGCAGCAGTCTGGAAGAACACACTCATTAAAGGAGCACTCTGGTCTAAAACTAGCATTTAATGTTATTTCTTGTGTATTATAAAGTTCTAGTAGTGCAGCATTAAATCCTTCAGCCTCGTCAGTTTGGCATAGTTTACCATTTTATACCCTAACAGTGTTTTCTTACTACAATACCCAGCATGCATTACGCAAATACAAAAGCCCAAAGAGCTGGTAGTTCTTAGGTTCCTCCGATGCATCAGTAGAATTTCTTTGTCTTTAAAGGGATGATATGTAATACTGACAGCAAGAGTTTAAAATGGGTACTGCGGTCCAAATTCAAAATATTGGCGAATTGTCTGCCCCGCCCCCTCATCCACAGACTTAAAGCTCGCGCGGGTTGCCAGGTTGAAGACACTGAACCTACATAAACGTTTGCAATGTTTTTATTGTCTGCAAAATAGAAGCAGCTCAAGCTCATGTGAACATTTTATAACTGTGTCAACATTAGCTAGATGCATATCTGGCTACGCCCGTTATCCCGAAAACAGAAGCCTACTGCTTTGAAAATCCTCGCTGCCTTGAACGAAGCTGAAGTCAGCATCACCTTCTTGTTTGAATTTTCCTGTTCCACCTTAAATGGTGCAGCAGTTACGTTATGGTGCTTGGGGTGCCATAGGAAGCCAACTTCAGCCTCGTCTGCCTTAATAACCCAGCAGTACAGGGAACACAGATTGTGAATGATGAAGAGAAGACACAAACAGACTTTCCGCTCCAAAACAGAAATTTGACAGGAGAACATACTGGCTGTAGCACTGTTGACGGAGTAGCCAGTATGTTTCCTTAATCTGATGACATATCATGGTCATTTTATGATTTAGTACAGTAAATATATTACATATTGTTCCTTTAAACCTGAAAATCTCACTCTAAGGACTGTTGTGGAAGTGATTAGGCTTGTTTACATCAGATGGTTGAGTTTTCATTTTGACTGGAGTGTCCATTTAACTTTGTTAATAGGGGCTTAAATATCATCTCATATCATAATATATTTGGAAAATATTGTTATATTGAGTTTTCACATAGTGGCTGATATCAGCTGAGCCCTTGATTTCCAGCAGGAGGCAGGAGGACCTGAACTGCCCCACACAGTTCCTCCACTCTATCTAATCTATCAGCTTCAGCAGCGCCTCCTGCCACTCTGGGCTCGCTGATCCGTGAGATTTTTGCGAGAATGAGCTGGCTGGCTTTTTCCCAGCGTCCTGCAGCGCTGCACTGTGTGCAGGTTGTCTGTGGAGCAGAAGCGTGTGAAGCTCGCTCCCCGTGTGAGGGCCACATCAATGCCTGAACCCTCAGCGTGGGGCACTCTGAGTGGATGTGGCCGTGTAATCTCGGATCGGCCACTACAGTTAAGTGTCAGTGGTGAGTTTGGCTTGATCCAGATTGATCCGGTTTGGGTCAGGCTGGTGCTGCAGCAGTAGAGAGAGAGACAGACAGGCGAGAGACAGAGGAGTGCAGAAGGAAGACGGGAGGGAAGGTGATACTTTATGAGAGGAACGGTGAGGAAGGAGGAGAGTCTGGGTGCGTTTGGGCTCCTCGCTGGCTGGCGTTAGTTCGGCTGGTCCATCTGGAGCCACAGGAAGTAAAGACGCGCGGTCCCGCTCCACAAACCACAGATCTATCAGGGTGGTCCCCCCGCACTCACTCTGCACATTGATCTGTCTGTCCATGTCCACCACACTCCTCCACGCAGACCAGGAATCTTTACGTCTCTCTCGCTTTCTCTCTCTTTTTCTGAACTTCTCTTTTTCTCCCTTTACTTTTTTAATTTTCTCTATCTGGTCTCTTTCTTTCTCTCTTTACCTTTCTGTACTCTCCCTCCCTCTTTCTCAATCTCCCACTCTCTTTACCATTTTCTACTCTCTCTCTTCCTACCTGTCTGTACTCTCTGCACTCTCTCTCTTTCCATTTCTTCTCTCTTTCTCTCTCTACCCTTCTGTACTCACTCTTTACCTTTCTGTACTTACTCTTTTTCACTCTTTTCTTCTCTTCTTTTTGTTTTTGTCTTTCTGTTTCTCACTCCCTCTTGCACTACCCCTTTACCTCTCTCTTTTTACATCTTTCTCTCTCTTTTTTTCTCTCTCTATCTCTCTTTCTCTCTTTCTGGCTCTTTCTGTCTCTGTCACTCTTTCACTCTATCACGCTCTCTCTCTCTCTCTCGCTCTCTCTCTCTCTCTCTCTGTCGCTCTTTCTCCCACTCCATCTGTACCTTTCTGTACTCTCTCTTTACCTTTGTGTATTCTCTGCACTCTCTCTCTTTCTCAGTCTATCTCTTTTCCTCTCTCTCTCTCTCTCTCTCTCTCTCTCGACCTTTCTCTGTTCACTGTCCCTTTCTTTACTGTCCCTCACTCTTCTTTCTCGTTCTTCTCTTCTTTTTGTCTGTCTGAAAATGTTCAAATTCAGAGTAGCTTTATTGGCATGACTGTTTTGAGTACAATGATCTCAAAGCATGTAAGTGGATAAAATAGGACAACATATATTAAATAATAAAAATGATAAGACAGTAGATTTAACTCGTATACAGTGAGGGGTTTGGGGGGTGGGGGGTCAGTGAGGTCGGGGTTTGGAGTGTGTTACTGTCCCTCAGATGGTGACATGTTGCCACCGATTTTGCAGCGAGAGATGCTGTTTGTCCTTCTCCAAGGAAAACCGCTAATGTTTCAGATTGTGTTAGAATTCCAAAATTTGGGAGAATGTTTTTTAATTTTGTTATGAAATTTTCTCCTGCCAATTTGAATTTTTCAGGAGGAAATGCAGCTCTGTCGTGACCTCACTGCTCTCTCTGGGCAGCCAGGATTTTCTATATCTGCCCGTTTCTATGGTCAGACTGTTGTCACTGAGCCTGCACTTGGTCAGTATCTGTCCCTGCTGTGGGTCTCTGACGGTGATGAGATGCTCTGCTGATTCATACACTCTGTTTAGGGACTGATAGCTCTGTATTTTGAGTTCTGGTTTCTTTGTCCCGATGTTCCAGATAGGTATTTTTACTGTGCTTGATAATTTGGCTTACTCTGATTGGACTTTGGTCAGCAGTGCCGGACTCAGGCTGCTGTGTGTGTTAGGGGTCAGTGGGTTAGTTAATCTCAGAACCAGCTGACAGAGGGCACTGGGTTTAGGGCTGAGCTCTTGAGTGTTAAGTGCTCTATATTGTAGTAAGTTTGAATTACTGAATTTTAAAGCTCTTTTTTATTTTTTATTTTTTAATTTTTACCCGATTTTCTCCCCGATTTAGTCGTCTCCAATTCCACCCGCTAGTTAGGACTCCCAATCACACGATACTATCAACGCTAGGAGGGCGAAGGCTAACGCAGGCTTCCTCCGAGACCTGTGAAACCAACCACCGCTTCTTTTCGAGCTGCCGCTCACGCAACGTCACTGGACAGCCGAACGCGCTCGGAGGAAAGCGCCAACCGCCAGATCTGTCACGTCAGCTAACAGACGCCTGCGCTGAGTGATGGGGGAAGAAGGAGGGGCCATCCCACCCACCCAGAGAGAGCGAGGCCAATAGTGCTCTCTCGGACTCCCGGCTACGGACGGCTGTAGCATCACCAGGGATCGAACTCGCGATCTCCTGATGAGAGGGCCAACGCTTAGACGGTAGCGCCACTCGGGAGCTTAAAGCTCTTTACTGAATGGGTATAATCAGTGGAAATCGCCCTAATTCTGCGCTGCATGCATTTGTTGGATTTTTCCGTTGAACTTTTAATATATTTCTGCAGAATTCTGCATGCAGAGACTCTGTGGGATGCTTTTCCCATCTAGTGTAGTCGTGCGTACTGAGTGGACCCCACACCTCACTTCCATAGAGTGCAATGGACACAATTACACTTAAAGCCACATCAAAAATTTACACCAGATTTTAATTGGGATGTCTATCCTGTGGATTTTTTTCCTGATTGTGTATAAAACTCTCCGTGCTTTCTCTTTTAGTGCATTCACTCCCAGATCAAAGTTTCCTGAGGCACTGATTTTCAGTCCCAGGTAAACCTAATGTAACGAATACTCTAGGGCGATGTTTCCTACAGTGAAGAGGTATCTATTTTCCTGAAACCTGGCCTCTTTCTGGAAAATTACGATTCTAGTCTGTCTTTCTCTTTCTTACTCCCTCTTTATCTCTCTCCCTTTTTACCTCTCTCTCTCTTGGTCTCTCTCTCTCTCTTTCTCTCTCTCATGCGCTCTCTTTCTTGCTCTTTCTCCCTTTACACTTCTCTCTTTGGTATTGTTACACTAAAAGCAACATTAACTCTGTTTGTTTGTTTCTGTTTTGCAGTGTGGGGTTGAAAACATCAGAAGATCAGAGTCTCTCAATGGAAATCCACTGTTTTTCAAGGTGAGAAATTACAGCACATACAGCAGCTACAAATCTAAGGCTGTGATATTATTTCAGCCACAGGAACAATAAAGGTAAATCAGACATTCCATACGTCTAAATTTTCAGCGGAGTGCAGAAGAATTATCATGATGTACCATTTTAGGTACATAATTTAGTCAAATCTGTGGTCTGGATAGAAAATAAAGTTGAACGAAAAAATAACGATTAAATTAATAATGAAAATTATTAAATGTAATTGAAATGAAATTAAATCTAATCAAAGTAGAGTACGATTTATCCTTATCATATCCATCCTGTTCATATTCATGCACATTACAGATGGAAGTCCACCCAGTTGGAGATTTTAAGATCTTGAACAGGTTTTTAAGAGGAAACTTGGAACCCACTGGAAAATATATCTTTGCAAATGAAATCATGTTTTAAGAATATTATAATATAATTCCATTTATTTGTAGACATTTTATATATCATGGATCTGGCTTGTAGCTCACTCGCTCACATTTAGCAGGCTGAAGATTTTCCATAAGGGGGCGCTGTTAGCACTCAAGTAACTTTGGTCCTTTGTAAGAGTAGAGCTTTGCATCACTGACACTGTGTTGCCTTGTTCACTTGTTTTAAGTGTTGTTTTAAATCTTAAGAATAAGATTAAATTATTAGCATTATGTCTTGAAATGAGCAAAATTATGTGCGAACAGCATAAGACTATTTCTCTCATTAAAATAAGTTAACAAGGAAGAAACATCTAGAAATAAGTTGACCATTCTTAAAACAATCTCATAATGAGGCATATAGATTATTAATTAGATTAATGATTTTACTTGCCAAGATGTGATTTGCAGTGCAGCAGATATAAGGCTAAAAATTATGCATAAAAAGTACTTTTACTGATTTGTCTTTATTTCGTTAATAGAATTTCTTTTTGCACGTTGCAATTTTATTGTTTTTGAGAGAGCAGGGTCTCTTTATCAGTGCGTTTTCAGGGACTGGAGGAAGTTCAGGACAGATAACGAGAGTAACTTTCAGCAGTTTATTCATGATCCGATTGAAACCAAACTCCCACTGTGGGTACCTTTTTATTATAGTCCAGCCTTTGAGCGGAGCTCGCTGTGCTCTCATTTAGAGGTGAAACTCTTTTCGGCATGCGGACGGAGAAGCTACTCGGCTGCACTCATTAGGGTGCTGGAAGCAGGCAGTGACTTTTCTGAAGAACTCTGGGACAGTAGCCTTTTAAACTAAGGCCTCCTCCCTGCACATCTCTCCTTCTTTCTTTTTCAGTCTTTCATTCTCACCCTCTCTTTCTCCCTCTCTGTGCGTGCTGTAATGGTCAGTTCTGGGCAGTAGCAGTAGAGTAGAAAGGCCAGAGGCACTAGCGGGGGTCGATAGTGTGATCCTCCTTTTGGCCGGTGCTGTGCTGGAACTCATCGCTGGGTTATAAAAAGCTACTGGCAGCCTGCTGGGTTTATTAAAGACCCATGAAATCAATCACGCTGGCTTTCAACTCGCTGCAGAGAGCGGTCCACACATGCGCACATGCATACGCACACCCACCACAGGACCAATTACACCTGCCGTCCCAGAGCTGGTTGTGTCTGTGATGCTGATGGCAGTGATCATGTTTGTAATAATGGTAACAGTGAAAATGGCTGATTTATGATTTATGATGAACTGGACCACAAGGCACGTGTGTTAAAAAGGTGTATATTCTAAACGAAGCTCCTTTATTTAGAATATACACCTTTTGTTTATATAGCATTCAAAGTCGGGACAAAACCTTTTATCTCCAAAATGGTAAATTTACAGAATAATGAAAAAACTGTTCTTAATTTTAAATGATTGTTAGTGGAACTTAAATGCCTGTCTCGTGGAAAACCTCTTTCTTTTTTAAATAAAGGAGTGTGACATAATATGTAAACATTGTTAATGTTTCAAAACAAATTGTTCGCTCCCCAGTCCATAAATGCAAACGAAGCCTGTTTTGAATGAATGTTTCTGTGATGTTACAAGTACCAATACATTTTCATATATCCACCTATTCAGCCTACAGCAGTTTGGCCCTGCCCATTCATACTGAAGTTCTAAGGAGTGTCTCAGCTCTAAGGGCGGCCAATCGGGACAGAGTTCATTTATATTATAGCGATCTTACAGTAAAAAACAGCCTGTTTAAGGGATAAAGAGGGAGAGGAGAATGGTCATGTTAAAGTCTAGGACTGTTTTTTGGTACATAAATCACATAAAATGTTATGAGTAGACCTTAGTCCACATTCTTTTGTATGTAGTGTATCAGTGTTTCTGAATGTTGTTAGTTTGTATTATTTAGAGGAATGCATAGAGTTTAAATAGGACTTAAATAAGTCATTGAGATGTAAACACTGTAGTTCTGGGTGATTTGTAATGTGAAATTGTGCATTGTGGAGTAAATTAATGACTTGGATTTCTTTACAGTGGTGGTGATAGGAACCATGAGTCACAGTGTCTACAAAGCACATATAATTTTATTTACTGACAGAACCCACCAGTGAACCTACATGGATCTTCTGCATTTTTGTCGATAATGTTAAAATAGTGCTAAATCTGAAAAAATAAGTTTTCTTTTGGGGACTATTTTTCCTCACAACGTCCTGCATGTATCCCTCCCTTATGAATGAGCTTTAAAATTCATTTTAGACCAAAACCTTCTCAAAACAATGTCAAGCAGTGAATTCACAACCATTTCATGTAATAACTAGCTGTGAGGGAGCTTTTAAAGGTGGACGTCTGGTTCCTATCACCACCACTGTGTACAGTTTTGACTAAGTTTTTCTAGAACGGAGCATTTCACACCAAACCACTCTGAATGACTTTTGTTTACATCTCGTTTATGCAGAAATGTAGAAAAATTGGTGGAATTCCCCTTCAAGTACTAGGAATAGCTGTTTTAAGTTTGTTTCTCTCTCTTTTTCTCAGGCATTAGCCGATTTAGTTCGGAGCCACCTGAAGTCCAATGAGCCGTGCTCCCGGCAGCTCACCCTGCGCTGTCCTCTGTGTGTGAACCCCACCTGCGGGCAGACCAAGGCCTTCTTCGCCAGCCAAAAACTCTGACCTTTCACTCTCTCGCCGCTGACCCCTCATAGCGAAAAGCAACACCTAGTACAACTTACCTAATTTATAAAAAAAGACAAAAATGAGGAAAAAAAGCTGAACCTGGAGCTCCGAACAGAACAAAAATCCCATTTCTCGCGTTAACCAGCCCTGCCCACAGCTCTGCGGAGCGGAGAGTCCCCATTGGCCGCTGATGTGCCGTCATATTGCTTAAACCAGTCATCGTCAGTCAGCTGTGAAAAAGGAGCTTCCGAGGGACAAATTGGGTTGGATGGACGCATATATGGCCTTTCAGGACCTGCAGTTGAGCACAGCAAGATTTGTGTTTTCTGCTAACATTCCTCCGAGTATTTGCGAGTGCCTCTCCCTGATAGGTTCTCTACATGGAAGCCAAAATGATGTCTGTCCTAGAATTCGAACTTTGCTCTGTCCTTCTCTCCTACTCCCAGTCCCTCCCTCCCTCCATCACTGCGGTTTCCACTAGATCTAGCAGTTGAGAAATGACTGAAGATGCTCTGAACAGGTGGACTGAGAGGAAAGTAGCCAACAGCACCAAAGCCACTGCTTTGATGCTGTCAAAACAGTCAATGCATTAAAACTACAGCGTAAAGGTCAGTTAATGGTCAATAACATGGCTAGACCTGGGGGTGTTCCTGTATATTATGCTGCCCCTTCTTATGGTGGATGACCTGTTAGTGATAATAATCAGTAAAATAAAAATCCCACCACATTTTAAATGTAAACGATGTAGCTTTGTTTAAACTGCGTCAATATTAGGGAAAAATACCACCACTTTAACGCTGTGCTGTTTTGGAATTGGTCCAAACTGCCACACATGCTTCTGTGAAATGTGGTTAAATACCTCTGCCCACCTGTTGGCAAGTGAAGACCACTTTCCAGTTTGTTTAAAGAATCTCAGCATAATTTAATCACTGAGATTGGTTTGTTGTGAAGTGGTTCACTAGCTGTGTTTCTGTCGACTTGCTACGCAAATCGCAAGCGATAAAATGAAACTGCGTTTAAAAACATTGCTGTCCAGCAGCTCCTTTCAGTCAAACTGACATTTTATTTTATTATTTATTGTTCTAACCGAACCGTTACGTGAGAGAGGTTGTTTCTCTGTCACACAGAGCTGTTTGAGCTCTTTCCGTTTAGAAAGACTGTAGTCTTTTCTGTTTGTCTCTCTCTGTAAGAGCTGAAACCTCAGTGTTCCTTTTAAAAACGCTCTCATGAGGAAAATGTGTCACATGATGCTAAATTTATGCAAAAAACATTTCAAGCAACAGTGAACAATTTACTTTTGCAAAAATGCGATGTAAAAAAAGTTTTGTTGAGATTCATAAAATATTACCAACATTTTCCTTTTCCACAGCCTAAATCCACAAACTCTTTAAAGCATTAAATCCTTTGGATGGAAGCTTGTCGAGAAACTTCCCGACTCAGATTCCTTTGCAGTGGTGGTGATGGGGACCAGGTGTTTTGATGTTTGCAACACAAATATAGACATTTTATTTATTGTCCAATTCTTCATAACAATTTCATGTAGTAACTTTCTGTGAGGGAGCTTTTAGAGGTGGACGTCTGGTTTCTGTCACCACCACTGTGAACAGTTCTGACTCGGTAAGTTTCCTTAGAACAGACCATTTCACACCAAACCACTCTGAATGACTTTGTATACATCTTAACCAATAAATTATGCAGAAATGTGTAAAAATTGCCTTTAAAAGTGCTTCTCAGAGTGCAACTGCACTGCTATGTAGTCTAAAGGCTGTAGCTCAGCAAAGCCATCCGCTTTGAATGCATTTCACTCGTTTCTCAACTTCCTCTCCTTTTCCCTCACCCCCACCCCCTTCACCCCCACCCCTCACAACATAATCAGGACCTTTTTTTCTCCAAAATTGTGCATTTTGGCCAGCGCCGATCAGTTTCTCACGACTACCTGAATGACTTTAAAAACTTTGAGGAGAAGATCGCCTCTCTGACTCCTGCTGCTCCTGCTCGCACAACAGCGTTTACTAAGCAACTCCACCCTGGCTGACTAAACGCAACAGCGCCACCTTAGGGGTGGTAACGCACAGCCAACACATCGTCACGTGCCTTTTCTCTGGCTCCTGGAGGACTCCATGGATAAACTTAGCTGATTAAGTGCTTTAAGTTGTATTAACAACGAACGCAATACCAGGTTTTTGATTTATTTATATGAATTGAATGTGGTATGTATTCTTTCTTCTTTTAAGTGTCGTCATAGATCTGCTGTGTGTGTATGAGGTTTGGCTGACACCACTAACAACAAACAAACAAGCAAGATAAGGTATTTATTTATTTAAAGCAGCCAGTGAGAGTTGGCGAACGTGTCAATTGTTGCATATTTGTTTCTGATTCGAATTCAGTCTTCCGCCGTCGGCCAATAAAGTAGGAAAGAATTTCATCCAGTGTAGCAGATCCCACGTATTTGTCATTCCCTTTCTCTCTCTTTCTCTCTCTCTGTCTCTCTCTCTCCGTTCCTCCCTATGGCGTGTCGGAGCTACTGTTGATTAAGCTGAGAGAAATTGGTTGTCCTGGACCCAATAACCCCTCAGAGGAGTGTGTGCGTGTGAGGGATGCTCCAGGGGCCAGCAGGAGCCTCCTGGTAATTGAAAAGCGAGGACGCCGGCTCTACTGAGCAGTGTGACCTCTAATTGAGAGGGGAGCGATTGATTTCTCCATCGTGAGAGAAACTGGGAGGCAGGAGGGGGAGGAGGGAGGGAAGAATGGGGGGATGGTGCAGTTCTGAGGGAAGGAGGAGGGGAGAGAAATGAAAGAATGAACGTTGATTCTCAAGAGGTGGGAAAGACTGACTGTGGGGAGGACTGGAGTAGACAGAGAGATGGTTGGAGGGAGGGATGTGGTGAGTGAGTGAGTGAGAGAGAGAGAGAGAGAGAGAACAATAGGATATTTTGACTCCCTGGATGCAGCTTGTGTTCAAAAGCCAGGCGCACTTATATTTTCCTGTTTTCAACACTCAAATAACCCCACTCTGAAAAACTAAATGTTCCTGGAAGATCTTTTGAGGGGTTCTGCAGAACTCGCAAAGGTTCTTTAAGGAAATGTAAAGGAAATCCCTGCTTTGTTTACCTGCATGCTTACTAAAAGAACCCTAACTTTAATAGAATCTATAATCAATAGAAGCCCATATCGTAAGGGTTCTACGTTGACTACTAAACATTAGAAATGAACAGTTTATTTTTATTTTGTGTTCTAAGCAGGTTTATTTCTTGCCAGTGCCACGTGGAGATGTTCTGGGCCTTGTTAGTGTTAGAGAAAAGTCGGAAAACCAGGGGTCAGATACACAAAAGCTTCCTTAAGAAAAAAAAATAGCCTATGAATGGCCTCAAGACCAACACTGAGAAAGTTCAGGAGAATATTCTTAAATGCAGTTCTCTAAAAGAGTAAGAAATCTTAGTCTTCTTTACTGTTCAAATAGATCAAGGACGTTTACTTGCATGGTTCCTAAAAGAACCCTAATTTCAGTAGAATCCCTCGTGGAACCTTCATTTTTAAATTGTATAGCATGTATGAATACTATGAGTGTCCGACTAGAGTCAAACTGGTTCTGGCTCTGACAGTCTCGCTGATGTACGCACATGTCGCCTATGTGGTAAGGCCTCTGCATTGACTACTACATGTTAAAAATGAACAATTTATTTTTATTTTAAGTTGGTCTCGGCGTGTTTATTTCTTGCCAATGCCACATAGAGATGTTCTGGGCTTTGTTTCTCCGAAGTGTTGTGCAAAGTGCTGTGTTAGAGAACATCTAAGATGGTCTTGGTGCTCTAACACACATGGAAAACCAGGGGCCAGATGCCCAAAAGCTTCCTTAAGAAAAAAAATAGCCTATGAAGGGTCTCAAGACAAACACTGAGAAGTTCATGAGAATATTCTTAAATGCAGTTCTCCAACAAAAGTGTTCTTTACTGTTAAAATAGACCAAGGCTGTTTACTTGCATAGTTCCTAAAAGAACCCTAATTTCAGTAGAATCCCTTGTGGAACCTTCATTTTTAAATTGTATATTATGTGTTAATATTAATAGAGATTTAAGATGGTAACAGACATGGAAAACCAGGGGCCAGATGCACAAAAGCTTCCTTAAGGAAAGAAAAAAAGCTGATGAAGGGTCTCAAGACAAACACTAAGTTCATGAGAATGTTCTGAAACGCAGCTCTCCAATAAAAGTGCAAGAAATTTGAAGAAAGTCTTCTTTACTGTTAAAATAGACCAAATCCGTTTCTTGTTTCTTCCTAGAAGATCTTTTGAGGGGTTCTGCAGAGCTTGCAAAGGTTCTTTAAGGAAATCTTAAGGAAATCCCTGCTTTGTTCACTTGCACGGTTCCTAAAAGAACCCTAATTTCAATGGAATCCCTTGTGGAACCTTCATTTTTAAATTGTATAGTGTGTATTAACACTGAGTCCAACTAAAGTCATACTGGTTCTCGCTCTGACAGTCTCGCTGATGTACGCGCACATCGCCCGTATCGTAAAGCCTCTGTGTGACTACTAGATGTTAAAACGCACAATTTAAGTTTGTGCTCTCTGTGTGTTTATTTCTTGTCAGTGCCACATGGAGATGTTCTGGGCCCTGTTTCTCAGACGTCTTGCAAAGTAGCATGTTGGACAGAGAACATTTAAGTTGAAGATCAGGGCCAGATGCACAAAAGCTTCCTTAAGAAACAAAAAAAGCTTATGAAGGGTCTCAAGACAAACACTGATACGTTCCTAAGAATATTCTTAAAAGAGTAAGAAAACTTAGTCTTCTTTACAGTTAAAATAGATCAGAGCTGCTGTTGTCCGTTTCTTCCACCGTCATTGCTATTAAGATGACAAGATCACAGTTAAGATTTTAAGTCTTAGGAAAAAAGTGTGAAGAAAATCTTAATTGTTCACTAAATTCGGCTGCGTTATTGATCACGCAGTCTGTCTCTCACGTTATGTTTCACAGCTTACCATAACAACGCGAAATACACTTTGCATGAAACGTTATTAGCGTGAACCTGACCGGTCCGGTTTAATCTGCTCAGCGCCGGAGAAAAGAAAGAAAACCATTCAAAACGTAACAAACAAAGAGCAGAAGTGATGACTGAGGACTTTTTTTAGCTGTTCTGTTTTCTGAAACTCATTAGAAGTTAGTTTTAGAGGTTTTCCTCAGTGCACAGCTCTGTTGGAGCTGGATTAGTTTTACTTGGGGAGCCGTGTGTAGTTTTTACAGGTTTGTTAAGTAATTCCAGAGTGAAAGATGGTTCTTCAAGGGTTCTTTAGTAAAGAAAATGGTTCTATATAGACCCATGAACACTCAAAGAAGCCTTTGCATTATTAAAGGGTTCTTTTACATCATGAAATCATTCTTCAGATTGATGGAGAATGTGCTGTAGATGGTTTTGAAAAAGGGTTCTTCTGTTGTTACAGGATTGACATCATAACAATCGAAGAACCATTTTTGATGCTATATAGAACCGTTTTCAAAAAGGCTTTATATAGAACCATCTACAACACATCCTCCATCAATCTGAAGGAACATTTAATGATGTAAAGAACTCTTTAATCATGGAAACTCTCTTTGAGAGTTTACGGTTCTATATAGAATCATTTTCTGCACTAAAGAACTCGTGACGAACCGTCACTTTTAACAGTGTATATAAAATAATTTGGAGCTCTCTCAGTAATAGTTTGAATCAACATCACAGTAATGTAGTAACAAAACCAGAACCTCTGTTTATTTTTTTTTTTTGTTTGTATTAATTTTTATCTTTTTTCATTTTCTTGCCATTTAGTGATGTAATTATTCAAAAGCGTGGAAAATGCTGCATAACACTGACGTCGGTGTCCGTATGACGTTTCTGTCTGGGCTGTCTGGGGTAATTTGGAGAAATTACACACATCCTTCATCCCATATTAATCTGCCAGTAAACTCGCAGATTACATTACCAGCTCCAACAGGGCTTAAGACGATTCTGAGTCTGTCATCACAGTTGTTCTCAGAAATGACCTTAAAGCTAAAGAGAATTCTTAAAAGTTCTTTGAAGATTAACAATATCTCTTAACTTTATTCTCAAGTATGAAGACAAGAAGGTAAAAAAAGACATTAAGAAGAATTTCTTTCTTAAAAGACTTTTGTGAATCCGCCCCTGACTAAGAGAAAATAACGAAAGAACGACAACAGAACCGTCTTTACAGGGCTGGGTATCGAAATTCCATATAGACCTTTAGTACTACTGGGTATCGAAAAACTCCTTCTGATTCAATACCAAATTTAAATACTTGAGTAGTCGGCTTTATGAGCATCCGCGAGCCAATAAGAACGCTTGTCCCAGAACCCAGACTGCTGATTGGCTTTAGAAATGACATTCTGTAAACATATTACATATATTAGTCTGCAGTCCACTGTGGTCAGTAAATATACCCACGTCCAGCACTGCATACTTACAGTCGTAAGTTTGAACACCCCTGATCTAATGATGTGATTTGTTGATTTTCTGAAGTGAAAAAGTTAACACACCCTCTACGGGAAAACACTTCAATTTTATTCCACAGTTAATGAGTTTAACATATTGGGGATAAAACTAAAATATAAAATCTCCTGTCGTTTTTTTCACAGTTCACATTTTATGCTTTAGTTTTTTCCGATGTGTTAAATTCAGCAAATAAACATCAATTGTGCATTAAAATGTGCAGAAGAGTGTAACATTTTTGCATACAGTTGTATTTCTAGTTTGAACTGTTCTCCTTTTCAGTTTTCAGTTTAAAAGAAGGTATCAAAAATTTTTAATTTTCTGTTTTTCTGATTGGATTCTCTCCCAAATTCAGAACGTTTTGGTTTAATCATTTTGAAGCTTCTGTGTGAACCTTTATGTTCTTCTTACAATTAGATCAATATCATGTTTTCTATTTGTTTTAGTGGTAAGATTGTGATTTTTTTGTTTGCATCCTGGAGAGAAACCAGCCTATGCATCTGTCACAGACATATCATCCTCCTCCGCACTGTTTACTGCAGAGGTTAAAAAGTCTGCGTAAGAAATTGTCAGCAAAGCACTTTTTTAACTCCAGTAGCTGTTTAGTTTTCCGGACTGTGACGTTTCTTGACATATTCACATTAGCCTGATCAAAAGCTGTTGAAGGGAAATTCCACAAAATGTTCCCAAATTTTCTGCTTAATTAAATCTTTAAGATGTGAACAGAGTCGTTCAGAGCGGTTTGGTGTGAAACGCTCTGCTCTAGAGAAACTTAGAGTCAGAACTGTTCACAGTGGTGGTGATAGGAACCAGACGTCCACCTCTAAAAGCTCCCTCACAGAAAGTTACTACAGGTAATGGTTATAAATTCACTGCCTGATGTCTGAGACACTGTTATACGATAGTTTTGAGGATAGTTTGGGCCTAAAATGTATTTTTTTAGAATGTATTCGTGATGGGGGGATACATGCAGGGTGTTGTGAGGCAAAATAGTCCCAATAGTTCCCATATGAAAAACTCAGAAGACTCATGTAGGTTCACTGGTGGTTTTGGATAGTAAATAAAAATAAAATAAATAAATAAAAATATATTTGTGTTGTAGTCATGGCGACCCCTGGTTCCTATCACCACCACTCTAAAGAAATCTGAACCATTTCACACCAAACCACTCTGAATCACTCTGTTTACATCTCAACCATTTAATCATGCAGAATTTTAAAAACATGGTGGAATTCCCCTTTAATGATAGCCGTTCATGATTATCCTTCTTAGACACTGTGTGAAATATTTCTGTGAAGCCGCTTGAAATTGTGAGATGTGATGTTTGAGACTACTGACTGGGTGAGGGGTTTCCGTGAACTTGACGTTAAGACGTTAGCATGTTGAATATAGCTTTGATTGAGACATGAATTCTGTACATACTTGGAAAAAACTGAGAAAATGGTTTGAGTGATTTGTGAATTTGTCATTTGAAATAAACATTTTTGTTGGAAATGAATGGTTGCTGAGGTTGTCCAGCTTCTTCAGGAGCTACAAGTGGTGCATAGATAATAAAAACACATTTGGTTCCCAAAATAACGATGTTCATAAAGTAGATCTGTAAGTGTCAACAAACTTTTTAAAGTAATATTCATATGGTGTAAAGGGTTCTACTTTTAAAAATGGGTTCTTAGAGTGATGCCATTAAAGGACCACGGTTGGTTCTCTAAATAACCATGCATGAAAAAGAAATCTTAGTGCAAAGAACCGTCTAAACGTTTAAAGAACTTTCAGTTAAAATAAAGGTTCTATACCAATTTAAGGGGTCGTTCCAAAAACCTCTACATGTTGTGGCCGTTCTTCACAGTCAAAAGTCTCATTTACAAAAATATTTCTCTAGTGAACCATCCACTGAAAGCCTCTTTAGGGACCAAAAGTGGTTCTTTTAAGGTGTCACGCAAAAAAATGGTTCTTCATAGAACCTTTACATTATGTGGAGGTTCTTTAAAAAAGGGTTCTTGACACTCACACGTGCCCTCCATTGGACAGTTCTTTAGGAACCCACAGTAGCTCTTCGAACCATTTTTGGCACCTTTTTGAGAGTGTACACCAATTTAAGGGTTCTGCCTAGAACTTTTACAGTATGTAGAGGTTCTTTGAACTTTCTTTTAAAAAGGTTATTCATAACCACACCCCTATTTCAGAAATGGAAAGAAGCCTTTCTGGAACCCGTTTCTGTAGTTCTGATTACCTAGAACTTTTTTTATGTATTACAACTAGGCTGGACAGAGAGTGGACACAGTGTATAAAAACTCCAGCAGCACTGCTGTGTCTGATCCATTCGTACCAGCACAGCACACACTAACACACCACCACCACCACGTCAGTGTTACTGCAGTGCTGAGAATGATCCACCACCCAAATAGTACCTGCTCTGTGAGGGTCCATGGGGGTCCTGACCACTGAAGAACAGGGTAACAAAGTATGCAGCGAAACAGATGGACAAAGTGAAACTATGTGGTCAGAGGAGGAGATAACTGGACAGTGAGTTTATGTGTATATATATATATATATATGTGTGTGTGTGTGTGTGTATGTTTGTGTGTGTTATTGCCAGTTTTGATTGCTGTATGGTTGTTTGAAGGTATTTCAGAGCTCTGTGCCTCCTTTGGTTGGATTTTAGAGCAATATTTTTTGGCCTTTTCTCAGCGCAGTCTGAAGCGCTTGGCTCTCTTCAATGGATGCTGTCAACATTTGCTTTGATGGGTGTGTAGCACTTGACAGCGGTAAGTCTGTGACTTGGAACAAAGCCATATTTCTTAATGCCACGCCTTATCTCCACTCGCCCATCTCTCTCACAGGTAATGGGAAGCCAAATGTCAGCGGATAAGAGCGGGACATGAATGCTGGTTGCCCCAGCAACTGAGGGGTGAAGGGGCCAGAGAGGGGGAGAGAGAGAGAGAGAGAGAGAGTTTGACAGAAATCAAAGGGAAGCCACTTGAAGAGCGCTGAAAAGGTTGCAGAGTTATGTATCGACGCTGGTTAAGGATAAAGATGAGGGAGGTATGAGCGCGTCTGTGTGTCCAAGGTTAGATCTGTACTTCCATGCAGGTCCTTGGAGTATAATGGAAAGATCTGCGTCTCAGTCCTGCTTGGAAAATTTAATGTATGGCAACTTTGCACATCTCACTGGTATTCCACAATACAGAGCTCTAATGGACGTTAGTAACCACACTTTATTTAACTCTTAAAGGGGAATTCCACCGATTTTTCTAAATTTCTGCATAATCTCAATGTTTCAGATGTAAACAGAGTGATTCAGAGTGGTTTGGTGTGAAATGGTTCAGATGTCTTTACGGTGGTGGTGATAGGAACCAGGGGTCGCCATGACTACAACACAAATATAGACATTTTATTCACTATCCAGAACCACCAGTGAAACTACACGTGTCCTCTGAGTTTTATACGGAATATTGATGACAGCAATAGTGATGAATCTGAAAAAAATCATGTATTGTATTACAATGCTCTGTGTGTACATCTCTGCCTCATATGTATTTTCAAAATACTTCTTAAGCCAAAACCTTATTTCAAACTCACACAGAACAGTGTGTGTTTCTACCACTGGAATATTTCATGTAATAACTTACAGTGTAGCTTTTCGAGACATTAAGCTCTTTAGACGTCTGGTTCCTATCACCACCACTGTGAACAATTCTGACCCGATAAGTTCCTCTAGAAAAGAACATTTCATACCAAACCACTCAATGACTCTGTTTACATCTTGATGATTGAAAAAATGTTGAGAAATTAGTGTAATTCCTCTTTTTAATATTAAAGAATATAGATGTGAGAGTATAGTGCCAATTATTACACATAAAATATAATTTATTAAAAGGAAACGATTATATAAGAAAGAACTGCTATACTATCTGTCCAAAAGTATTCAAACAGACTTCTAATGGGGGAATTCCGCTACTTTAAGATGCACCCCTTGCTGACACAGGTGTTCACGCAGCATTTATAATCTCCATGGGATGGAGTAGCTGCACGTCACCAAGCACTCGGCAATTTTACCCAATGTAATTTGCTTGTTTAATTGCAATTGTTATGTGTCAACTTATGTTGACTTTAACTTATGTCTATTTTTATCTTTTTTCTATTTTTATTATTTTATTTATTATTATTTTATTATTATTTTTTTATTTAAGTTTATGTGCAATTATATGTCTTGCTACTGAAACACTGCAAATTCCCTTTGGGATCAATAAAGTTCTATCTATCTCTCTCTATCTCAAACAATTTGATGCTCTCAGTTTATGCCATTCAAACTACTAGTATCTAACATTAACCTAAATGTTTACACTACCTGTTTATGATTTTAGAGTTACAAATAATGAATATATTATGATTCAGGTAATGAAGGATTCCTTTACATACAGTTACCATGGATGAGCTGCATTGTGGATAAGATGGAGGTAAATAGCCGTCAGTTCGGTCTGTGCGGTGTTGATGTATGGATCATTCTGTGAGTCATGGGTGTACAATTGTATCAGGGGCTCAGTTAATATTTTTGGGGGCCTGGTTGCCATGGGCCTCCCCTGCCTATTGTGTTACATCAACTAACACAGTGGTTCTCAAAGTGGTCCTTTGGGTCCCCCAGATGGTCCACATTTTTGCTGTATCCCTGTCAGTGGGGAACCCTCAGGGCCTTCTAGACCTTCAAAGAAGGTCTAATGAGTTCGATGGCATAAAAAGAATACGTCTGTAATTTTTAGTTCATTTTTATTTAACATGATCATCATGCTTTAAAAAAACTAAATATTGTAGCAATGCTCTAATTTAAATGTTAAGTTTTGGTTGGACACGGACTAAATTCTTGAAACACCTAACAGAAAATTGTTAAAAGTGTTTTCTAGGCAGATGCAGCCAAGCCAGCTCTCCCATTGGTTGGACTTCAGGAGCTGAGCTGAAGGCCTTACACATTAGATTAGCTATCAACATAATTAGGACGTTATATCAGAATTAACCAATCATGTTTTAAATTACAATGGGGCCAATTTGATGATAAACAAAGGCCTTCTGGAAGTTCTAGATACGTCACTGACTGTGAATACAAGCTGTAGTCTAAGCAGGAGTTCTGTTAGTTGTTAGGAATGGAAAACAGCGGTGGCAGCTCTGTGCCAGGACTCTTCACTAAACGAGTATATAAATATGCTAATAAGTCTTTTATAGGATTCAAATAAAGCACATAATGTCTTTCACAAGCTTTAGATTTCTGTGTTTAATCAAGAATGACCATAGAGGAGCAAGCAGAGACTAACATTATTGTAAAGGTGTTTTTTTTGTCATTTTGTGATGAAATTTGACATTTGTGGACCATCTTGGGGGCGGCTGAATTGAGAACCACTGAGCAAACAGATGTCCACATTAGCTAGCATTGTGCTGAATGATGGGGGGGTGGTGCAGTTATGCTAGTCTTAAAACTCACGGATGGCTGTGGCATCGCTGGAGATCAAACTCGTGATCTCCCAACGATGGGGCCAACAAAGGGGCCCTAAAGTCCGGCACGGTTAACGGAATTTTGTAGCTGGTATGAACGTCCATAAGAAAAAAAAATCTCAACAATAAAACACATAACCACGGTGAGTGCTTGATGTGAATGAATCAAAGCCGTTTATTTGATATTAATAGCAGAATATACAGCACTACCATCTGATGATAGTGGGAATAAAAACAAGAGGTACCAAAGGCGAAGAATAACCAAAAACAAACAAACAAAAAACAAAAACAAAACCCAAAAAAGAAAAGAAAGTCGGAAGCTTGATGCAGACAAATCACTAATGCGCTTAGCAATGGTAGAGCGTAATGTGGTAAACAGCAAAGATAAACAGTACACAAACACACAAACAGAACCATCTGGAAGAGGACTGGGATGTTGATTTTGTTTTTTTTCTGCTAAGGTTTTAAAGTGCCCAATACATCGACCACTCTGAACAATATTCAAAAGCTCAAATGTATGTGTGTGTGTGTGTGTGTGTATGCGGTCGTTGGAACATGTAACACTGATACATATGATTTTTCTTCTTCATTACCGTAATGTTTTCTTTTTTTTCTTTTATCTCAAACACAGATATTAATATTGCGAAGATGAGAGGCGCGAATACGAATTTGAGATCCTACCTGATGGCAGGAGTTTCATACACTGAGCTTAAAGAAATCAGACCCAGAATGCACTGTTCGCTCAAAAAAACGTAAAACTACGTAATTACATGCAAATCGCCTCAGTTGCGTAAATATTCCGATATAAATGTTAAACTTTCACCTGGGAACGAGGCTTAAATACTTTACTTGGGCACAAGCCTTGTAGCTAACATGGCATTATGAAGCTTATGTCTGAAGTGGAACCTTGTGTTCAGGTTCTAACAGCACTGAATTGATCGTTCTGATGGTTTGCGCTTCCTGGCATTAAAGTCATCGTACTGCGGCTGCGGATAAACACAGTTATACAGACATACAGACAGTCAAATTTAACAGTGTACATTTGGAAAAGTTGCTTGTCCAGCAGTACGTTTTGATGTTAAATTGCATCAACTGCTTCCCTTAATTCAGCCCAATACAGAACGTTCTCGAACATGAAGAATTCAAAGAAAATAAGAAGGAAAAATACAATCTGTAGTCTTAGTGACGGATTTATCTTTGGTCAATAATACAGTCGGTATTCGTTAATACATCATTTGGAGGTTGTATATGCCTTCATAGTTGAAAAACGATAGCATAAAACATTGTTTTGATAAAACAAACAAATAGTTTGGAATGAAACTGTTCAGTTGTCTTTTATTTTGTGTTCACACATTGTGGAAGAACATGATCAAGAAGTCTTTGGATCAACCATTTTTTTTTTTAATTTACTCTGATAATTCACTAATAAACAAAAATGTAGTACCAATTTTAAAAAAAGGAAAGGAAAATGACTGAAATGTAAAAGGAAAGACATTTTAATAAGTCCAGGTTATTGATCTAGTCTTGGGAATAGTGGCTGTAATCCTGAAACCCCCCCTTAATCATGCCTACAGCCTGAACACACTCGACTCACAGTCCTTTAACAGCTAAATCTTTCTATTAGTACTCAAATCTTCATAGTTATTAAAGCCTGGATGTGGGACAGAGACTGTGGTCGAATTTAATTGGCTTAATCGGTTTCCTATAGTCCAATCTGAGGGTCTAAGAGGGACCATTTAGGTTGCAGTTCTGTAAGATGTTGGTGCTCTTTGGAAACGATGCTGGCACTTCTTGCCTCAGAGCAGTACTTCTCAGCAGAATGAAGTGTTCGAATAAAAGTAGATTGTCAGGTACAGTTCATTCTGTGACGCTGTGTTTGAGGCTTTTGGGTTTACACTATAGTTCAAAAGCTTGGAATCACTGTTTTGATTCATGTAAAACCAATTTTGTTGCTGGTACATGTATAAAATGACTCTGATATGATGCTGAAGAAATGTTTGAGAAAGCTGTATAAAATTGAGAATGAATTTATAAGAAAATAAATATCCAGATGCCTCTGATTTTAAAAGTAGTGGCCAAATCTTGCTAATCAAACAGTTACTTACAGTTATTTTGTGACAAGAAATGTTACTGTAAATAATTAATTACAGTTTATTATTTGACAGCATTTTGATGCTTTCAGAACAAAACCTCGTATCTCCAAAATGGTAACTTTACAGGAGAAGGAAAAACATACTTAAGTCAATGGAACCAGACATTTTTCCAAGTAATTTTGGGACGTTTCTTTTGGTCCATTCATCTTCAGATGTACACACAATGTAAAGGGCAACAGGCATTTTCAGATTATGTCAAAAACAGAAAAACAAAAATGGAGATAGAAGGTTTTATTCCGCAGCAGCGATATGAAACTTTTTTCCTGTTGATCCCAGAATACTTCAAATTGTGAATAAACCATTGGTTTACAGTTTGGTGTCCAGTTTATAACATTTAAATCACTGTATAAGCTATTATTAAATAACACTTGTCATATATTGGCGAGTGATTCCAAGCTTTTGAACTGCAGTGTGCTTTTGGCATTCAAGGTTTGTTGAAAGGAAGGAAACTGGCCATCTAGGTGCCTCTGTTAGTCAATTACACTTAAAATTTTTGCAAACAGGCCTCCAGTAGCTCTATGTGTATTAGTGTGGGGATAAATATGGTACATTTCCAAAGTACTCAGTGGTCAAACTAATGATTTATGATGTCCAAGCCTGAATCCAATTATACGGAAGATCATATGGGCCAATATATACACAACTGAGCCGAGCTTTTCAGAAAACCATAACAGGCTGACATGCAGAACTGAGAAATGGGACGGATTCTGGAACTCAAAGCTTTTAACCACAATGCATTACACTGCTAGCTAACCGTAAATATACTCATGCATAAAATCGGGGGCTACAGCTTTTGAATGACAGCTGCTAACTGTTATGCTACACCTTCACACAGAACAAGTAGGACAGAAAGAAATAATAAAAAAAAGGGATAATGAGTAAAAATATCAGCCTAAATACAATGAAAGAAGTGACGTTCTAGGCAGAAGTATGAAAACTGTAAACCTCGGGCTCAGTCTAGCAACCATCACCAATCCAAAAATAATATCCTTACAAAGAATATGAGCCCACCCTCGAAAAGAAGGAGAAAGAAAAGCTGATAACAAAACCAACAACAACAACAACAACAACAAAAAAAAACCCTCTGTACCACAAAAGATGAAAGAAAACAACAAAATTGTCACATTAACAAGAGATTATAAGACAAGCATTTGTTTCTGGTAAGCGCACCTCTTCAACTATTACAAAAATCACAACTTAAAATGTATAAAGCTTTTTTTTTCTCCGTTTGTCTCGTAAAGTCACAGTTACCAAAAAAGAAGAGCAAGTGAATAATTTATTACATACGCTATAATAACATTACCCTAAACACTATTATCTATGAGGTATATCTGAGAAAAATTTTGGTAAGGAAAAGCACGGTCTGCGCTCTGGACATGCCATTTCGTATATATATATCTATATATATATATATATATATATGTGTGTTTTTATTTTTTCCCCTCTTGTCATTGTTTAAAGCTATGTGACCATTGAGTGAAGGACAGAGAGAGAGAGAAAGAGAGAGGAGGAAAAGAGAAAAGAGTAGTTTTGAAGCCTTTGGTATCATTTTTGGTTTTTTTAATCCTTTCATTCTTTGCATGATTGCATTGCAAAGCACCACGAAACCTGGTCCCGCGCCGGGCTGGACGCGTGTGCAGGTACGACGGACACTGAGGTATACGCAGGAATAAAGAAGTACAGAGAGGTCGAAACTTCGCTTTGGTTCAAGCAAGGCACTCATCCCATGGTTATCTCATACTTTGCAACGAAAGCGCTCTCTGCGGGGGTCCCGTTTAGACAAAATACAGGAGAAATGAAGAGAATCGTCATCTCGACATGAATAAAATGCAGCGCTGTGCGAAAGTCAGACCCACCCTTCATTTATTTTCAGTCAAAAAGGCCATTTCATTATATACTCATATCTAAATACATTAATTCAGTACTTATCATGTCCAGACTTTGCCTTGCATTCTTTTCCACACCTCCAAAGTTCAGTCTTAGAAGTTGGTCATTTTCTGAAGTAATCAAACACATTCAGTGGTGTTGAGGTCTGGACTCTGGGGTGGTCAGTCCATTGTTCAGCTTCTTTGTTTGATGTGTCCGTCTCCTTTTCTCAGTGAGGTTCTTCTTGAACAGCTACACATCCTTTCAGACCCACAGCGCTGAGTCGTCTTCTCACAGTGGAAGGATGGACAGAAACACCTGTGGATGTTTTCAGATCTGAAGCAGCTTGATTTTCTCCTCTCTCTCAGAGATGAAAGCTTTAAGCTTCTCCAAAATGGTAACTTTACAGGAGAAGGAAAGAACATTCATAACTTCTAATGGAAGTTTAAACAACCAGATTTATTTCCAAGTAATGCTGGACTGTTTCTGTTGCTCTGTTCATCATGACATTTTAACATGAGGCAAAGTGTAACTGGAGCTTTCAAACTGAGCCAGTAAGTATGGAAGTCCAGAGAGGCCATGAGATAGTTAGTTATAATTTTCTGGATTGTTATCTTGAGATAACAAAGCTTTTATCTTGAAATAACGAGTTCATTGTCTTGTTATCTCGAGACAACAAAGTTGTTGTCATGAGACAATGATACGGTATCTTGTGATCTCAAGACAACAAAGTTGCTATCTTGAGATCACAAGATAATTAACTCATTATCTCAAGATAACAATCCAGAAAATTATGGCAACAGCTCATGGCCTGTCTGGACTCAAGACAATAACAATGTTTTTGCTTGACAGCGACAAAGTGCTGTTTATCTGATGGGGGCAGTTTTGGTGTCTACCAGGTCTTCCAGGTGGTTGTTAGGAACCCAATTTTCTCTGTAGCTTTGAACAATTTTTCACTTTCAACAGTTTTTGAAGGTCACTGATTTATCTTTGACTTCCTCCTTCTTCATCTTATATCGAATCTCCTGAAAAATAACTCCTGAAAATGTATAAACTTGTACAAAATAGTGGTTTTGGCTGAAAATTAAACAAATTAATGAAGTGTGGTCTCTGACTTTTGCACAGCACTGTTTATTCCACCAACACTGCCAACAGTGCGTCAACTGAAAGACAAAGTTTATGTTTATTCATGTGGAAATGACACACGTTTGAATCCAACGTGTCACTTTTTCAGCGCCTGAAGGAGCTCACGTTGAAATATTACAGATCATAAATCCCATTCCTGACGAAAATCAATATGGCCATTGTTGATGCTGTATTATTCAGCGTTTGCCCCTCTTAAATGGATTCTTTCCATTTTCTGGCTTCTCAACACTTATTATTCTTTCAGTGGGAAGGAATGATTAAACGCAAGTGTACCAACAGAAGCATCAGCACTACCCTGGCGATGCCTCTGAGGTGCTTTCCAGAAGGTTCTCCTCACCAGTCTCTTTGGCTTGGTATGAGAGATCTTTGATTTTCAAACGTTTTTTTTTTTTTTTTCCATAAGCAGTTTGTGGCTTTTGTTCCTTTGGAGATCATTAATATTGCATTGTGTTGAAACAGATACTTGATAGCTACTCATGATAACTCCTGATGGATTTCCGTCTCATTCTTCTGTCATACAGTGACAGTGGCTGTACTTTGGCACTCGGTAAAGAAAACACAGATACAGAATCATGTAATGATAGAACCCTCTGGATAACAAAACAACAAGTTTTTGTTTAGAAACAGAAACTTTTAGGCCAACTTTTCTCTATTTATACAATCAGAACAAATACTAAAGCATTTTTAAGGGGAATTCCACCAATCTTTTAAAAATTCTCCATAATTGGATGGTTTAGGTGTGAAATGCTTCGTTCTAGAACGACTCTCTAAATGAGTCAGAATTGTCCACAGCGGTGGTGATAGGAACCAGACGTCCACCTCTAAAAGCTCCCTCACAGAAAGTTATTACGTTAAATGGTTATGAATTCACTGATGCCATCATTCTGGTCTGAAATGCACTCTTTAAAATGCATTCAGATGGTTCTGTAAGCGAAATAGTCCCAAAGGAAAACGTTTTTCAGATTTATTATTAATAACGTATAAAAAAAAGAAAACTCAAAAGTTAACTAGTGGTTTTGATAGTAAATAAAATGTCTATATTTGTGTTGTAGTCATGGTGACCCCTGGTTCCTATCACCACCACTGAGTCTCTACAATGAACCATTTCACACTAAATTCAAATTCACTCTAAATGAATTTATTAGTCCAGAAATTCTGAAACAATGGGTGGAATTCCCCTTCAACAAGAAGAATGCTCATAGGGATGGCTTGAGATGGCGTGGCTGACCAAGTAGAAGTTTTTGCTTTGGTATCGCTGACATTCTGACCAGCGAGGGACCTTCTGGAACACCTGGTTTACTGACCTAAGAGAAGGTGTGGTCAGGGGAGGGGTTGGAGGGAGGGGTTTAGAATAGAGAGGGTGACTTTACCAAAATGAAAGCATGAGATCAAGCGCAGACCGTACTAGAGAAAAAAATCTTTGGTATCTTTGGTTTCATCAACACGATTAAAATTACAAATGGAAAATTCAGTGAGGTAGCCTCTTTGGTTCTCACTATAGAAATAGAAAGACTTTTTTACACGCACACAAGTCAGTCTTGGAAGCAGCTAGTTTTTTTTTTTCTTTTTTCTTTTTTCCTTTTTTCAAGGGAATCCTCTGTTATCCTTCTACGAGTGAAGCAATGAACAAACGGCCTCTCAGCGTCCTTGGTTGTTTTTTTTTATCTTTGGTGAATTCTGCTTTGATCTCTATTAACGTGTTGCCCTGTCCAATCCGTGTCCAAAACGAAATAAAATCAAAAAAGAAAAAAAATCAAAACAGGCTGAAATGAATTGCTTGTCCATCATGGCGAGCAGGATGCAAAGAGAAGGTCTCTCGACAGAACGGTTAATCAATCACAGATGCCAAGATACAGTGCTCATTCAGAAAGTATCAATCAGTAGATTGTTTCCATTCGGATAAAAATCAACAAACAAACAGGCTAAATTAATAAAAATAATATTTGGCAACGAGTCAATACCAACTAAGGATCTGGCAGCTACCACATTCATGTTCTCATTAAGCCTACGTAAAATTAGAAACGCACGCTTTTGTTGCTTTTTAAAGTAAAGCTAACTAATAATAAATTAACAGGGGGAGGATAAGCACTGCATCTTTGATGCACTAACATTCTCAAATAGCCATAAATATTAATCCAAACAATTAGAACTAATTAAATAACATTAAATAATTACAATTAAAGAAAGAAAAACAAACAAAAAAAAAATCTATGCACGTGTACTAGCACAATTTGTCATAAATAAATAACAGTGTCAGACACTCAAATGAAAAAAATGTAAACTTTGGCAAGCTAATCAGGGAAAAGGGTTTCAGGGGAGTTTTGGCAATTTTAAATTAAGTTCAATTATAACAAATATAAATTACATAAATAATCACATATTGCAAAGAAAACCTAGGAAAGACTTATTGTACATCGGCAAAATGTAAGTACTAAAGACAAGCAATGTAAAGCTCTTATTTTCGGTTGGATTTCGTACCCAAAGTTGGCCTACGTTTCTCAAGACCTGACTGAAGTGAAAAGTGGAAGCGGACTCCGCCATGACCTCACGAAGAGGTCAGCGCTCGGCGGAGCGTCTTTGGACTAGAAGCTTTAAAGAGAGAAAACTAATAGATAAAGCTATTCGACCGATACTTTAGCAGTTTCCTCTGGAAATGGTGAACCTGCGTCGGTTAGGTTTGTTGTTACTGTTGGCTTTTCGGACATTCCAGCTGTGAGCGTGTACGTCGTGTTGGAGCATGGAGTTGGTCTTGGTTGTGCCTTGGATCACCTGACCCTCCGGACCCCTGAACAGCTCTCTCGCAAACATGGGAGCTCACACTCAGTCGCTTAGACAAAAGGTTTAATCTGAGATCAGATTACGGCTAAACGTGGTGCTAACTGTAGCGCACAGATCCAACGTTCCCCACATTCACTATGTTCCAGAACATTCTCTCTTATTAACACTGTTCCAGTAGTTCCCCCCGTTTCACACTATTCTACAGTATTATCACCATTCGCACCGTTTTAGGACGCTCTCCGTTCACAGTGTTCTAGATATTCTTCCCTCATTCACGCTGTTGTAAATTTTCTTCCTCAATCACAGTATTTTAGAACATTCTTCCCCATTCACACTGTTCTAGAATGTTCTCTCCATTCACACAGTTCCAGAATGCCCCTCCCGCCCCAAAGCACACTGCTCTAGAATGTCACCCCATTTGCACTGTTCTAGAACACTCTCCAATACTGTTCTAGCATGTTCCTTCATTCATACTGGTCTAGAATGACCCATTCACACTGGTCTAGAATGGCCCATTCACATTGTTCTAGACTGTTCTTTCTGATTCACACCATTCTAGAATGTTCTCCCCCATTCACACTGTTCTAGAACGCACTCCCTTATTAATACTGTTCTGGCAAGTTTCCTCATCCATACTGGTCTAGAATGACCTCTCATTCACACTGTTCTAGAATGTTCTTTCCCATTCACAATATTCTAGAACATTCTCCCCATTCATCCTCTTCTAGACTGTCACCCCATTCACACTATTCTACACTATTATTTACATTCTGTGTTCAGAAATGTCCTCCCTCACACCCAATGTTCTAGAATGTTCTTCCCAAGCACATTGTTCTAGAATGAACCCCCCCCCCACCCGCTCACAATGTTCTAGAACATTTTCCCCTGTCCATTCGTATTCTGGAACAAATGTCAACATGAAGAGTTTGACTTTTGTTGGGGAACGCTGGGTCAGTGTGCCACGACCTTAAAGCTACCAAAGCTAGAACAGATCAAGACTCTGCTGAAGTGTTTCTGTTGGTTCCCAGTGTTTTTGTGATGTTTTTTGGCTTTTGTAATGGGTTGATATCACAATGAAAAGGATTCTAATGGTTTAGCAGGTGACCAACGGCAGATTCTAAATGCATTTGGTGGTTTACTAATGGGATCTAAAGGTGTTCTAATGTTGTTTTATAACTGTAATGTAATGTTTTTGGTATCTGGCCAATCTAAATGTAAGAGGTAAAAGCACTGGACACCACCTGCACTGGTGGATGGTTTATACTGAAGTATAGCATCATCAAGTGGGATGTGGTGGTTTATCTTTGGTCGGCCTACTGGCCAAGTTACGCCCTGCGTGCTGGGCCGGGGGGTGCAGCTTATCAGAGACCCCACACTGGCAGGGTGAGATAATGGAGAAGCGAGGTAGTCTGTGCTGGGTGGGCTAAAGCGACTGAATCTCCAGAGCTCCCATGTTTGGACAGAGGCACACTGTTTGAAACCACCACACACACACGTAGCAGGCATGGACGCACTCCACCGTGCATGCGTGTGGATGTGGCTTTTGGCAGGAACCAAAGGGAAGGGGGACAAGGGAACTGCTGCAGGGTGTAGTTAGGAATCTTTGGTATTGTAGCTGATGAGGTTCTTGTTGTTCGTTTTTTCCATTTTGGTGTAAAACTGCATAGGCACACGTTAAAGACAATCTTCAACTTTTTTGTTTTGAGAGAGAGACACATTATTCGGCCTTTAGAAAGCGGCTTCCGCGCTTCCACACTCTTTTTTTTTTTTTAAAAACCCTTCCAGCCCCGTTCTGCTTCCCCTTTCCACAGTCTTCGACGAATCAGAACAGAACAGAGTCCTCTTCGTCCTCCTCCTCATCATCGTTCCGCTCGTCCTTGTCTTTATCTTCTTCGTCGCCGTCGTTTGTTCGTCGCTGTTCCTTTTTGTTTTCGTTTTCTTTTCTTTGTCGTCTTTAGAACAGTTTGTTTTTTTTAGTTTGTAGAACAGTTAGGTGCAGAAAAAGTTTCTTTGGTTTCGATTTGTCAATAAATAGAAAAAGTCTTAAGTGTCCACTTTTGAAATTATCCATTAAAGCCTTTGGCCTTCTTTGTAGCGGGGAGGGGGCTGCATACTGGCTCTTTCGCCTAAGATTCTGCTTGGTGGAGGCTGACCTGGGTGGGCTTGGCTGAATGTATAGTATGAGAGCTAAATCTCTTGGGGTGACGTTAATGAGATAAAAAAATAATCGTTCTTGCCCTACCAAAAGAAAAGAGAGCGAGATTGATAGCTCAGTGTTTTTTATATATATATATATATATATATGTAAAGCACTGCCGACCTGTCTGATCCCTACAGACAGGTGTGCCTTACATCTCCACACTGAGCTGCTCACCTCATCTTCCTTTCCAAGAAGCTCTGAGAAAGCTAAACTGACAGGCATTGCTTAGGAGATTGTCCTCTTTTATTCTATTATAAAGGCCCTGATTGCCAATGCCAGTTCACTTTCATCTGGCTCCATAACTAGCTGTGTATATATAATGAGAAAAATATAATGTCATAAATAGATGTACTATTGAATGAATGGCTCAAAATAATCCGTCATGATTGGGTGGAAATTGTAGGATGGATGTGTTTATAGCTTATCTGACCATCGTGGGGTTTCTTTATGATGAGAGAGAGAAACTGCTGTAGTGGATGTTCTTCAGTCGCATCATAGAAATGGCATCCTGAGTTTTCTAATGATTGAAGAACAATCTCTATGGTCCAGCCCCTTTTCTATTGCAAATGAAATGTGCTTCAAAATTGTGCTCACATACTTGGCTGACCACTTAATTTCTTGAGAGGAGGAAAAGACTGCAGTGGTAGCAGTTTACTGTTCGTGTGTCTGTGTTTTCCTGAATGTTGCCTTTACTTAACTATGATAGATTTGTGCTTGCATCCCTGCCAATAGCAGACACTGTAAAATCGACCACCCGTCAGCAGGAAGATGACTTTTTGGATGTTCGGATATTTTGAGCACGCTAGCTCGGATTACTAACGCTCCGACTGAGGTTTACTGCTGAATTCAGGCGTGTGTGTTGGTGTGTTTGCTCTGTTAATCTGAAAGCTTTGGGATTGTGAAACATCTCCTTAAAGGACAGCTGCAAAAAGCGTGAACATAAAGGAATAGAATGTGGTCTGAGTTCAAATTGGTCATGTAAACGATGTCTGGACCCATCTGGCATTCACTTTTGAAAATTCTGCCCATTTTTGGGGCACATTATGATGTCAGCATACAACCGCATGCAAACTGACCCTGCACTGGATACAGCATCAGTGTGCATTTGTAACAGGGAAGGTGGAATAATTTGTTGTTCAAAAGCAAATGCTGGGGTATAGGCAGTGTATTGATGGCTGTTCTCCTCCCTATGACTCTTTGGATGATTTATTTTTGCTACATTGGCCAGTAAGCAGCCCCGCTCCCTTCTTCAGCTCCACCCGAAAAGGATTTTTTTGGTGATTTTTGACTGGCCCCACCCACTCCCTGGCGCACAAACCCCGTCCCAGCATAAACCCGTCACGTCTTTCACCCAAGCTGCTGCTGCTGCTGCTTCTTTCTTCGGCCCCATCCCGACCCAACCCCCCTTTTGCTCGTTCCCTGTGCTGCCCCCACCCCCACCCACCCACTGCTTTCCAGAATCAGGCTTTGGTACAAGTGCTGGAGGTGGACGAGGCTCCTCCGGGACTGCTCTCGTCCACCCATTTGTCCAGGCTCCGTCTGCGGGCGTTCATGAAGAAGTTGCTAACAGTGCTCAGTTCCAGTCCCAGCTGCTGTGAAATGGTCAGCTGCATCTCTTTGGACGGGCGCTTGTTCTCTTTGAAGATGGCCAGTAGCGTTCGCCGCTGGAGGTCAGTAAAAACCAGGCGGGATTTCTTTGGTGTATTGCTCCTTTCCTTGCTGGAGTCTTGCTCTTTTCTTTTGCATGCTTTTGGGTTTCCAGGAGAGCAAGAGAAGAGAAAAAGAGATGAGAAAAGAGAACAAAAGTTAATTTAGCAGAAATGTAGCCACTGTGAAATAAACATTAGTAACATGCACACAATATGCTAACAAAGTGCATTTTTCTCTGCAAAATCATGAAGTTGTCATTATAACTAGAAAGCACTGGAGCTGGATTAGATTTATCAGAGTTTGTGTAATGTCTTTTGTTGGAATTTGACTGGCGAGCTGATATGGTTAAAGTATCTTTGTAATTTCCCAGAATTCTCACAGAATGCCCAGATTAAATGGTTATAGCTCAGATGTTCATGTTAGCATTACACTATTGGACACACTTAATAACAATAATAACACCCCACACGTCTGTGCCTATAATTACTGTCCGACTGTAAATACACACTTCAGATTCACACTGGATTAAAATCACTCCACAATTATTACTGTCAGACTGTAAAACTACACTCACTGCAGATTCATACTGGATTAAAATCGCTCCACAATTATTACTGTCAGACTGTAAAACTACACACACTGCAGATTCATACTGGATTAAAATCACTCCACAATTATTACCGTCAGACTGTAAAACTACACACTGCAGATTCATACTGGATTAAAATCGCTCCACAATTATTACCGTCAGACTGTAAAACTACACACTGCAGATTCATACTGGATTAAAATCTCTCCACAATTATTACAGTCAGACTGTAAAACTACACACACTGCAGATTCATACTGGATTAAAATCACTCCACAATTATTACCGTCAGACTGTAAAACAAACTGCAGATTCATGCTGGATTAAAATAACAGGTAAAACCTCTGGTAAAACTAATCCAGTTTGAACAGGACTTAATTCTCTCCTTTTTCCCCCCTTGAACTACATGCCACAAGAACAACATCTCTTTCTGCCTCGGCCCTGCTCAGATCAATGTCTTATTTTGCAGGAAACGTTCAGGACTTTGGATTAGCTGAGCAGAACTGAGGTGCCCTCGAGGTAATTGCCTCTGTGGCCACTGCGATTCCCCAAATGATCCGGCCTGCGCGAGGAAAAGCTGCAGGGTATTTTTAGGCAGCGGTGCAGGCCGGAGAGCCGTGTGCAGTGAAAGAGGCTTTAACACATGATCTCCTGGTCATTATCAGCCAAGGCCAGAGGGAGCACAACAAAACAAAGGGAAAAAAACGGATGAAGAGCATAGTGCAAGCATTCCCTCTAAATATAACAGCGTACTATGCAGCACGAGGGCAAGAAGGTATGGCAGTAACTGCAGAGCGTGTTTATGTGACCTCGGATGTTGCACAGCAGAGAGGATTCATTCAGAGCGTGGTTAGCTGCAGCTACTCTCAGAGAGAGTCGATCAGCAGCAAATGCACTATAATGACGGCACAATAGAAAAGTCCATGCCACAAACAACCACCGCCGTCTTCTAGTTCTGGAGCAGGGGAGATGCATTTGTTTCAAAACTGAAAGTGGAGCCAGAACCAGTTATTGCAAATGGAGGAGAATGCAAACATTGAATTTACATAATTTCCACATGAATAATTTTTTTTTTAGTCTATCTTGGCAATAATTGTGTTGATTTAATGAAACTTATTCATGCGGAAATTATGTCCACATGGGAATTAAGTAAATTCAGTGCATCAATTCAGTGCACGTAAAGTGACTTTGCAATAAAGCAGAACAGGGAGGCCTGTTTGTTTAACAATCATCCTGATGGGTCCTGGCGTGAGTATTTTGTGCTTTTACACACAATAGGCTTTTATATTCTGCTTTGTCTGCTTATCTATAAATGGAGTGACACCTACTGAGCAATTACTGATTCATTTAATGGTAATCATATTTTTTTATTTTATTTGTTCACTGTTTTTCTTGTGCTTTCAAGCTGTTTTTGTTTTCTCTTTTCCTCTGACAGCATCTTGAGCATCTCTCCCTTTGTGCTTTCCCGTACGGTGCCCACAATGCAATGCGATCTAGACGCCTGCGCAACCTTTTCCACCAGGACAAAGGAAAGATGAGACATGTATTCTTAAAACACAAACACCTCAGTTCCCAGCATTCACGAGGACGGACTAGGAAGTCAGACCAGGTCTATATAGAGTTAGACTGATTGTGGGTGTGTGATGACGTTTGCACTGAGATTAGACATTGTTAAGCAAGTAATAGTAAGTCATAATTATTTCTGCAGCGTTTTTAAAACAACTTCTGTTGCACCAAAGTAAAAATACTCAAAAGATATGTACACTGCAGATTCATACTGGATTATAATCACTCCACGATTATCAGACCGTAGAAACTACACACACTGCAGATTCATACTGGATTAAAATCGCTCCACAATTATTACTGTCAGACTGTAAAACTACACACACTGCAGATTCATACTGGATTAAAATCGCTCCACAATTATTACTGTCAGACTGTAAAACTACACACACTGCAGATTCATACTGGATTAAAATCGCTCCACAATTATTACTGTCAGACTGTAAAACTACACACTGCAGATTCATACTGGATTAAAATCGCTCCACAATTATTACTGTCAGACTGTAAAACTACACACACTGCAGATTCATACTGGATTAAAATCGCTCCACAATTATTACAGTCAGACTGTAAAACTACACACTGCAGATTCATACTGGATTAAAATCGCTCCACAATTATTACCGTCAGACTGTAAAACTACACACACTGCAGATTCATACTGGATTAAAATCGCTCCACAATTATTACCGTCAGACTGTAAAACTACACACACTGCAGATTCATACTGGATTAAAATCGCTCCACAATTATTACAGTCAGACTGTAAAACTACACACTGCAGATTCATACTGGATTAAAATCGCTCCACAATTAGGGACACATATAGTCCATAACAAAAGCACATTAAAGGAAAGGGGAAAAAACAAGTTAAAAAGGACGAGAAGACACCAGACAGGATAAATGGATTAACAAAACAATATAAAAACAAAGTGTACAGAGCAACATGAAGCTCTGCTTTCAGCCGTCTCTAAAAGCTAAACAATACAGGTGTATTTTAAGCGTAAGAATGCTAAGAAGGGTTATGATGGACATTTGCACCATTTGACATGAGTGTTGGCATGGCTGTATCAGGGGCACCAAAACTTTTTTCATAGGTGACAATATCAAAAAACCTGAGGACTGATTAGTCTTTAATAAAACTGTAGTCAATCATTTATTATTTAAACATGAAAAAACAAATAAATAGAACTATTACTTATTACTGTGCAACAAGTACGAATATTATCAGTACTGAGTTACTCAATCTTTAAATCATTTAGCTTTCATCTTAGATGTAGCTTATATGTATGTGTATAAAAACTACACACACTGCAGATTCATACTGGATTAAAATCGCTCCACAATTATTACCGTCAGACTGTAAAACTACACACACTGCAGATTCATACTGGATTAAAATCGCTCCACAATTATTACAGTCAGACTGTAAAACTACACACACTGCAGATTCATACTGGATTAAAATCGCTCCACAATTATTACCGTCAGACTGTAAAACTACACACACTGCAGATTCATACTGGATTAAAATCGCTCCACAATTATTACCGTCAGACTGTAAAACTACACACACTGCAGATTCATACTGGATTAAAATCACTCCACAATTATTACCGTCAGACTGTAAAACTACACACACTGCAGATTCATACTGGATTAAAATCGCTCCACAATTATTACCGTCAGACTGTAAAACTACACACACTGCAGATTCATACTGGATTAAAATCGCTCCACAATTATTACCGTCAGACTGTAAAACTACACACACTGCAGATTCATACTGGATTAAAATCACTCCACAATTATTACAGTCAGACTGTAAAACTACACACACTGCAGATTCATACTGGATTAAAATCACTCCACAATTATTACAGTCAGACTGTAAAACTACACACACTGCAGATTCATACCTGATTAAAATCACTCCATTACTACTGCCAAACTGTAGTATAGAGCTATAGACAAACCACTTATCGTTCCCTAAAGAACCAGAAAGTGCAACGAAGTTTAAAAAAAATCTCATATGTGATCCAAATTTAAAAGTTATACACCAATTCAAGGGTTCTTTCTAAAGCAATTACATTATGTGGAGGTTCTTTAAACTGTGCAAAAGATCTTTACATTCACATACAGCCACATACAAGTTTGGGCCAAAATATATGTTGTTGTTGATTTTCTAAGTGTAAGTTAACACACCCTCTACAGAGAACACACTTCTGTACACTATGACAACGCACAATGGATGTAATATACTCGGGGGGGGGATAAGACATAAAATGAGGCCTTTGTTTTTTATATGTACCATTTTATTTTTTTATCAATATGTTAAACATAAATAAACAGAAAATGCACTATATTGTGCAAACACTTAAGTCTGTTGCTAGAAGAAGATTTTAGCTAAACATGTAAACTGACTAGTGGTGTTCAAACATTTGGATTTACAAAAGACGGTTCTCCAAAGAATCATCCATTAAGAGAACCAAGAGTGGCTCCTCTCTGGCAGATGTCTTCAAGTCTGGACCTTGAATCCAGTTTCTAATCCTGTATATTGTAATCACTCTTCATGATCGACAACCTACACTTCAAAATAATATGGTTCTTCAAGGGTTCTTTAGTAAAGACAATGATTCTATATAGAACCATGAACACTCAAAGAACCATTTGCGTGCTTTACATGGTGAAAAGGTTCTTCAGACTGAGGGGGAATGTGTTGTATAGGGTTCTATACAGAAGCTTTCTGAAAATGGTTCTATATAGCACCAAAAAGGGTTCTACTATTGAGATGATGTCAAGCTTGTAACAATATGCTGTATAGTGCTATATAGAACACATTCTCCATCAATCGGAAGAACCATTTCACCATGCAAACGACTCCTTTGAGTGTTTATGGTTCTAGATAGAACCATTGTCTTTACTAAATAACCCTTGAA